GGCAATTCTGGTTCTTGAGATTGCACTTTTGAAATTGTGGGAGCTTCTGGGCATTCGTCCCAGTTTTGTCATGGGCCATAGTCTTGGTGAGTATGCCGCCTTGGTAGCTGCTAGGGTTCTCTCGCCTGCAGATGCGATATATCTCGTTGGGCGACGGGCAGAGCTTGTCATGGCTTCTTGTACCGCAGGCAGCCATGTCATGCTATCCGTTCGTGCGAGCGTTGAAGAAATTCGGAACATTTCCGAATCCCACGTCTACGAAATCTCATGTATGAACGACGTGATGTCGACTGTGATTAGCGGAGTTCGTGAGGAGATCGAAGTTGTGCGCTCAAGTCTGGAAGCAAGTGGCATAAAGTGTACGGAGTTGGATCTCCCTTTCGCATTCCACACTGCTCAACTCGATCCTATTCTGGATGAATTCGAGCAAACTGCGAGACATATCACGTTTCATCCTCCTCAGATCCCCATCATCTCTACTCTGCTTGGAAACTGCATCTTTGATGGCAATACCGTGGACGCGAAATACCTTCGCCGTGCATCCAGAGAACCAGTCAATTTCCTCGGCACGATGAACACCGCCAGGAAACTAGCAATCACGGAAGAAGCGGTCTGGCTCGAGGTCGGCCATCATGCGCTTTGCTCTTCATTTGTTAAGAGTCACGTCTCTGCCACCCCTGTCGTCCAATCCTTGCGGAAGGGCGAAGACAACCATGTTACCTTGACCAAAGCTATGGCAGCAATGCATTGTGAAGGGCTAAATGTATGCTGGAATGAATACTTCAGGCCAGAAGAATATTCATACAACGTTTTGAGGCTAGGCGCCTACCGGTGGAATAACAAGAACCACTGGATTCAGTATGAGGGCACATGGGCTCTAGACAAGGGCAATGCACAAAGAGGAGGAAAACAGACCATACCATCCAGACAGTCTATCGACAGTACCTCTGTGCAACAAATTGTTTCCCAGAAAGTAACCGACTCAACTGTTGAACTCACTGCTGTAACCGACGTGAAACGGCCTGACTTCATGAATGCAGTTATGGGGCATACTATAAACGGAATCGGCGTGGTGTCTGCTGTGAGTCCTCTACACTCTTGTGTGTTTCTTTCCTGCTTACCCTTTCGAAACTAGTCAATCTGGACAGACATGGCTCTTACTCTGGGCTCATATATGTACAGGCTTATTGCCCCCTCTGATGAGCAACCTTCAATGAACCTCACCAATATGGTCGTTCGAAGTGCTCAGAAGCTTGACCAGAGCAGTTTAGGGTCTCAGCTGCTCCAGATTGAAGCAATACTCAATCAAGCCACATCTACTACCAACATCACATGGTACACTCAATCAGTTAGTGGTCAGCGCTCGAAAGACTCCTTTGCTACAGCGACAATCATCTATGATAATCCAATCGCATGGACAAAGGAATGGGGGCGCCAAAGTCATCTGCTGAAGTCGCGCATCGACACACTCATGGCAATGGCCTCCACAGGAGAAACAAGTCGTCTTTCAAGGAGCATGGTGTACGAGCTCTTCAGAAACATCGTCGATTACGGTCCCCTTTACCAAGGCATGCAGTCAGTCGTGCTCAATCAATTCGAGGCCTGTGCGGAAATCTGCCTCCCAGTGGATAGACACGGGAAGTGGCACACCCCCCTCACTGGACTGACAGTTTGTTTCAATTGGCTGGATTCGTCATGAATGCAAGTGATGTGACGAATACGAAGCAGTTTGCTTACATCACGCCTGGATGGAAGGATCTGCGTTGCATAGAGACTTTCGAGCCTGGCGTGAAGTATACGAGCTATGTGCATATGATTCCAGAGCAGGGCGACCCTAATACGTTCCTGGGTGATCTTTACGTGTTACGAGGGGATGAGATTGTGGGATTGTTGGGCGAAATCAAATTCCGACGCATACCGAGAGCTCTTCTGGGAGCCATGTTTGCGACATCTGCAGCGGATGTTGAAAAGACATCAACAACACAACCTACCCCGGCACCGTTGCCCAAGCCTCTTGTTCCTGCTGAAACAACCCTACCGTCAACGCCACGCATTTTCGAGTCTACATCCCCTACGGTTGTTGTCAACGAACCTGCTGTGATTACTGATTGCCTTCGGTTGATTGGACAAGAAACTGGTTATCCACCCTCGGACCTCACCGATGAGGCCACCTTCCCCGAACTGGGTGTTGATTCTCTCATGTCTCTTGTGCTGGCTGAGAAATTCCGAAATGAGTTGAGATTGGAGGCTAGAAGTTCTTTGTTTTTAGAATGTCCTACCGTGAAGGAATTCAAGGATTGGATCAAGCAGTATTGTTAGATGCAAAGACAGAATGAGAACAAATTGCATTGTCGTCAGCCACATGAGAAACCTAATTCAAACTATGCGGTACAAATATAAAAATATCTAAACTGCAGGCTATCCGAGCCAATATGTTGCATCGTTTGTAATTTGCTGCAATCTCTCCCGCATGAGGTTGCCCAAAGCCGGCAAAAAGTCGATTGGGATGTCGTGGCCTTCCGGAAGGCGCTGTTTACCCTCCACATCTTCACTGTACCGCTCGATGAATTGCAAAACCAACTTGGCCATCTTGGATAGCTCTCCTAATACCAGCATAGCCACGGCTTCGCTTTCCGGCGTCTCTTGAGCAGATGCTCCATGATCATCCCAAAGGCCCGTCCGACCCAGCACCGGTGGCGGCGGCGATGAATCGTTGCGAACGGACTTGGTGATTGTCATGGCGTGCATATCGACGATAGTCATGCAGATGGCATATATCAACATGCCCACCTCAGCGCGCTCCGAGCAAGGACATATCAAAATAGTGAAGAGACGGCGAAGTACGGCGATGATAGTCTGCGCCGTCGAGTTCGCTAGGCAGGTATCTACTAACGATGAGCGCCTGAGCTGCTCGTTTGGAACTTCCAATTCCGAGAACAGGTCCATGACGACCAACACGCAATCTGGGTCGACCTTGCGCCTATGAATTTCAGCCACATTTCCTTTTCGTTGCCTTTTGAAGGATGTATCATTTCGATTGGGTCTGAGAATGGCGATGGAGCTATTGCGGCCCGCGTCCACACAGGAAGACACTGTTTTTAATCGAGAAGATGATCTGTCTCCGCCATCTACACATTGCCTCGTCCTTGTAGCCTTGGTAGGGTGTTGCCGTTCTGGTTCCTCGCCGTCTTTTTCTTTTTCTGTCGGTGAAGGTTCTTTAGATCGGTATGGTCGTCCAACTCTTCGTGCAGGGCTATAGAAACATGTATATCCAGATTTTTCGCATCGTGAACACGATGGCTTCTCTTTCGTACAGCGCACTTTCGAGGAGGAACAATTGTCACATGAATCCTTGAGCTTTTGAGACTGTGAAGATGTGGGAGGTGGAGCCGCCGTATTTGGTGTTGGCGATGATTGAGATTGTGTAGGCTCCATATTTTCTTGGTGGTCACTGTTTATATCGTATGCTCAGATGAAGGATTTTGTAAAGTCAAGCGGCTCTCTAGTATGTGAAGAACCTAGTCAGCGGCCACTCCACTGATGCCACCTATGAACGGTTTGGTGTTTTGGTCTTCACTAGTCGAAAGCTTCATGCCCGTCTATTCATTTTCGAGGAACGGAACATGAGTTGGCCCCGTTGGATACATTATCCATATTGGGGCGTTCCTGCATACTCAAACACGCACGGAGTACTCCGTACGGAGTGCAGTGAACACGCCCACTAGGTAAATATTCTGCTGACAATGTGATGCTCGACCAGTCATAATACGAAGACAAGGGGCGGCGCTCCGTACCAAGAGACCCGTATAACTAAAACAGGGGTGTGAATACTTTTGCCCAGTCGCTGTAACTCTCTCGGGTTTGATCTCGTATTGCGAGTTCCGCTGATCCATCCCTAGGAATCCATACACAACCAACCTGCGTGATAGAGGTTGAATACTCTGTGATCAAGAACTGTAACAAAAGACTAAGCTTTCATCTGCTAGGCATCCAAGAGACGCCGAGAGACCTGGAGCTGAATCGAGATATGTGGGTTCCACAGCCGAGCGGCCCGTTTAGCCCGGCCCCTAATCGGGAATCCCCGCCAGTTGCCCTTGATCTTTCGACTGTTGTCGCTAAAAATAGTCGACTTTTAAGCTGATCTGCCTACACCGAGACCGATTGAGCGATTGGGAGCCTAAGCGATGCAACATAAGCATTGAAATACGCCTTGTAACGAACCCCCACTCCGGTGCTCGTATAGTATTTCGGCCGCGATTTTTACCATGTGAAGATGCAGTGCCCATCCGGGTTGAAAATGGTTAATATAATGCTTTTTGGGGTTTTTTGCATTGCCGGGGGACTTTGAGAGAAGAATGAATGGCGTCCTGGGGAAGGAATATTGTTAGACAGGGTGTCCTCCATGTTTGTCTAGGACTCAAGGGTGCCCGCGCACCAACCCTCGCCAGGTATCTTTTGTTTGCTATATATACCAAAGGTACGGAGTACACACGAAATAGCTAAAAAATAACTCAAAATACCTAATCAATTGTAGATTACATACTCCGTAGGTGGGTTTGTATTGATTCACTACTCAGGCTCCATTCTCAATAACCAAAGTGTAGGTATAAGACCTACCCTACAACAATCTATAATGTGGACTAGACGAAGTGGTACAACTTGGAAGCTTTGACTACTCTTCCAATATTTATTATTTGTTATTCGGAGTGATACGAGGCCAAATGAAGTCCTATATCATCGTATAGAGAGACCTAAATTTTCCTTAGCTGAATAGAGTGCCTAAAAAAAGACGCTGTAGTTTTTGTATGCACATAGCGTACAAAAGATACATGATCTCGAAAGTTATAAAGTGCTGAGCACCAACCCCTGGGGAGGGCTGGAGCATGCGCACGACTAACTGGTCCATTGCCCTATTTCTCCCTTTCTCTTTCCTGTTCCCCGGCTCCTACGGTGTTCAGTACAGGTATCTTGATATTGCGACCTCGTGGCCTTTCACCAATATGGGCACCCCTGTCATGGACGATGGGGATTTCTGTATGGACAGGTCACCGTGCACATGTCCTCGACATCAGTGTCGCTCAGGGCACTCCATTAAACAGTCGAGTCATCCCCGACTAGATGGCCAACTTGATGGCCTATTTTGGCATTCAGGTCAAGTGACGCCGCCGACAGATAATGCTCGCGATCTTGATCACGCTTCTTTGGAGTCGCTGGGTGCTTTTGATATAAACTTCGGCAAGGATTTGGGGCCTTTTCCGCTGCTGCTTCCCGGCAGTGACGATGATCGGCTTCCAACAATATCCCAATGTATGCAACCTGCCGATCCGCGAAACCCACCCGCAGGTTACGCTGCAAAGAATATTCTATTCGGAGAGCCACCATTCGAGGCTCCTAATGTTCACTTGAATGATGATTTTATTTCTACTGCATATCTGCATTCTCTCCTCGGAAGCACGCCCCTCGAATCTAGTGCCAATTCTGGTCCCAACACGAACTCTGATTTTTCTACGGACTATGCCCTTAGTTCTGATCATTGTGATGAGCCGATGTTGGATTACTCTACGCTTCCGAATAATCTGCCCGCCAACTCTTCGTCCCTCTCTACTCTGCCTTTTGGCCTCAAGGACTCACTAACAATCCCTGTTCTAACACCACCCCCTACAACGATGACATCTTCTTGTCCCGCTGAATGCCGCCCTCCTTGCATTATTACTGCGACCCGAACCCTCCTCTTACTCCACATTCGCGAAAATAGTTGCCTTTCTCTTAGAAATCGTCGCGACAGCTGCGGAACCCAGGGTGCTAGTGGTCCCGAGCTAGCACGCATGTCGGGGTCTGTCCTCAGAGACAACAAAGAGGCCGGCATGTCAGTTTGCCGCATGCTACAGTGCAAGTGCGCTCTTCGTCCTCAGAATCAGGTCCTGATAGCATTTCTCTGCTCTCGGCTCGCGGTATGGTATCGAGCGATGATCCGTGCGTGCTTTTCCCGACGCCCTAGAAGCTCCTTCGGCGGCGAGGATGACTTCGATGAGCACAAATCTTCGCCAGAGAAGGTGATTTATCAGGCTGTCACGATTGGGGATCATACTGTCGACAGTTTCTCCTTGGATTGGGATATCCAGGCCCAAGTGATACTCAAGGAGCTCGCACAGCTGCAGCGTCTAGTCGACACACTTTCGGCTCGTATCAAGCAGACTAGTACATCACACTCAATAGAGCGGGATGTCGATGCCAATCTGCCCTTTCCTGGATTGCCAGCAATCGCACATGACCGGCTAGTGGCACATCTGTCGAAGGAAATCGAAGCGGCTCAGCATGATTTAACTACGGCTTGGCGTGAACACCAGAAAGTTCAAAGATAAGAAAATTTGTTGTAAAGATATAACCGATCTTTTACACGAGAAACACAAACACATATTGGCTCTCGTGCTGTGAGAATGTTCTCAGCATTCCACCAGCGCCAGAGCCATGATGCCAGAAGATCTCGCCGTACGAATCTCATCCATATCTGGAAACACAGCATGCAGCCCGGAATCTGCCAATTCGACAACATGCTATGAATCCATCAGATCAGATCTTCTTCAAAATCAATTCCTTTCATATATCGCGTCCAAATCGGTCATTCATATCACCCTTGCTTGTAAACTCTATACTCTCCTCTTTCCGATAAGTAAAGGCTCGTATTATACCTCAAGCCTCTACCTAATCAGATGTAAGTAGGCTTTCGGTCCTGAACTTGGCTCATGTGCCATAAAGCGCGCCCATCTCCTTGTATTCGCCGCAGAGCAATAAACAAGTTCAGAAGACCTATGCTGGGATTTTGTGACCACCAGGGACCTGTTTCTGAAACACGCCGTTGGGGTCGTATTTCTTGCTAGCAGCTCTGAGCTTAGCAATGTTATTCTTGCCCCAACTCTTGAGAACATTCTGTGAGATATCGGCGTAATTGAGGTAGATGAAATCTATCAGATGCCCATCAGACTTTAAAAGTGCGCGTTGCTTGTTCACAATGTCCGTAATGACCCGCTGGACTAGCACGTCGTCTGCTTTGTTTGCGTAGCTAGCAGTCATGTCGATCATGACGTCGTCTGTCCTTTTGGGCGTCAGGCCGAACATGTTGGTGCCGTTGGTGACAGGATGAGGCTGAACCAAAAACTCGATGAACATGCCGTCCACATTCGCGATTCTGCTCACGCCCGTCTCCCAGATCTTGAAAAGCTGCATGTAGACATTGGCAGGCGGGTTACGGAACGAAAAAGTGAGTTGGAAGGCACTAGAGAAGTCGTTAGATTTGTGCAGTGTGGAAATAGTAGTGTGTTCTTATTATTACTCACCGTTGCGCGTTGGATGGGATATTCTGTCCAAACAGCTCCACGACATTGTCAGTAGTGGTGAGCGTCGCCACACCTCCCAAGTTTGGGATCTTGGCGAAAGCGTCGTAAACGGCGGGTTTCTCAACATCTTTTGTGTACCACATGGCATCAGAGAGAAGGAGTTCGCCCCCTGCATAGTCCAGAAAGATCCCCATCATAGCTGCGCTGTCGAAATTCTTCGGCTTCATAAAATCGCTGAATGCCTTGGCGTGAGCCCACAACGCAGCATTTGTATAATTGTAACTCAGCAGACTGTACCACATGTTGCCCTGAGGAATTGTAGCTACATCAAAACGCGTGATGATGCCGAAGTTGTTAGAGCCGCCTTTCAACGCAACCCAAAGGTCCCGGTGAGAGCCTTCGTCGACATAAATGATCTCACCACTCCCGAGAACAACTTCGTAGCCGTACACATTGTCACAGCTAAACCCGCGCTCGCGTGAGTGGAAGGTGATTCCACCTGATGCCAGGTTAGCTGTTTGGTTATTCAAAACGGCCTTCAATGCGAGTACTGACCTCCAGTGGCGAAGCCACCAACTCCAATCCCGGGAATACGCCCTCCCATAACAGTCAGGTTATACGGTACAAGATGCTCGTAAGCGTCGTCCCATACAGCGCCACCTCCGATGCGGGCAATTTTGTGATCTTCGCTCAACTCTACTAGGTTGATGAGGCGCAGGTCGACGGTGATGCCAGAGTCAATGTTTGCCGCGCCAGTCCAGAGGGTGTGTCCACCACCCCTAACGGCGAAATTGGTCTTGTAATCGGCTGAAGCCACTAACTTGACGAACTGGGATACTTCGGATGTATTTGTAGGCCTGAAGATACATCCGGGTCTCAAGGTGCGCTCCTGACCGCTATAGTAGGACGACAGGGATGCATTGTAGGTTGTTGTACCGGGGTATGAGACGCGACCTGGGAGCCTGTATTCGAGGGCCTTGCATGGATCATGCGTAGCAGAGGCAGCGGCGAGTCCCGTTACTGCGAGGAGGTGCAAAGCAGACCAATGCATGATAGCGCTTAGGCAGATGTGCTTGAGGGAATCACTCCCGAATATTGTTGCCGGTTTGTAACCGGCAAAAAGAAAAATAAAGGAATAGAAAGAATATCAGAGGCCTTTTATCTGATGATACTGGATCGGCTGATAGAGATGGAAGACAGCCTCTGGATAATTTGGCAATACACTTGGTTGGCACACTAAATATAACAGTTTCTCTAGATATCCACAGAAGCGCGGCTCTGCCCAGCAGCAACAGGGATTCTCGGGGTCCGACCTTTGCCGAACAGCGCAAGACGGCGTAACATTTCCCTCTTCCTTCTCGGATTCCGGCATTTGCGGGACTCCACGAGGCTGAATTTTCATTTCCGTAGAGGGACCGAAAGTGAGAGCGACAATGGCTGCTTTCCCAGTACACATATGATAAGTCGCCGCCACGATCATCATCCTAGCTTACGGGCGTGGTTCATTGCTCCGCTGGCGTATATTATGAACGAGCGTCGTTAACCCTCGACATATCGTCTGGCGAATGAAGATCCATCCGCCACAGCTGATATAAACAACGTATATCCAGGAGGTTGCCGTCGCAGTCGTCTTCACTCGGGAAGTAGAAAAACCCCCGTTCCTTCAAGCCTCGTTGTATTTTCAATTAGTACCATATCTAGTGCATAGTAATGTATTTTGTAGATTTTAATAGCGTGATCTGAACATGTAAAAACATAACTCACCCGTGGAGGATGAGTCCCAGGCCCCGATAATGTAAAACGGGCTTTAGAAAGTTACCCCCTTATTGCTGCAACTTGATGAGAACTACTGTTTACTCGTCTGTTTTTTATCCTCATTATTTGAAAGTCACTTTTAGTTCAGCGACATAATCGTAGATTCTTTTTTCATTGAGATCATCGTGCTGGCACTCTGTGTGAATGGCTCATCCAATTGCTTAATGCTTAATCAATTCAGGCGTGTACGCCGTCCAGCCTGGGATTTTAACTTCTCATACCGGGGCCAATCGTTTACTGGGTGCCTGGCAATGCCTGGCCACCGATGAATCGTGGGAATCCTTGGTAGCCGAGCCAGAGCTCACCAGTTCCCGGCGGGCCACCGACAATCTCATTCTTGCGAGCCTTAAGCTCCTCAACATCCCAAGAAGAGAAGACGATCTTGTTCTTAAGAAATTCAGCTTCGGGGGAGACAATCCAGACGAGGAAATCGGCAGGAAGAGAGACTGGGAAAGAGTAATCTTTAGTTAGAATTGAACACACAGAGCGATGAGCCACAAAGAACAAGCTCAGTTGATACTCACTTTCATCGAAGGCAAATGGCAATTTAATCGACTCTGACAGCTTAGCAGACATAGCTGTATCGAGGAAACCGGGATGCACATTGTGAAGACGCACTTGCGGGTTCTCGACAGCGAAGGACTGCAGGACCTTGACAGCGGCCATCTTACTACTGACATAGGCGCCCATGCCTGTGAATGGGGGGAAGATGATGCCGGCCGTGGTCAGGTTGACGAATATGATCGGCCGGTCCTCGTTGGGGCTGACTGTTTTGTTCGCTAGGACGACAGCCTGTGCCGTTACCAGCGAACCGACAACTGTAGTCTTGTAGCCGTCCAGGAAAGTAGCCGGATCAGCTTCCAGAAGCGGAATAACGGGGGCCAGGACGCCGGCGCAGTGGATCAGGATGTCGATGCCGCCAAACTCGGCAGCCACCTTGTTCATGGTGTCGCGGACGCTCGAAGCATCGCACAGCTCAGCCTCGTAAGTTTGGATCGTCACCTCTGCGTAGCTGTTGCGGACAATGGCGGCGGTTTCAGTCAAGGCGTCGGCACGTCGACCGAGAAGGATGAGGGCCCGGGGGCGCGATGCAGCGAAGGCTGAGGCTGTGGCTCGCCCGATGCCGCCAGATGCGCCAGTGATCAACACAACCTTTCCCGCAGTAGAGAGGCCTGGCTGGGTTGGATTGATGCCAGCATAGGTGGCAGAGTGAGTGACCTTGGTGTACGAGGGCGGTGGTGATGCCATTGTCGCTATGTGGGTTGGAATGTAGTGCGTAAGATGAGAGTAGCTGAGATCCAGATAGGTAGCAGAAAATACGCAAGATCAGGAAAGCACTAATTCAATATGGCGGGAAGAGGATTAAATAGGCATATTACAGCCAAGGGGAAGGTTGTTCATCCTGGTCGCATATTCGATGGACAGGACTCCGTACCCTGCTAGTGTTTAGGCGGCAAGCCGCGAGGGATGAGGCTAGACGCGAACCTCGTTCCCCGCGTGCTTCGGGGCTTTTAAGTCTTAAATTCACGGACTCCGAGAAGACGCAGCCAAAACCCCCCGAGCAGACCAATGATAGCGGCTGCTCTTAGCTCTGGGAGAATCCCCGCCAATGGGACGCAAGTTCGCGTGGACAGCCGCGCCAACATGAACAAAGAACAAAGAGCGCAAATCACTGATCAGAACATATGACTCACGATAAACAAAGAAAGTCCATCGGGTGGAAGCCCCTTGGACACGACGCGCCGATCGATGTAACGGTGGCGCGAGAGCTTATAAGATTCCATACGCCGGTGAAGCTTGAGCATAGGGGGCCATTTCAGCACGACTCGTGCTAGTGCATCCATACTCATGAGGCCGAGACATCCTCAGCCATCATGGCTCCAACTAGGGCAGGGCTGGAATATATAGAGTAAGATGAACAAATCTTTGAGCAAGCGACAAAATCAGCAATCTAGAATTCTTATAATGTCCTACTAGATCGTCGATCCATCGATCGACAGCGTCAAAACACAACGGGCAATCATCGGAGCTAAAGATATGCTGCCGATTGGTCATAGAAATGGTTTCAGGCTAGGTTGAGCTAGGAGATTGATTGAGCTGCGACGCGAGAGTACAGGAAGAATACGACGCGCTATAACACCATAGGCTAGCATGCCTTTTCTTCCTCCCCGTCGCCAATAAAGGGTGATCCGGGGTTTCAAGCTTTTCAGCAGATTAGAAAGGTAATAACGTTACGAAGTATTTATTATGCTCATTACATATTGAACATGAGAGGAAATCGAATTAACCAACATGAAACTTCTAGTAATTGCTACTATTATTTCGGGACGGCCACAATGACCGAGTTCCGCATCACAGGACTATAGGTCTTGATTTCCTTCACCTTCAAGCCTGCCTTGTCCAAAAGCGCATACCACTGGTCAACCGTTCTCTCCATCGCTCCATGCATGATATACATCTGCATATCGATGCAGGTACTCCACCAGTGAACACTGGTGTTTGGAAGAGCCAGATCATCGATCAAGATCTGCGAGTCCTCCGACATGGCTGGAATAATCTGTTTCAGAATTTCCACCGACTTATCATCCTCCCAGTCATGGAGGATCGCGCGCAGGTAGTAAAATTTGGCACCTGAAGATGTTCAGCAAATGGAAATCAACTTTCATAAAAAGAGAAACGTGAGCTTTACCGTTCACTGGTTGCTTCGTGAAGAAGTCATGCACCATGAAATCTACACCATTAACCTCGGGTGCACGTCGAATGGTCTCCTCACGATCCTGCAAGACGACTCGACCAGCCAAACCTGGGTGTTTAGCAAGCAAGCGCGCGCACTGGTGACCGATATTGCCGCCGATATCGACAAAGACTTTCCGGTCAGTGGGGTCATTGGCCTCGTCCTCAAACGGTATAACGTCGAGCCAGCTGCCATCCCGAGGAATACTCATAAGCTGCTGGAAGTATTTGAGAATCTGGGGGTTTTGCTTTGCCCATGGGAAGAATTCCAGATCGGTATTAGCGGACTTGTGCCAGGCACATTGTCCTCCAGTGGTGTTCTGGTACTTGTTTTCTTGCAGATATTCTGGCAGGGCCTGATAAGCTGGGACACTAATGTGGAAACTGCCGCTCGGTCACATTTCAATATTTAGCTCAGCGGCGTCTTTGCAAGATACGTTTCATCATGAAATGAGGAGATCGCTGATGGCGACTTACGCATGAAGTAACCCGCCCTGAATTCGAGGGTCTGAGAGTCCCTTGGTGGACTTATTCCCAGTAAAGAGATTCTTATCTGTTTCAGTGATGAAACGGTTGGCGGCAAGAAAACGTAACACTCGGGACATAAGAAGGGGGTCAACGCTTTTGCCTGACGCTAGTTCATCAATTGAAAATGGCTCTGTGCGGCTGGCAAGAGTTGTGAATATCTCCAAATCGTATCCAATCTTAAGCATGGCTGTTTGCCTTCCCTGTTACTCGAGTTAGTTAGAATGCCTTCATTGAACCATCTCGATCATCTCGTGCAGGCTATAGAGGAGCTAACCGCGTTCAACAAGCGAAGCATCATGTCGTAAGGGGTCTCAAGAGCCTCGGCTGCTTCGTGCAAACCATCTTGAAGGCGGAGTCTGTTTGCCTCGTCAAGATGAGTAAGGGCACCTAGGGGAGCAATGAGATTGTCCATGATGGTTTTCGGAAGCTCAATGGTTGCTTGGGTGTTTGTGCAGAGAAAGGGGATTTCACCGGCGCTGAATCAGAAAAGCAATGTGCTCTTTTGTATTCCTCCGTAAAGAATTGATTATCTGGGCGGTTCTTGTTGTCCGTTGACCTTTCTTGGCCCCCGTATTCCCCGGGCTTACCAGGGCTCAATGCGCTTTTGGGAGACCCGGAGCCCGAGCTGACCCAGAAACTCCCCGAGTTTGACTCTCTTCTGATTTGCTTCTAACGCTTCAGTGAAAAAAGGGCTTGCCGAAGAGGAAGCAAATACGCAATCCCCCAATGTCTGAGCTTTCTAATCTGGAAAATGCATGCATGATGTTGCCTGCATGGCGTCGGCTACATACAATGTGAGCTTCAAAACGATGTCGGACCGAGAAGCGCTCATTTCCAAAGATCGGCCAATTCGGTGATATATGTGCTCATCTTGGGGATGAACCTGTGATCCCTTTCATTCTGGGTCTCCTTTTCCAAATTCATTTGCGGTGCGGTTCAATTCAGAAAAGCTCATATGCAGCATTTAGTCCTGCAGGGGTGGGATCTGGATGATAGTGCAGGGTAACGAAAGTCCCTCGAATTTTCCTGGAGCAGTCCATATTGTTGAATTGTAGTGCTCTAGTCTCATTTATATTTCCTATAAACTGTAGACCAATGTTTGCTATTGGAACTGTCAAAATGTAAGAGTGCTTGCCACACCCCCGACATCATGGTGATGTCAATTTCCATATATTATGCATGACCAGGAAAAATCTCCAGAATAACCTTGGAAAGATCGAAATCAGGTCCGTTCGTGTTGCTCCTGAACATAAAACATTTCTAGATCCTCAGTTGAACAGAAGGGACTCATATATACTTTCCACCATATCCTGAACTTACATATTTCCACCCACGAATCAATTGACAATGGCGATGTCCCAGGCGGCAAATTTGGTAGAGAGGATAATCGGCCATGGCGATAATGCAACAGTTACCACTGATGTGTCGCATTACAACAATGAGCATGGAATGGAGACTGGGGAGATGATCCAGGCAACTACGTGGCAAGGGAAGAACACAGTCAAAGTTGGTAAGAACATGATTCGCCTGAGTGTCTTTTTCATTATCATTGACATACCGTGATCAGTGAAAATGCCCAAGCCACGAGTGATTGACCCCGGAGATGTGATTGTCAAGGTGACAGGGAGTACTATTTGTGGTAGCGACCTGCACTTATATCATGGTATGAAGACCATCCCATTACTATCAGCGAGCGGCTATACTGACACAATCTGTGGTGACCGAAGGCGTCATCCCTCAGTTAGAGAAGGGCGATGTCCTCGGCCACGAATGCTGTGGAATTGTGGAACGTGTAGGCCCGGAATCGAAGAAATTTCGAGTCGGAGAGCGAGTTGTTGTATCCTTCCCGATTGCTTGCGGAGATTGCAGGAATTGTCGAAGGGAGTATTACTCTCAATGTGTTAAAACCAACGAGAACACGCTCACCAATGCTATGTATGGGAAGCGGACTGCAGGTAGGTCAAATGAAGTACCTGAAAGGCTCTTCAGTCTGCCCCGTGTGAACCCAAGATTCATAGTATTGATCGGAAATAGGTATATTCGGTTATTCCCATTTCACGGGCGGGTTCGCAGGTGGACAAGCCGAGTACATTCGAGTTCCATACGGCGATGTCAATCTGCTTTCTATCCCAGCCGATGTCCCAGACGAGAAAGCATTGTATGTCTCGGATGTTCTGGCAACATCATGGCACTGCGTGCTCGACACCGGAGTCAACAGAGGGGACGTCGTTGCGATTTGGGGGGCTGGGCCGATCGGACAGATGTGTGCTCAGTTCAGCTTCTTCCACGGAGCTAGTCGTGTCATTCTCATCGATGGTGGGGATGGCGCATGGCGATTGGACTACGTGAAGACAAAAGCGCCAAAGATTGAGACGATCAACTTCACCGATTTGCCGAAGGGCGAGTCTGTGACATCACAGCTGCAAAAGATGGTCGAGGGCGGACCAGATGTCGCTCTAGAGTGTGCAGCGGGCGAATATGCTAAGGGATGGGCACATTACTTCGAGCAGCTACTCGGGCTAGAGACGGATACCTCAGAATTGCTGAATGAGATGATCACTGCCGTTCGCCCCTTTGGGCATGTTGGCGTAACGGGTATCTATGCCGGATATGTGAGTTCACTTCCCTCGGCCGGTTTTCGGAAGAGAAAAGGATCTAACCCTTGAATGCTCATTCTCAGACAAATCACTTTAACATTGGAGCTCTCATGCAGACCGGTGTTCATCTTATGGGCAATGGCCAGGCCCCTGTCCACAAGTATTGGAAGCACCTCATGCATCTGATTCAAACACATGAGGTCAACCCACTGGATATGGTAACCCATCGGGTCCGTTTAGAGAATATGGAAGAGCTATATGCGATTTTTGACAAGCGAGATATGGGGATGCAAAAGGTCTTTGTACAGACCAAGCACTCTGCTCCTCCAGCAAATGGGGCTCCTCAACTAACAGAGCTGTGAAATAGCCATGTCAATACATTGATACGACTGCTGAAATTGGGAACAGCCCCGTGCTGATCAGTCCTCTGAATCATAAGTAGCCGAAAATTCCAAAAATCGCCAGATCCGCGTCAAGCGCTCGGGATCGAGGCGTCAGGCATAGCTGAGATATTTATGAGAGAATATTACCTATGTTCGCAACCCTTTCCTGGCGTATTGTGAGGCTACATGGATCCAGTGCATGTACGCAGCGTACTGTACAAAATCCACAAATGTGAGATAAATGATTTGGCACAGAGCTCATGTCCCTTGCATTTGAAAGAGAGGCCCCGTAAGCAAAAGCTAAACGCCGACTTGGTATCGATCAACTTACCTGGAATCTGATTCGTTCAATCATACTTGCAGTATGTATTATGCATCGTCGTTTTGACACCCAGCAGCTCCAAAACGAATAGGTGGCCGGGATATTTACTCGGGTGATAAGTGCGTCATAAAATCGGTTTATACTACCCATTTCATCACAACCAGAGGGAAAATATAACCGAGAACAGTGGATCGTTCTTCGGATCGCCACCGAAAATGCACCGTGGTGGTTGATAATGAGCAGTGAATCTGTCCAATAACGGCGATTTCTTTTTACGCCCATTTTTCCCACCGTCTATCCATGCGCATGTCACACGTAGTCTTGGCTGAACTGCGGCGGTATTCTCCAGATCGGGCCATCTATGCGAAAGTTCCGTTGTTCGGCTCTGGCTCGGGATGAGGTTGGGATCACCCACTGATTGATAAGAATCTGCTGTGGGGGCTCGGCCTCCCAAAACACTTCGCAGAAGGCCAATCATCCAATTACCTGCCTGAAGATGCCCAGAGAGGAAAGATGAAACGGACGGAAACACATCGAATTTTCACCATTCTCCAGCCTCACCCGTGGGTTGCGGTCTGATCAAACACGTTAGTGCAATCAGATAAGATCAGAAAGACCGAGAACGGATGCAATTTGCCATGTCGATCCATACCCTCACCGCTGCTGCATGACTTCTAGCAAAGTTATCGACGCAATGAAGCGACCCCATTGGCTCAATCACCGTTTCTGCTAGGTAATAGCTGCTTGGCCAGAAGTAGGGCAATCTTGCCCATCCATGGTCAACGGATTGACGAGATTGAAGACACTCCACTCCAGTAAATTTTACGCTGGAGAATTTCCTTCCGTGTCGCCTGTCAATGACTCATTGACGATCGAGCGGGTGAACGGTGAGCTGCCCAGTAAATCGAAGGTCTTGTGTACGGTGTACATTGTAGGGCGCATGGAATGGATTATTTGCTATTGTAGCTATCCTTTCTGTTTCACTTCGAGGTATCTCCGCGTATTCGAGTCACATCTTTTATTCTCTTCAAGTGCTACAAACGCAGTTAGCGAATAAAATCCGATACACTGCTACTGGGGGAACCTTGGAGCAGTGCGTCAGCCCACCAACGCTTTCTCGGCACGATCTCCACTAACATTGGGGATTTCTCGGATCAGATAAAACTCGAATGAGATCAGGATTGGATCTAGCTTGTAGATGACCAATAGTAATTCCGCACCGAAAAAAAAAAGAAAACCTATAGAGACGAGCAAAACTATACAACCGAAGGTCGAGTCCGAAACCGGAATCATGTGAGCACATAATCTAATCTGATCATCGGCCACTTTTCTCGGCTTTCTCCCCTCGCATTTCTCCTCCTTCTCAGTAAGCTTCGCATATCCTGTTGTCTTGTTCATTTCCCCCCTGGATTTTTGGAGGTTTTAGACAGAACCGAGCTCGAAAGTCTACTCGTTCTATTCTTCCTCTCCATCTGGTCTTTCTCGCTTATCGGCTCGCATGTGCGCACTTCCGCCCTTCCGACCGAGAAACGGCTCGTGCGTCCGCCCCGGCCACGCCCGATTCTAGTTCTTAACTGACCTCAACACAGCATTTGAACTTCAATTCGGTGTCGACATGGCCACCAGTGGTGTGTCTTTGGCCCCTGCTCCAGGTGGAGCTATGGCACAAGCCCTTGCCCCGGCGCCCACTCTCGCTGCCCGCCCTTCTGTGGCTCCATCCCCAGGACCCGGCACCCCCGGCTCCATCACCTCGAAGGAATGGGTGATCCCACCACGCCCCAAGCCTGGCCGCAAGCCAGCTACGGATACACCGCCGACTAAACGCAAAGCGCAAAATCGGGCAGCTCAGCGAGCGTTCCGTGAGCGCCGGGCTGCTCGAGTCAGTGAATTGGAGGAGCAAATGAAGGAAATAGAAGATAGCCACGACATTCGGGTGGCTTCTCTTCAACAACAAATAGGCAACCTCTCCAGCGAGGTGGATCAGTGCCGTGAGGAAATGGGCTGGTGGCGCGACCGATGCCACGCTTTGGAGAAGGAGGTATCAATCGAGCGCAGTGCGAAGGAAGCCCTTGTCAAGGAGTTCCGGTCGTCTCTTGCTGGCCCTAAAGTCACCAAGCCCGCACCCATCCCAGACTCTGTGCCATTGCCGCCTCGCAAGACCAGAAGTAGCCGAATGGAAGGTGTCCAGCCTACTAATGTCGACCTTAACAAGGAAGATGGACAAATGAACGTACCCTTAGGATGCAACAACTGCTCCAACGCCCACTGCCAGTGTATTGAAGATGCGTTCGGCATGCCAATCGAAACCCACGAGTCCTCTCGTTCTCGGCACGCACCACACGGTGTGGGCAGCCCGGAACGCGATCATAGGGATCCTCATATTAAACCCGATCCGGAAGAAATGGAGATCGACTTTACCGCCCAATTCTCCAGTCTTCCACACCAGTCTCATGATGATGCCATCTCCTCGCCTCCCGTCGATCCCTGCGGATTCTGTCAGGATGGCACCCCGTGTATCTGTGCTGAGATGGCTGCACAGGAGCAGCAACGCGTACGCAACGCCCTCGAGGCCAATCGTCTGGCACCCATTCAATCCATCTCACAGTTCACACCACCCCCATCTGAGGGAGATGTCCGCTCAGAAGTGACTCTCCCGCCCATCACCCAAGCGACCAACCCCTGTGCCAACGGACCAGGTACTTGCGCCCAATGTCTTGCAGACCCCCGAAGCACTCTTTTTTGCAAGACGTTGGCAGCCTCCCCGGTCAGCGAGCGGCACTCCATCGGGAGGAGGCTGCTGCGGAGGTGCAGGAAAGGACGGCGGATGCTGCATGTCAAAGAATGCCCCCTCCACCACGACCTTCTCGCGTAACAACACCACCCTGCCTTCGCAACCTCCCGCACCCAAGCCCGCTCAACCCTCTGAGCTAACGCTCAGCTGTGCCGATGCTTTCACCACCCTTTCCCGCCACCCTAACTTCTCCCGCGCCAGCGACGAGATCTCCACCTGGCTGCCCAAGCTCCACACCCTCCCCAACCCCCGCGATCTCGCTCCCCCAGACAGCCGAGCTGCCATGGAAGTCGAGGCCGCCAGCGTAATGGGCGTGCTGCGATACTTCGACCGACGTTTCGCCGAAAAATAAACCAAAAAAGACTTCGTTTGTGGATTTCATAAATCGTCCGGGTTTCCCTCTTGCGTTTTTGTTTCATCCTCCCCACAAGGATACCTTTGATACCCATACCCTCCCCCTCCCTACCCGGATGCACCATGTACCATCATACGGACTTGTCTCACATCCTTTCTGTGTCTCTACTTTCCTCCCGGGGGAATCTATCGTGGCTTCTTCTATACATGACTAGATTCATTCTCTAATCCCCACACCCTCAAAAGCATGATATGTTGATTCTCATTCGATTTCACCGGGGTCGCCTGGTGCAGGGACTTCTGGCCGCTATGAACATGGTCAGTGGTCGATCTGGTGGTCCCTTTGGTTTTCGATGTTCTCCGAACTCTCTCCCTTCATTAGATGGATGGATTCTAGTGGCGTTTCGGTTTCAGGGGTTATGTGTACAACGTGGTTTTATTATGAATTGAACGATAGTACCGTACTGCACTTTGTCTTTCTGAATAATGTATTTGTGTAGATCGATTTAAATGTCAGCTTTCTCGTCTCATGTCCTAGTCAATGTCGGCAAACATGGGTTGCGTGATATATAATACGTGTCTGCGGAGAAATCGAGACTTGCACTTGGCATACAAGGTTATAGGAAACACAAAGAGAAATAAACATTTATAAGAGGATTCCATTTTCCAGGATGATATATGTGATAGTGATAGGTCCATTACCAAATGTATTCTCGTGTACAGGGTTGCACGTAACGTGAAGAGCAAGAAAAACGCCAAACACCAGCCCGGATGCTAAGTTGATGAGCCAGCGATTTGATATGGGAGGGTAAATAAAAGACAAGGAACAAGAACATCAAGAAGTGAGCTTAACGTCCTCTTCCACGCCCACCACCGCCACCTCCCATTCCGCCCATCAACCCACCCATTTGGCTCATTAAACTCTGCATATCCATACCGCCGAGGTTAGGCATGCCGCCACCGCCGCCTCCCATCATCTGCATCATCTTGGCCATATCAGGCATGCCGGGCATGCCACCACCACCAGCACCACCCATGGAGGCCATGCGCTTCTGCATGGCTGCCATCTGCTGATCCTTGTTTCCGCCCTTCATCATGTTCTGAGCACGCTGCATCTGCTTCTTCTGGCCGCCAACACGCTTGGCCATGCCGGCCATCATGCGGTGCTGGGAGAGCAAGTCCTCAACCTCGCGGACGGTGGTTCCACTACCGTGCGCAATGCGGACCATGCGGCTAGGCTGCTCGACGAAGTTCTTGCCGTCGCCGTCTAACTCGGCTACAGTCATGCTGTCGAAGATGTAGACCATGCGGCGGAGCTTCAATGAGCCGTCCTCGTCATCCAGACCTTGGGTCATGTTCGACAGACCTGGAATCATGCCGGACAATTTGGACAGCGGGCCCATCTTCATAATAGATGTGATGTTTTCGCGGAAATCACGCAGAGTGTAGATACCTTCCGCAATGTGCTTGTATGTTTCCTTAGCACCTGCGGAATCCTTCGTCATGGCCTGTACGTGCTCGACCAGTCCGGCGACATCGCCCATACCCAAAAGCTTCTGGACGAATGCACGGGGCTCGAATCGCTCGAGATCCATCATGTGCTCACCAGTACCAAGGAAGATAATAGGAGTGTGTGTCGCCGCGACAGCAGAAATAGCACCACCGCCAGCGGCATGGCCGTCGGTCTTAGTGATGATGATAGCTCCGAAGTCTGCAGTGGCCTTGAACGCCGAGGATTGCGCCTCTGCAGCTTGACCGATTGTGCTGTCCAGCACGAGGATAGTCTGATCTGGGGTTACAGCAGTCTGAATCTGTGTCATTTCCGTGAAGAGCTCCTCCTCCTGTCGGTGACGACCACTGGTATCGACGATAATGATATCGAAACGCTCCTTCTTGAACTTCGCCACACCCTCAGCAGCTACAACAGCAGGATCCGTCTGCGTCAAGCTACCGTAGTATGGAATTTTAGCCTTGGTTGCGTTCTGCTTCAACTGATCAAAAGCACCAGCACGGAATGTATCCGCACAAACCAGCGCTGTCTTGAATCCTCGAGTCTGGTAGTGGCGAGCCAGCTTTGTACAAGTGGTTGTTTTACCCGCACCCTGCAAACCGACGAACATGATCACATTGGGGCGACCCTTCTTCGGCCGGAAAGCATCCGCATGTGGATCGACCAATTTGACAAGCTCGTCGAAGACGGTCTTCTGGATAAGGCGCTTCTTGTTCACCGCAGCTGGTAGTGAGGCGAAGTTCACGCTGGCCTTGATCGATTTGCGCAAAGTTCCCACAAGACGGACGTTGACATCGGCGGAGAGGAGAGCGGCGCAGATTTCTTTCAGCATGTCATCGAATGCCTGATCTTCTATTAGTGAGATGGTTTAAGAGCCACGTTGGACTACACATACCTTCTCATCTAGGTTATTGGACCTCGTCAGGTCATTGACGGCGGAGTTGATTCGCCGCCCAAGGTCTTGAAGAACCATGGTAAATGTGTGTGTAAATGTAAATGATTAAAAAAAATAGCCCGGAATGAGACCGTCGTCGTCTATGATTCCACGATGGAGGAGGGGTGAGGATGAAGCCCATCGAAAGACCAGAGAGGCAATGTGGAGGAGCCAATCGGAGAGCCGATGGTTTTTCACCGCCCCCAAAAAAAGTTGTGATATGGATTTGGATCAGCGAGACTTTCTTTTTTTTTAACAATCATTACATTATTTTTGTCAAAATGCCTCCCCCTCTTCAAAGAAGCGCAAGGTCCTTGATGGCCTGAAGGGCAACACTGGCCGCAAGAAGAAGTTCCAAAAGCAGCGCTTCTATCACAGTAGCTCCGAGGACGAAGAAGAAGATGGGAATTTCAACGCCGTCAGTCTCGAAGACTCGGACGCCGAGGAGGGAGGTGTCACAGTGTCAAAGCCTTCGGCGCTTGATCTCCGCATGAAGAAGGCGAAGACCAAGGAAGCTCCCGCACCGCAACCGAAAAAATCAGACAAGAGCGATTCCGACTCCGACATGGGCGAAGAGATTGAGCTCGACGAGGCAGACCTTGAGAACGACGATGACGAAAGTGATGCCTCTGGATCCGACGATGAGGATCTTTCCGATTCATCCCCAGCCGGCAAAGCCACAGGCGCCAATCGCGGCCGATCCGTCCCTAAGCGCAACGACCCTACCGCATTCTCAACCTCCATCTCCAAAATTCTGTCCACAAAACTTCCCTCCTCCGCACGCGCTGACCCCGTTCTCTCACGAAGCTCTTATGCCTCGAAGCTGTCTACCGATGCCGCAGATGAGAAGCTTGACAAGGCCGCGCGGGCCAAGATGCGCGCCGAGAAGAAAGAGGAATTGGATCGCGGCCGTATCCGTGATGTGATGGGTATCCAGAGAGGAATTGCTGGACCCGTTGCTGAGGAGGAGAAGCGCGTGCGCAAGATGGCGCAGCGTGGTGTCGTCAAGCTGTTCAATGCTGTGCGTGCAGCCCAAGTCCGAGGAGAGGAGGCCGCCAAGGATGAGCGCAAGAAGGGTACAATTGGTATGGGGGAGCGGGAGAAGGCTGCCAACGAGGTCAGCAAGCAAGGATTCCTTGAGTTGATCAATGGAAAGAAGGGAAAGCCTTTGAACATCGAAGAGGCGTGAGCTGGACCTACGATTACCCATGGCATGTTTCTGGCGTTCGGAGACTTTTTGTTTGTTGTATATTCTTTCTACATTGTAATAAAATTGCTCATGTGGAGAGTCAAAAACTTGGTTTAAAATAGTACAGGAGATTTCCATTTTGTGATATTGTGCAGGTCTACTACATGTAGTTGCATCGTATGAATAGTACAGTACAAAGTCCTATTTGAAACTCAAATAGGACCGTAAACTCCCACTGGTTTCAGTGGATTGGCTGGAATAGGATGTAAGGGTATTCGAGATCCAGACAGTCTCCTTCCTCGGTCTTTGTTGTCATTTATTTTGCCTCGAAGTCGCTTGCTTGGAGGTTCCGCGTCATGGACGGCAACCGCACGACCATTCCGTCAAGATCCTTGGTCATGATCACCTGGCATCCCAACCGGGAGGTCTCGGTGAGGCCAAAAGCCAGATCCAACATGTCGTTCTCGTCGTCCGAAGGCTCTTCCATTTTATCGAAGGTGTCCGGGTCCTCCACAATCACATGGCACGTTGAGCAAGCACACGATCCTCCACATGCACCTATTTAGAAGAATCCAGTTGGTCTTTGCATTGAAGAAAAATAACCTTGTCTCTCAACTTACCTTCCATCTCAAGATCATTTGCCTGTGCAATGTCTAGTAGGTTATCGCCCTCGGAGACCTGGAGATCGATTCTGGTGCCATCCTTGTCGATGAAAGTCAGATTGATCCTGTGGAGTCAATTAGTATGCAGCGCATAGAACACAAAAGCGCAATTAGAGGTATGTTCATGGGCGTACTCTTCTCCGGCCTTCGGCGGCGTGATGTGACCATGTGCAGCTTGCGCAGTCACCGAGAACGCACGTCGGGCTGTGTTATATCCTTGGAAGGATGATTGAAGGCTTTTCTGTGCGTTGATATTCGAGCGAGGCTGTGTTGTGATTCCGGTGTTCCTCCATGACCTTGAGTAGCTCAGGCATCTCCGCGATTGAGTCAAACAGATATCACCCGCCGCGGTCTTGGGTACACGGCGCAATTGCTGGCCGACTTCTCTCCAGAAAGCCATATTGCAGAGTAAATAAATAAATTTAAAAACAGGGGTAATCTGAAAGTCAAAGGGGAGAAAAAAGAGGATCCGGGGGAAGATGGGAAGAACGAGCAAATGCTCGTCCAATGGCCGCGGAGGAAAAAAAAGACTGACAAAGCTTGGGCGTTCGGACATTCCACTCCTCCCGTTCTTCTTTCCCCGAACCTCTTTATCCCCGATTAACATCACATCATGTCGTCTCGTGAAGGGATCAATCCCTTGCGGCCTTACTATATCCCTCCCTCTGGCTTATCGCCCGCTTCAAATGCGCCGCCTGAAGTGGCGTCGCCGTCATCCGCCCAGGTGTTTGGCACCTCCGCGCGTGATCTCATCCCGGACCTAGACTATGCCGATTATCTGGAAGCATCGCCCTCCGTTTCCGACTGGGTCCGCGATGCCATGAACCGAGCGCTTGTGCGCTACAGCAAGGTTCTCACTGCACAGCCATTCGATGTCGCCAAAACTATCTTGCAGGTGTATGTTGTACCGGACGCCATAGACGAACAGTGGGACCGGAACTCGACACCGGGTGATGAAGGAAGCTCTTATGACTCGGTATGAACAATGTCTCCTATATCTGCTATGAAGCTGTACCTATTCCCACGGCAAATGACTGATATTCTTGCGTTTAGGACTCAGAATCATCCGATGACGAAACCAGCTACTTCACCTCAGCAGCCCCTCCAACCCCAACGCCGAGTACACCTCGATCTCGGAGATCACGCCACCACCTCACCGACCGTAGTGGTTACATTCGACCAGACGCTGCCGCACAGTCAAAGCATGCCTTGAACCTGAAGAACACCAACTCATTGACCGAAGTTCTATCTCAATTATGGTCTTCCAGTGGCCCAACATCCCTCTGGAAATCCTCCAACGCCACATTCATTTACTCCCTTCTCCTGCCGACACTGAATACCTTCATCCGCAGTCTTTTGTCGGCAATCGTCGGCTTGCCAGAAGATGATATTTCCTCGTCGATGACAGCTGACATCCTGACTGCCTCGTCTCCCCTGGCGACGCTGGTCCTCTCCTTTATTTCATCCTCGCTATCCGCCCTGATTCTCGCTCCTATCGACACCGCTCGTACATTCCTGATGCTCACACCAGCCACCCACGGCCCGCGGTCCCTCGTCCGAGCCATTCGACAGCTCCCCACACCCAACTGCACGATCCCCTCGCACCTCGTCCCAATCACCGTGCTTCACTCAAGTCTCCCCAACCTCATTATGACCTCGACCCCACTCTTCCTAAAATCATATCTATCCATCGACCCACTCTTGAACCCAAACACATGGAATCTCTGTGCTTTCCTTGGATCAGGCCTTGAGCTCGCGGTGCGATTCCCACTCGAAACCGTGCTCCGCCGTGCCCAAATTGCTACATACACATCTTTAAGTCTGCGCCAGAAGTCATCTGGCGGTAGCATTAGTGCAGCATCTATTGATGCATCTGATGTGGAAACTATTGTGCCTACCCCGCGCACTTATCGAGGCATTATCGGCACCATGTGGCATGTTGTATACGAAGAAGGTGTCAGCTCAACACCATCTGACAGAGAGCGTGCACAGAAGCTCCTTGGCCGGCGCCCCTCGCCGCAACGGGCTGAGAAGCGGCAACAGGGCCAGGGTATCCAAGGCTTATATCGTGGTTGGCGCATTGGCATGTGGGGTATCGCAGGCATCTGGGGAGCTTCCCTGTTGGGCGGAATCGCTGGTGGCAGCGAAGACGAAATGACAACAAGAGATGGCCACGGTCGTTCCAGTGGTGGACGCTTCTGATCCCACACACCTACCCAGGAGGCCTGTGTCTTTGTTTTGAATACCATCAAATCAAATTTCCTGAGCCATCTTTCTTATTTCACATTTGCTCTTGCGGTTCTGGCCGAGAAAGCCCAGTATCTCGCATTTTCTAGATTGGCTACCTCGGAAGCATATCTCCCATCGCGTGCCCCTGAGTATTTGTTCTTCACTCTTCCTGTCTTATCTACATTTTATACCCCAGGGAATGGATCCAGGGGATAAGGGCGCTTGGCGTCCTGTTTTCGGTTTGGCCGCCTTTGCAGTGCAGCCTGTGTACAAAATCTCTCCTCCTTGCGACATAGCTACATATGTAACGAGATATAAGTCATAACCTTTTCTGGCTCCGGCCTTGCTATCGATTTAGCGTACTTTACAATTGATCATAGAACGATTCATTCTGTAGAAAGGTCGATGTTGGGAGCCTACAAACCCGAACGAAGCAGGCACCTAGTTTATAGAAAAGGTACGTGGAGATGTGACTAGATCTTACTTTAAGGTGAACAAAAAGATCTCGCTATCAGTTTTCTGATTCAAGTTCGCGATATTGTACACTGCTGTAGTGGCCCAAAGGCCAGAACCGCGTTGAAAAAAACATCAAAGATCCAGAATAGGTAATAGGCTTAACCATCCTGCCTTGATACGTTCGAATAAACAAAACCAAAGATCACTTGGACATCATCAAGCCATCTAACCAAGCCTCTCGGCCCTTTTCACTTGACTCGCAAGATCAAAGTACAAGTCCGTAACCTTCTCAGTAACCAATTTCGCCACCTCTGGCACACGTCCCACAACAGTCCCAAGCACCACACTCCAACTAAGACCCCCGATCTTGTCTTCCAGCACACGGCCCGGCGGCAGACGCAGTCCAGCAGCACTCGCGTCACGATCCAGCGGGATACTGAGACGATACTTCCAAACAACCTCACCATCGACATACAGCGAATAAGTAAGAGCAGAGCTGCGCACCCGCACAGAAGCGCCGGAATCCACAACATCGATATCATCGGCAATATGAATAAGCCCGAACTTACTGTTTCCAGTCGGCGCATACTTCACAGTCACATCCTCGCTGTCGGTCTGGTGGTACGTCCGGATGGGGAGGTAAAACATGCTCAACGGACCAACGCTGAACTCATGCAGCCCCCGTCCGGCGGTATTGGGTTTGAGCTCGTCGGGGCGTGGATTGAATGTCGGGTCTGGGAACCGGGTGGCGCCGAATTCGTGTCTATCGCCGCTGAGCAGGACGATGCGGACGCCTAGCTCCCGCTCGGCTCGCCACATTGCTTCGAAGACTGTGCGGCGCTCGTCTAGGAATCCGCCCCAGGTGTCGGCTGTGCCGACGTGCCAGTTCTTGGTGAAGGGGACGCTGGAGGAAATGATTTTCCAGTGGACGCCCGCCGGCTCCGGGGTTGAGATGTAGGTGAGGAGGGATTGGAGCTGGGCGTTGCCGAGGATGGTGGAGTTCTTCTGGGATGGCTCGTTGCGGTAGGTGCGGGTGTCTAGCATGAAGAATGAGGCTGGGCCGCGGGTGAATGCGAAGTAGGTTACGTTGTCTGGGTGCGCGAATGGTGTTAAGGGGATTGGTGGGTTGCCTCGGACGTGGTAGTGGATGAAAGGGTCGGCGGCAGCAGGGTATGGATCTGTTTTGTTTCCTTGGGACCAGTCGTTCTCGATCTCGTGGTCGTCGAGAGTGTGTAGCCAGGGGAGATCGATTGCTTGATTGTCTTCTTCGCCGAAGGACCATGAGGGAGATGAGTAGATCCGTCTATACTCGCTGCGGTAGTGCTCCATGGATGATCCAAAGCGCCAGGGTACATCTATGTAGATGAAGTCGCCCAGGAAGAGCATAAATGCTGGGCGAAGTAGTCTCGGTAGTCTAGCGAGGGCTTCGGTCATTTGCTCAAGGCCTGGGACCCGCAATGGGTGTGATAGTATGTTGTAAGGGAAGTTTGGCTTCAGGCAACTCGATGTTACAAAAGATAGCTGGCTTGCTTCCATCATCTCGGGTGATGGCGCTGTAACGAATGTGCCAGACTGGTTGTTGGACAGCGCATAGCGATATGTTGTCGCTGGCTTCAGGTCATTGAGGGTCACTGTTGTTGTAAAGTCGGTGGTATGATCCAATTTGTCAATGATATCCTCCTCATACCAGCCCAGAGATGCTTGAAGGACCTCTTGGTACGAGACCACAATTGGCAGGCGAGTGGTGTCAGGCTCACGGAAGACCAAGTTGGCAGTGGTCGGGGAGACGTATCCAACCCGAGAGAACGCGACATTCGCAGTAGGATAGAAAAGAGATCCTCGAACTAAGAAGTCAACTGAGACAAATGCTAGGGCAACATTGATCAAGATTGTCATCCTCGTCCATAGGGGCCATCTCGCCGAGGGCAGCCCGGTCAACAGTGTCCTGAGCACAGAATCACTGGATTTGGTACGACGAGAGCCCGGCTTACGCGCTGTGGATACATTGTTAGATTATTGCTTTTTTTTGAAGGTTTGCAAATGAAGCCTAACTGGTTGGGCCATGCGGCTTCGCGGTCTGCCATTCATCAGGCCGGGTGTCCTTAATCAAGGAGAAGATTGACGACAGATACACCACCAGGGAGGTCAACAGGAGGGGTACAAAGTGATGACCAGGGATCTGTTAGAATGGCTAGGATTAGGTTCCAGGAACGCGAAACTGATGTGTTGACAAGCTTCATACCCATCTCAGAAACATGAAGGCCGTCAGTCGGATGACCGCTGAACTTGTGGCCACAGCAATGCGCCGAAAAGAAGCCATTGTGCAACGTGATACGGAAAAACAAATTTAATTTCAATCACCGCATGCTCGATGTAGAACAATAGCTGGGGATAGTTGAGAGTGAGAGATGGTTAGCTTGTTTCGTGTGTTGTTTACTGGTGAGGCGATGACGTAGCCCCTACACCAAATGGCCCCTGGAGGCTTCGGTTGTTCCTCTGAGCAAACTACATCTATACAACCATTCACTCGTCAGTCTGGGTCATGCCGTACTCTGTATCTATACCATGGCAAGATCAGTTTTATTTCTTTAGTTTCACCGAATGAGTGGCTCCCTGAACATCGCATTCACGTATTGCTCTGCCACTTTGCCTCTTCAGTCATGCCGGGCTTTGTGTTGAATGGCATCCCTTAGGCGTCGAATCACCCCAAAGCTGACGGTGCTCCCTCATCTTCTGTTCTTTAACACGATTGATCCCTGTGAGTTCAAGGAATTGTCTTTCCAGAAACTGCAAACATGACTTCTGTTCCTAATAGCATTTTGAGCTAATTTGAAGAGGTTGAATGAGCGGCAATGTGATTCGGCAAATATCAGAATCTACATTTTTGAAAGTTGGCTGTAGAACATGGGCGAAGCGGAATCATTGATTCTTCTTGCTACGAAAACGAATGTGCCAGGGCCGAAAGTCTTGACTGCATACACAATTGGCGATACGGGCCTCATCCTTAAGAGTAAAGTCGAAGGCAGAACGCGGGGCTCATGTTGGGAGAACCTATCTAACGAGGAACGCATATCCATTGCCTCTCATCTCGAATCTCATATCTTGGGATGGCGTAGCCTAGGCAGTCCTTTCTTAAACCTCGTGAGGAAATTCTATTCAGGCACCCCTGGGATGCAACAGCACCCCCGGAGCGATATGGACCTTTTCAATCCTTGAAGGAGTGTGAACGCGGTATTGTCAAGGCTCTGTGCCTATCGAGGTCACCCAGAGTTTGGGGGAAGAACAAGAAAGGCTTAACGATAGGATTCTATCTGTGGACGATGAGAAGTCTACTGATCTCGGAGCTATAACTCATGGAGAGCTACACCCAGGTAATATTATCATTCAGAACGACTTGGTCAGTGGAATAGTAGATTGGGGTGAAGCTAGATACAGTCTTCCAGAGAGAGAGTTCTTTCAGACTTCTCCCTCACTCCATAGTCTATTAGCTCAGCTTACTTCTTAGCTTCATCAACTATCTACATGATACACTTCGATGTCTTTCTGCAGTAGACTCTGACAGCTTCTCTTCCGTCACACGAATTGCAATGGAAAGAAGTTGGATTGAAACGATCAAGGCATTCATTCTTCCTTTCCCACAAGACTATGAGCTGTGGGACAAAGTTGACCCCTCGATGAGGCAATATTCCCCAGTATAATAATTATCTCCCATTCAAAGATTGCCAATTATTACCAGCTTCTCCCTTGATAAGTGATGTTTCCTTGCCAGCCCTATCCAGATCAGCTGGAGGATGCTAACAAATCAATTCATTCCATCTGACGTTGAACTAGAAAAACAAAACAAAAAAGCCGAAGTCCATGTATAGACATAGTATGCCAGAAATGCTATGTAGTCACACCTATTTAAGAACGCCGTCCTTGACTCAACATATCTTGGAACAAATTATTGAGGGTGTTCGCCATCGGCCCTGCCGACATTAATTGACGAGTAGCAGCGACAACATCTTTCATACCCATGCTCAAGGACATCTGAGCAGCCCACTGCCAGGGTTTTGCGGTATCGCCTGGTAGAGCATTGTAATACTCCCAACCCATAACGCCACCAAAGTTAGGGAACTGCTGGACCAACATTCCCAGAACAGGCCCAATCTTCTCCTGGGATACATAGCCTTGTGATCCATTGCCCGGGTTCGTCAGGAGGCCGTACACGAGACGGCGCGGTGACCACCCTTGGGCAACCATAGCAGCATACATCCGCGGATCCTCAGCAGGACCCCAACCGTTGTAGAACTGGGTGTTGTACCAGCTGATCTTGGACGCACGAGCCTGCTCGAGTTCCCGGTAATCAAAGCCGGACAGGTTTCCAATTCCCAGTAATGCAGCTGCTACCGGGGCTAGGCTGATGATAAAGGCATCGCCCAGATCGGCCTTGAGTCGGTCGATAAGCCGAATAATACCTTGCAAAGACATGGTTTCTTCGACATCAAGATCGATTCCATCAAGACCATAACGGCGGATCATGGTCAAGAGCGGATAATAGAATTGTTCAAATTTCGGCCGATCGCCATCAAGCCGTGTGAACGAGCCTGGGGCAGCACCGCCTAGCATGCACATCACTTTGACGCCTTGTCGCTGCATGAGGGGCACTTCGGCCCATAAGGGATTGAACTTGGCGTGTTCTGGGGGTCATCATTGAGCGTGATGTCTCCTGGCTGATCATTCAGGTGCACAGCCGCGAGAATAACGTGTGTTGTCCCGGTGTTGTTCTCGAGAAGTGGGAGCATCGACACATACTCGCCCCCACCTGGGATAAGCGTCTGGTGATACAAGATCACCCGCGGGCGCTCGCCGAGTCCACCGCGAATAGGTGGCATTTTGACAGCAAGAGATCGATATCGAGATGTACGAAAAATGTACCAAGTCTATTGCACGGGAATTATTTTGTGAGAGCTGATGGCGCTTAGGTCTTAAGTTAGGCAGCTGTGGGGACCTGGAGATCTTCAGAGCTGGTCCACTCGAGAAATGACTACAGACCAAGGGAGACTCTTGATGAATGGCTCGAGCTTGAAAAACAGATCAGCCGGTGAATATTGCTGCAACACAAAGTAGCAAGTCGGATTGGACACCTGCCCACGATCAACATCTGACATGTCCTCCCTGACTAAGCCGGATGAGAGCTCCAGATCTGGGAGCTCCTGAGCCCTGACGAGCAACTACAACAGTGAATGGATTCTGAATGCATACAGTATGGACAGGTTATTGAAAGGTATATGGACAGCATCTTATGCTCGTCTCGGCTACGAATTGGAGCCTGGATCACCGCCTCAAGATTCAATCCCATGGACACTAATGCGTGGTTCATCCACGGAGGATGTGAATGACATCAAACTCGGACATCGGACTAGTGCTCCGGCAAATTAAACCAAGTAGCCAGACGTTTGAGCATTTCTGAATGTGGATTCTCTGAAGAGATACACGAATGACATGTATTCCACGCGAAGGAACAGAATGGATGGGCCCATTTCCAATGCAATAGCATCAAAACACGAGCCGGAATCGCCTCCAATGAGTTGATGGAGGCGACACAAGTAGCCATTGCTGGGACTACATAAGTTGCAGACCTAACCCATCAAGCTTGCCCTGTGACTGTGACCTAAACACGCAGCGATTACTTCTGATATCAAATTCATCAATACCTCGTAACATTATGGCGTTGATCAGAGGGACTCAGATCATGTCGCGTCCACTTGTCAGACTGCTGCCCTCAGTGCGATCCGTAAATGTTGGGCTGTGGCATCGCTGTAGTGTTGCCACAGCACCACCTCACCGGCTCAATCACCCTAACCCGGGGAATTTTGCGAATCGTTCACACGAAGAGCTTTCAGCCATAGGCCACAAGGGAGGCAAAAAGGGGGGAAAGGCCACAGGTAGTGGGGCCCGTGGTAGGGATACAGAGAAACAGGTGAGGTGATTCCAAGAGATCTACAAATGAGACGTGTCATTAACCATTTAAACTCTGCAGCAATCGATGGCTGCGAAAGGTGGTCGCGCTCGTGGTCGGGGTAAGCCAGCACCGCTGCACGAGGAGACTGAACTAGAGGCCGAACAGCGCGGCCGATCTCATGAGCCTTCGGTGGTTGCCCCGGGATTTGAAGAGTGGAAGACATGCGCTTGATATTGGAGATCAAGTCTTTAGATACATAGAATGTACACTGTACTTCCCACAGATCACAACGGACATACGAGTGCAGTCACAAACAAAAAAAAGTAGGAAGCATCATAACAACCCCGCTAGACCCAAAACGGCAGTCGATAAACATTGATGCCTCAGGCCGCACATACACCCGCCCATCGCGAGATTCTCCAACTTTCCTTTTCTCCCCGCAATCGTTATTGTTATTTCTCTATTTACCCTATCAGGATTCTTCAATTGGATATATCTTGATCACAGCCCAAGGTATTGTTTCTGATCTCTGATTTGGCGGTTTGAGCCTTATCGCGTTGCCCTACGCTCATCGTTGCGCGATCCCCACGCGCGCGCAACCATGGCGAACACTGGCTATACCTCGCCGTTTCCAACCTCGCATGATACGATCGGCCAGTCTACCTTAGTAACTCCTCTTTTTATGCCATCATCTCCTCCCCGACGCCGTTCTGACTCATTGGGGTCTGCCTCCGCCGCTCAAACTCCGGCAACTTCCCGAACTCCTGCAACAGCCCAGACGCCCGCAGCCGAGCCCGTTTCGGCGCATCATGGCAATGGGGGCCATATGAGCGATGATGAATATGCATCGGACAATGAGTTGGGAAATGTCCCTCGTCCTGCCTCACCCAGAAGCCCGACGGGCTCGGACCTCGATGCGCGACTTGCAGATTACACCCTGGATTTCAGTAATTTTCCGGGTGGGAGTTATGCTCTGGATGGCAATGAGGAAACTCTGCCCCCTTTTCATCACGACGTAGATAAATTGTCTGATGTAGGGGGCCCCGAAGATTTTACTGCGAACATGGAGAAATACTTGATGGGCGATCCCGAGGATGATGCAAACCAGGACCATGATGCGGAAGTCGAATACGGATCAGTGCGACGATCCTTCCGCAAGTCAAAACAACCTGTGATTGAAGAGGAGCCGGACTCCGGCGAATACAGCGAATTTGGCCCGCCAGTGGACATGTCCACTCCCTCGCATTTATTGCGCCGTGGTAGCGCTGTGCCCAAAGATTCGACCCACCTGGAAGATATCGAGGAGTATCCAGATGACGACGACGCGCAAGAATCCGCTTCGCCTTCCGTCCGAAAACTCTCGGATGCCTCGAGTCATGCGCCAAAGGAGCAACAAGAGGATCTTCATCAAGAAATCGCAGAATTGCAGCAGACTTTGAAGGAACGAGAGGAGCAACTACAGAAAAATCGCAATCGTGTGCTCGAGGCTGTTTCTGCTGGTGAGCAGATTCGTCATCTCCAGACAGAATTGCAGCGGAAGAATGAGCTTCTAGATGATGTGCATGCTAAAGGGAGCGACGAGGCAATGCTACGTGAGCAGGTCCAGTCGCTTCAAAAGCAGAGCGAAGAGCGCGAAAAGTTACTACACCAGGCAAGCATGCGTGCTACAGACCTGAATCCTCTTTTGACTCAGATCCGAGAGATGCAACAGCAACTTCAAGACCGAGATTCGCAAACTTCCTTGGATACCGAGCGGTTAGAGACAATTGCGCATCTGCGCCAGCAGCTCGCTCTTTCACAGGAGCAGGTGCGCAAGCGGGATGAAACTCTGGAAGAGACATCAACCAAGCTCAAGGAGGTCACACGTCTCAAGGATGCACAGATAAAGGAGAAAAACTCGGAGATTGATCAACTACAATCTCAAATTGATGACTATGGCCTTGAGAATGAGAAGCTGGAATCGGACTTGGAGCGTGCCCACAAGGACTATGAGATCCTTGAAGAACGTTTTATCGATCTGGAAGCTAGGAATCGGCCTCTGGAAGAGATGAATTCTACCCTGGAAGCAAATCTCACTCAGGCCCAATCCCAGATGGAAGCCCAGGAAAGTGCCCTCAAAGCTGCCGCTGCAGATTTGCCTATCAGCGGCCACAGCACCTATAGCGAGATCCTTGATTTGATTAAAGATTTGGGTAATGGTGACCCTGCATCCCCACTCCATTCGCCCTTGAAAGAAAAATTCGCCGAGGCCCAAGGCATCCAACAACCGCAACAGCCTGACATTACAAGCATCGCGAGTCTGCAACAAGAACTCCAAGAGACATCCGCCGCACAAAAAGCCTCGGATGCGGAAGTAGCCCGTCTCCGTGAGCAAGCAACCGAAACCCAAACTCTTATTAAGACCATTGAGACAGAGAACTCACGACTCTCCACCCGAGTGAGCGAGCTCAACACAGCCCTAAGCAAGTCCCAAAACGAACTTGCTCAAGCAAAAGAAGACCACGCCGCGTCCCTTGAAACCATCGCACAATCGCAAGAAGACAAGCTCGCCGAACCTCTAAGCCCACCACTCTCTCCACCAAGAATGCACGGCGCCCTAAACCCACAGCCAATCGAACCCGACACAGCAGCCTTGGAAGCCAACCACCAAAGCCAAGTCCGAAGTCTCCAAACCGCGCATTCCACCGCCGTCTCGACACTGCGTGCCTCGCACGCCGAGTCAATGCGCAAAATCCGCAAACTACTTACATCAGCCGAACAGCGCGAAGCCGATCTGCGCTCCGAACTCGCGACTCTTCGCTCGTCCTCAACAAGCACCGAGAACCACCTCCGCAAGAGCTTCAAAATCGAGCTCCGACGGCTCGAAGCCGTCATTGCCGCAAAGGATGAAACCGCCGCTGCAGTCGACCAGCGGATCGCGTTGTCGGTAGACAAGCGCGAGCGCGAATGGGAGCGACGCATCGACCTCCTTCTCAAAGAGCGTGACCACATGGCCAAGGCGCTAATGATGAGCTGGGGCGAGAAGGAACTAGGTCGCGGATCGGGACCGATTCAAAACAACGGCAAGGAGAACCGTCGTCGTGACCGTGACCGCGATGTGGATGGCAAGAATGGCCAGGCTTATCGTTACAAGTATGTGCAAAAGCCGAAGTCCAAGAGCACGGAATCCAAGGCTTAGATGTGTTTGTTTCGTCTCGCTGTTCTCTGCCGGGATTGATGTATGATATCGAGTTGTGGGTTGCATTGCGCTTCTTTTTGATACGTTGCTTTAACGGCGTGCTGGTGTTGTTCCAGGCATGGAATCTGGAATCTGGAAAATGGGTCTTGCATGTCCTCGCGAGTCTGTTTCTGTTTTCGCCGTTTGAGGCGCCTCTTGTATCTTGCCTCTTTTCAGTGCCACCTAATGGATTGTTGTGTTGAATTTTTGTCACTTTCCTTTCACGATCATATATTGTTTAGATACTTGTACTGTCTTAGTTTAATATGACAAAGTAAAGAGAAATTCCTGATGAAGTATAATGATAATTTGGTATAAAAGAGTCACGGAAAATCTGGATATAACACAAAACTGTAGAAAAGCAGAAAGGCATCAGTCACGATGATGCCGAAAATAAACACAAAAACCAGCCCTGGTCGTTATACACGCGAGCACGCTATCCACTCTGATCCAAATCAGACAGAAACTGTAACCAACAAATAGATCCAGAACGAATGTCCGACCTGCAGACAAACACAATTATTAATACTATCTTCCTCCCCATCCAAACTTAATATGCTGTCCGTAAAGAGCATCAAGGAAAGGCTAAGCCCGTGCGATGCACGCCGCGATATTTCGTATCGTCGATGCTATGACCCGGCAACTCCAAGAACGCATCAGAAACTGGCCTGGCTTCTTCCAGTGAAGCGCGCGGGTTCGACGTCGTTTCCAAGATACAGCTGAGCGGGCCACTCGCGCTGTGTGTGCTGCTGCGGGGACGACGCGTGCTGGAGTAGATGATGTGGACATCGTTACGGCGTGGGACGGGCGGCATCGAGCGACCAGTGTCGAAACGTCGCGGGCTGGCCCGGCGAGCTGATGGTGGGTGAAACTGTCCGCTGGGAGGTCGGTATTGGCTCTGCGAGTGGCGAGGCACTTGGGATGGGTTGAAATGGTAGGTGGCACTGCGAGATGGGTGGGCATTCTGCTGGGGCGGGGTTGGTCGGCGCATTGATTCAGCATGTGGTTGCGGTCCTTGTGAGTAGGCTCGTGCTTGTGCAGGGCCTGGGACGAAGTTTGGGTGGTGCGGGTGGTGGATTGAGAGGCCTGCGGGCATAGTGTGGGCTGTTTGGGAGCGTCGCACTTTCTGTGGGGAGGCCGGTGCGCTTGGGACTACTTCTGGGGCATCGGCGGAAGTTGTCGTCATTGATCGTGTGTGGCCTTCCTGGTGTGCGGGCTTAGGAACAGCTGAAGCGTTGGTAGGACTCTCAGAAAGGCTTGCTGAAGAAGCGTTTGGGGTGTCGTCCATAGATAGCTGGTAGGGGGAGAATTGAGTTGTTCTGTTTGGCATGGTTTGGGATGTCACTACCTGCTTTTCGACATCTGAAGCGGTATTAGGGTCTGCGAGAGCTCGGATTTGAGGATCCGACGATAATGGAAGCGACAGCGGGAAGGATTTCGGAAGAATACGTCGCAGGGATGAAAGTGATGACTTCGCCCTCTTGTGCTTGGTATGTTTCTCAGGGGAGGCTGGGACTTTGGGGATAGGGATATCTGACAAGAGAGCGCGCAATTCGCTGGCTGTTTGCGGTGTTATAACAGTAGATGTGCGCGAGATGGGATGAAACTCGCTGATCAGACTTTGCGTCCCTGGTGAGATCCGGTGGATGTTGTCTTCTGGGGAAATCGTTGTTCCAGACATGATATCTCCATAGGTTGAACCGGAGTCGGTGTTGAGGCGAAGCTGAGGGCGTAGACGGACAGGAGCAGGGTGCCGGATGCTAGGGTGGCAGTTGACTTTATTGGCGATGGGATCCACAGACCAGAAATCTCCAGCTCCATTGCCATCGTGCTGGCGGCATAGATATATGATCTCGTTCTTGAGCGTTTCCTCGCTGTCCCAGCTATTAGCGGAGTTCACGCTACCATTCCGCATGACATCCGGGCGCTTGTAGATTCCGGTGAGCGACACATCGTATGGTCGATCACAAAGTTCTCTTGCACAGTACATAGTGCATACAGTGACCCTGTAATATTGTTGTTAGTTGGAAGCATACTAGACTCGAGACCGGAACGTAACATACATCGAAACCACTGCTACAATCACAGATGCTCGGTGGAAGGCACAGCTCGTACCAACTCTCCAGAAAGTTGCATCTGTTCCTTCCGGAAGACAGTATACTTGCTGCGCGGCGACTACTAGACCAGCCACGCTTGTGGCTAGCCAAAGCATAAGATCCAAACGTAGCACATATGTGCATATATTATGCAGAACGGTCTTTTGTGTTCCAAATCCGCCAATATTGTTGTATTGCCAGGCGACCAGGCTTTGGAGACCGACAAGCGGCACGGAGAAGAAGGCCTTGAAAAGAGTCAGCGACCATGATAAAATATCCGACGGTTCAGGACTAACATACCGCGACAAGTGCAAGTACAACACTCGGTGTCATCTTTGAATCAACATGGCCATTTCCGTAAAGGTAAAGCACCAATACACATTCCAGGATAGACTCCAACAGTAGCACATAGAGCGCGACGAATATCACGAGCTTAGTCCATGTCCCCTCCTTTCGTGGAGTAATTGAGGATCCAGATGTCATGATTGCAATGGTCTATTGACCAAGATAACAGTGGCTCTGTGTGTGGTTCCCTTTAGGTTGGCTTGCCCTCAAAAGCTGAAAGGAAAAAGTCCAAGTACTTCGTGGGTATAGGGACACAGGCCTTGTTCAGTGCGCCACGTTCAAGTTCAACCCAGATACAGTCACCTTAGATGTTCATGGATTGGGTGTACAGGGAAGAATACATAAGGTTAGTGACCAAAGGAGTGTTGGCGAACTAAAAGAGGAATCAGATGGAGGGTTTATGGCCCTGGAGCGCGTCGATGCGAATATAGCGTGGAGGGATGGAATGCTAGGACCCGAGGGGCGGGTTTGGAAAGAATTCCAGACCTTGAGAAAGATCCTCACTTTTGTCACAGGGGATTTCATCTTAGCTTCATAGCCTGGAATGCTGAGAGCTTGTTAGTGCCAAGGGTGTGTTTGCAAAGGTTTCGCGGTTGTGAGCCTTATCCCTGTGGATCGCTCTGTCAAGACGTCAGTTCGTTTCAGTCCCTGGGAATGGAAGACCTGGCTTAATTTTTCGCAGACTTCAGAGTGGGAGGTTCTTCTTTTCTCCGTGCATCGAAGGGTTATCCTTGGATGTCGAGATAGGAAGAGGAGGCGACCGTGCTGTATGCCGTAGGGCAGTCACGGGCCCTGGATCCCTCGATGACGTTGTGGTCAACGACCCCGACCATAACAACAAAGAGTTAGGAATTGTCATACGCGATCATGGAACTCATTTCCATTGCTGTTGAAATGAACGCTTGTTGCTGTTCTCACCCGTGTAGTCGACCAAATTCAACACACAACTACACCCTCCACGTGATCCGAGGGGTTACCCTTGTCAGTAAGGACGCGAACTGAACCCAACCTGGATTCACAATTATTCTGACGTCTTTGACAGGCACCTGAATGAAGTGTGTTCAATAGTCCGATGTTGAGGAATGTATCATCGGTTTGTGGATGAGCTGTTCGGATTGGTCTTGACTACACACTACCAATCTTCTTCGCGATCTTTGAAACAGCTACATACCCGTATTGACGTGATATTTGTTTTCGTTTCAGTTGCCTGATTTGAGACGCGTAGAGACTAATTCTGCGATTTATTGTGATTAGGTGGTTCGACCTTGCATTGAAGGGCATGGTAGTCTTTAGGACTAACTCCCCATGTGGCCAATACTCTCTCAGAACCACCCACTCACATTGCTGTTCTACACCTAATTCAACTTGACTTAATCTATGCACAAGATACTACATGACCGTGCAAAGGACCCCACCGGCGAGAGCTAGAGGGAAGTCAGTACGTCAATTTTCTCGTCGACCAGCTCACTTACCTGCAGACATGATCCCAGCTGTCAGACCTGAAGCAAGGCCATTGGTCGCACCATTGAACAGATTTTGTCGTTGTCCATTGACTTTCTGGTAAGTTTGACGCGCCTCTGATACTTCTGTTCGGGCAGTTTCCACCTCTTGTTCGTATTTTTCTAATTGAAGGCTAACCTGGCTCGATCGTTTGGCACTTCGAGCTCTGTCCTTGCGTATTTCGTCGAGTGACTGCTCCATCTCGAGTACCTTTTGTTCTTTAACGGCGAGGTCCTCCAGAAACTGTTTTTCAAGTGCCTTGAGTCTCTTTTTCCAGGCTCTTTGCTCTTTCTTGTGCAAATCTTGGATCGACTTCTGAAGCGCTCGCCTGTCTTGTTCAGCTTTGTTCAACTGGTTTTCCAAATCAACTTGAAGCTCCCGCAACTCGGCCGCGTGTTCTACATTCTGCTGAGCTATTTCGGCTTGGATTGCCTCTTTGAGCTTTCGCAACTCCTGCCCATGAGCTTGGCGAGCCTTGTACAAATCCCAACCGAGCACAATCCCCGCCTTCGTCTCGCCGATGGCTTTCTTTTGGTCGATAATCTCACGCTGAATCTGCAGCACTCTTGGAGTATACTTTTTAGATTGATGGATAAGATGTGTCACGATGCGGCGCGCAGAAACAACTTCTTCCAACGAGTCCAACCGCCCCTTTTCATTATGACGGAACAATTTCGCTCCACTGGCGATGAGTTCGCCAAAGAAGCGGTCGTCGGACAGGAGCTGCGCTTCACGCTGTGCACAAAGCACCGAGTCTGGAGACCACATGGTGGTCGCGATGGCAAGATTCGAGTAAGAGGTGAATCCGCACATCGCCTTCATCATTTCGAGATTGCGCATAGTTGAGCCAGACATACGGTTGTCAGATATTGGATGGAGCATCACTATGCCGTGGATGCAAACGCCGTTTGCATGCGAGGCTCCGAGGTAGGTGGCGAGGATGCTCAAGGTGTCGGTGTCAGACCGAGTTGTGTCGTTGAATCCGGGAGTATCGATTAGGTAGACATTGTGGCCATTACATTGAAAATCAAAAACGTCAATCTCACTAGTGCCTGATGCTTGTGTCAGCTTATGCAACTGAGACAAAAAGACTCGGTGATATATTTTGGATTGCGGGACCCTCTTACATGACCATAACCCATGGCCGACGGTGACATCGTCTCCTGTGCATCGGCCGATGAAAGTGCTTTTCCCTGAGCCTGTCATTCCCATAACAAGGAAGAACTTGTCATTCGGATTGGGCTTGGTGACACCGGTAAAGGCCGCGAAGCGTTGCGCCTGATTGGCCACAGACTGCATGTCCGTTGTGAGTCGAGTGTTTTGGGGATCGAATGCTTCAGGTACGAGTCAAGGAACTAATGATCAGAAAATGATGCAAAATTAAAAACGTGGTTAGAATAGGGTATAATCCCTGAAGTGTTTCCAGCATAAGAGCAGTCTTGCCGCTGGCAGTTGAGGCTCAAACGTTGGCAGGGGCATTCCACCAGCCACGAAGAGCCTCGACTAGGTTTCATCACAGCCATGCAAAAGGCTGAAGTCCAGAAGAAAAACGCAAGGCTTTTTAGCGCCCATGATGTGCTCAGCCCAGGATAAAAAAAGAGACTCCGTGGAGAAAAGGAGGGTTGGCCCCCAGATTGAAGCTTGTGAAGTAAGCAGCCACGATGCCCAGGCGTGGACGAGAGCGGGAATGTCCAGTTGGTTCTTTGCGCTTTATCTCCCAGAAACGCGCTCAGGTCGACCAGTCACACTAAAGCTCTAGAGACCGATTGTCCCAGCTGATTTCCCTGCAGCGATCGTTTCTTGGCAACGACGTGGTCGGCTGCAGTTGGACACTCTCATGACGCCCGGGTGAATTTGACTGTATCGCTCGGCGCAGCACGAATGCCTCAGTCAAATTAATCGATGCAATTTCCGTGGCGATTTTCTTCGTATATTTACGAGGTACATCTGTCTTCAGGTTCCAGCCTCTGATCTCACGTTCAGGGTGAAAACAAAGCGAATTCTGGACCGAAATACCATTCACAGGCCACCCACTGAAATCGGTTCGCACCGATTATAGCCTGCCATGTCAACCGGATTTGTTCGAAATGGTACGTCCGAGGGAATTTCCTCCAACCAGTGTTCTGAGATAGCTGCTCACCAGCTCACAGAGACATGTAGGAAGCGCCCGAAGCAAGGTGCTATACCATCACCGGGCACACGAAGCTTCCGCGGAGGCCATGAACCCAAGTCAGTAGCAGCCTGCGATGTGACTGCACCTCTGTAGTCAGTACCTGCTAACTCTTTTACTAGACCAACCGATGTATTCATAGCGGTGATGGGTGTCACTGGGTCAGGGAAAAGCTCATTTATATCGCTCTGCTCGGGCAAGTCCGTCGAGATTGGCCATTCACTCAATGCTTGTGAGTGAGGCCCTATAGTACGACTGGCGAGGTGACCTTCGTAATCTCTAATATCGAACAGGCACAGCTAAAGTCGATGTATATGCGTATAAGCTATCGGCCGATCGCACTGTTTATCTTATTGACACGCCTGGCTTCGATGATACCTCAAAGAAAGACACCGAGGTACTCAGCGAGATTGCGACTTGGCTCGGTGATTCCTATAGTAGCAAAATCAAGCTCAACGGGATTATATACCTCCATCGTATCAGCGACAGACGGATGCAAGGTTCCGCGAGGAGAAATCTTCAGATGTTCCGAGATTTGTGTGGCGACGATGCCTTGAAGAAGGTGATCCTGGCCACAACGATGTGGGATATAGTCCCAACTGCCGAAGGCGATATGCGCGAAAAAGAACTGAAAGAAAACAAAGACTTCTGGGGCTACATGCTGAGCAAGGGTAGCATTGCTCTTCGACATGACAACACGTCGTCTTCGGCAAGAGATATAGTACAACAGCTGGCCATACACAAGAAGCCAATAGTTACAGATATCCAGAAGCAGCTAGTCGATCAAAAGCTCCCCCTGGACCAGACAGCTGCCGGAATGGGCCTACAAAGCGAGACACTCAAGGAAAGGGCAAGATGGATGAAGGAACGACAGGAGTTTGAAGCGGAATTGCGTGCAGCTAAGCGTGAACAGGACCGCGAAAGAGAGGAAATAATGCGCGAAGAGCGTGATAGGCGTGCAGAGATGATAAAGAAGGCCGATCGGGATATGGCAGCTCTGCGTTCAGATATGGAGAAACTTCTCGCCCAGCGAGATGAGCGTGAGGCACTCTTGGAAAGGCGTATGGAGGAGCGACTCGAGAGGAAAATGCAGAGAAAACAGGCGGAATATGATAAAGAGATCCAACGATTGCGAATGGAGAGGGAAGCCGAACTGCAAAAAGCAAAAGAACAAGAGCAGCAAGCTGAACGGGGGCGAAAAAAACTTGAGCAGAAGAAAAAGACCCAAAAGGAAAAGGCCGAGCAGAAGACAAAGGACAATGCTTCGCAGGTTAATCGTCAGTCCCAAAGCACACCGGCCAATGTTGCAGGCTACTCTCCTTACTCAGTAACCATGGGCAGCCAACTCTGCGCTGTCAGTGGCCCAAAGTCCTACCTATGGTACGCTCATCATCCGAGAGATCCTGATTTCCGGAGGAATTCAGATACTAAATATCATGGATCAACAGCTCTACAAAAGGTTGGCCCAAAATGCAAGTGGGCTCAGAATGGATCGGTGCTGTCAGTTTTGGGAATTCGAACGAATGGATCGCTCGCTACGGAGCAGGAACTTGGAGTAAGTAAATTACTGCTCCGCTGATGCTTTGAAGTCCGAAGCTAAGCCCGCTCCCTAGAATACCCAAGACTCGAGAATTATCCACACCTCGCTGGCAAGCTTAGCCTTCATGGAGCTCGAAATCTCGAGTTCTGCGTCCTGGGGCCCGGACAAACTTACTATGCCCGGTGGTTAGATGGCACCTGGAGTAGTATGGCATCAGAGCACGCTAACTCTGAGATACGGGAGCTGGCCAGTCGACCCAACAATTCTAGAATTCGTGCCATGGCGTTTGGGTACAACGAGTCTTACGTTATCTCGTTCGGCCAGGCTGAGGGGTCAACTGTGCGCGGCACATGGGGCAATCGATGGTACCTAAAGGGATATTACCCTGATCTTTGCGAGTTCGCGGTGGCCAGCAGTCCTTTAAGTATAGTGGTGAGTCTGCGGAGCTGCCTCGATTACTCGAGTGCGGGCTAAAAATCCCCCAACAGGCCATCGCACTAGACCCAGAGAACACGACTGATTACATATTGATTTATCAAACTGAAGGTGGCACCCGTCGGATACGCTGGGTCTGCTCAGATCATTCGAGGTCACAAGTCATTAGAGCTTGGTGGGATAAAGAATGTGAGGTCACGCAGACTGCAACGACTACGACGAAAACGACTACTACACGTGCTAAGCCTAGGAACTATGACGATTCACTGTCAGGGGCTATTAAAGAAATGGCTTCGGACATCGGTCACTATCTTGATAGGAAGATTTGATGATGGGCTGACCCTGAAAGTGAGTATCAAAGAGTTGAACACATATGTAGACTCTGGGGAAGTTATTAGGGAATTTTCTACCATGGTTTTCAGTTCCTCATACCACTATTCCAAATGTTCATATACTCATCCGGGGGCTTTAAGTAAACCCATCATATCCATACCTCATTCGATCTGCAAGTCCGTCATCTAAGAAATATAGACAATTAGAATAACTGGCCACAGTTATATCCAACCAAAATCACTCAATTGAGTTTGAAGGAAGAGGCACATCAGCAGTCGTGTTATAATACTTGAATTTTTTTTCTACAGATGCGAGAAAGAGAATAAGTCAATTTACAGAACAGCAATACACTCAATCTCAACATCGGTGTTGAGAGGCAGCGTCTTGACCGCAACACACCTGAAGAGGAATTAAGTCAGCAACGAGTGGAATCTTTTATACAAATAACTGTACGCGAGTGCATGCGAAAGCGTGAAAACAAAGCTTCTTCCAAAATACACCGCCAACGACAAAAAGAAGAAGATCGAGGTTGACAGAACATGACTCCAAATGACTCCAACGATAAAGAAACACAAAGTGGGGTCAAAACTTACGTCCGGCAGGGCTTCACATCGCCCCAGTATTGCATGTACACGGAGTTCATGTCGGCGAAATCATCCATGTTCGATAGGAACACATTGACCTTGACGACCTTGGTGATGTCGGTGCCGGCTTCTTCGAGAACGTGGGTTAGGTTCTTAATGCATTGGTGCTGGTGAAGGGTGAAAGGTTAGCGGGTTATATCGGAAGATGGATTAACTGGTCTCTCACAGTGTGGGCCTTGACATCGCCATCAATCAGCTTTCCAGTAGCAGCGTCCATGGGGACAGCCCCAGAGCAATAGACGACACCATTGGCGACAATGGCCTGCGAATAGATACCAGGGAGGGGCTTAGGTGCCTTGTCGGTGAGCACGGGGATCTTGGAGGACATTGTGAGAGTCAGTTCGTGAGAAGTGGATATGGGTTATGTGAGGGGTGAGTCAATTGAGAAACGGAAGGATTCTTCCCCCCTTGCGCGGGGGGACTGCTCCTTATCAAGTACCATTCGGAGCTACAGCTGCATTCCACGTCGGCCATTGAAACGTGACAGGTGGCACCATAGTGGGCGATGGTAGAGACTCGGGGAATACGAGGGGGCACATGAGTGGCTTCACAATGGACACGATGGAGACCGAATGGAGACTGAAGGGCCGTCCGAAGGAGACTCGACAGGGGTCACTGCAACATTCCCGTCGATCACTTTCCCAAAGAGGACAGGCAGAGGGGCTTATCGGCTTATCAGCTCCTTCCCCCCGCATTGTCGCGGCCTCCCACTTTCTCCGCGTGGGGGCAGGCTTCTATTTGAGGACCCTGAAGCTCTAGGGTCTGGGAAACCTGTTGTCTTCTCTATCCCTCCAAAAATGACTGCCGGCGTTTCCCAACCACCTTATCCTCTCCATGAGTCCGTTAAGGATTTATTGGACCCGGAGTACGTTGCATTCTATAACCAGCATGTTATCAATAACCAGCAGGTGCATCTCCAGCCCGTTGCGGCGTCGCGGACAAGTGGTGTGTTGATTCCTGGCGCAGGTCCCATGTTGGAGGTTGGCAAGACCCAAGATATCACTATCCAGCGACGCGCAACAGAGGGCCCAGCAGTGCCTATCCGTTGCTTTACTCCGAAGGGTCCTGCTCCTCCAGGTGGATGGCCGGTGATGCTCTATTTCCATGGTGGTGGCTGGGTACTGGGAAATATTGACACGGAAAATGTGGTGTGCTCGAATCTCTGTGTGCGCGGCAATTGTGTCGTGATTACTGTTGACTATCGGTAAGCCTACACAACGCAAAGATCACGCCATGCATACATAGCCTTAGACACTTGAAACTCAATTGTCTTCTTTTCTCGCAGACTTGCACCCGAAAACCGCTGGCCCGCCGCGGTCCATGACTGCTGGGAGGCCCTTCTTTGGTTGATCGCCGACGGCCCCACCGCGCTCTCGGTCGATGTATCCAAAATTGCAACCGGCGGGTCTTCCGCCGGCGGAAACCTTGCCGCGATTATGACGCACAAGGCACTGACGCTGTCACCGCCTGTTCACTTCCGCGCCCAGCTACTATCTGTCCCCGTGACAGATAACACGGCCACAGTCGAGAACAACGATTCATATCGTCGGTATGAGCGGACCCCTGCCCTCCCCGCTCTTAAGATGTATTGGTATCGCGACCACTATGTTCCCAACGATGCAGACCGCACCCATCCTGAATCGAGTCCCCTGTTTTGGCAGGGCGATTACTCTCAACTGCCACCTGCTTTAGTTATGGTTGGGGAGTTGGATGTGCTGCGCACTGAGGGCGAGCAGTATGCGGAGAAGCTGCAGAAGGCCGGTGTGCCCGTTGACTTGCAAGTTATGAAGGGCATGCCGCATCCTTTCTTGGCTATGGATGGGGCGTTGGCTGAGGGCAAGAGGTGTATCACTTTGATGTGTGATGCGCTCCAGAAGGCGTTCTGGGGCTGATTTGATACGCCCAAATAAAGAAGTTATACTGGGTATAATTGCCTATTGATGTTCAACTTTGCATTTGAATTCGGTGGAGTTATACGATCCAGAGTAGTCCTGCACTCATACCTGTGACAATGAAGTGCCCGCCGGCATATCAATGGACATCTAATGAACACCTAGTTCCAATCGACCTATATCTTAAGGGGAGCTGTATGTATCCAAATAGAGTTTTGTTGACCAAGATCTTACAATGGCTTTTAGAACACCTCTCTTCCAATGCTTAGGTGTCCGTATCATTTGACTCTCATATCAAAATCTATGTAAAGCTCTTACAATTGTAGAGCCGTTCATAAGACCGAATAAAGTGGCATCAGTTCAATATTGTGAGCACTAGAAAAGATGCCATAAGGGATTCATTAGGCTGCAATAGTTATGAACCAGGAGAACAGCACCAGAGACGTCTAGTCATCATACTCATCACAGAAGCCTCAGACGCCCTTGGTGCCTTGAGGTTTCCATGGCATGTTTGCCTCTTTGGGACTATATAATGTCCAACGAGTTTTCCTTCCCCGATGTCTCTTCCTGTCATCATCGATCAACCCTCACTTCATTAATACAGTCAATCTTGGAAATCGATACCCTCGCATTCTTTCAAAACACCTCCATGTGTTCTATCCTTAATGCTAATTGGAATCATGACATCCTCTCAGCCCGTGAAGATCTACCAGAACGAACTCAACGAGCCCACCACAGCAAACGTCTTCATTGGTGATGTGAAACATCTTTCTTCATACAACTGGCTTGAAAGGTCCACTCCCACCATTGCTGTCCCGGGATTGCCAAATGAGTGGATATCCCCATCACACCCCATACGAGTGCGACTAAAAAGGAGGCTCATTTTCATCGATCAGAACGCCTACCGTTTACCCAGAACTCCTCTTGAGCCCCTCTTCCGCGCCCTCTACATTGAAAATCCAACTTTCGATATCGGCTCAGTCCACGTTGTCGCAGACGATACCACTATCCGAAAGTTCCTGAGCTTCGTCGCTCCCGATGCCGAGAAATCCTTCACCCCCTTCAGAGTGCGCGCTGAACTAGTCAAGGAAACGTTGCTGTTTACTCGCGTGGAGACTGAATCTCGCACATACATCCGTCCCGAGCATCCCAGTTCATATTCCCGCAGTTTCATCGAGAAGTCCACCGAGCGTCCAACGCATGAATGTACCTCCCATTACAGGATCATCTCTTACAACTTTGCGGGGTTGAAATTCCTAATCCGGCATGAATCAGATGCCTACATTCCCGCTCAAGACTCAGACGCCAGTTCGACTCATAGCCACCCAACTCAGGAGAGAAATACAAGCCCGGAGAGAGGTAGGTCTCGAACTAGGTCTCAGCCTCCGCAGCCCCTCCGCATCCCCGGATCCCACCTCGAGATCTTGAAGGTTGGCGAGGTGGTACCGCGCGAAACAACAATAGAGATACAGACACGGAACTATCGGACGCACCTTACGCCAAAGGATGTCGCAGCGAAAATGTGGGTCTCTCGGGTTCCAAACCTCGTGCGTGCGTTTTATCAGGATAGGGACTTCAATGTTCCGACGGTCGAGGATGTGAGAGATGAGGTCATGCACTGGCAAACTACCCATCAAGTTGAGTTGTGTCATCTAGGTGCGTTGCTGAATCGGATCTATCACGGTGTAAAGAGACTTGGTGGGGGTGGGATTATCACAACGGATACCCCGGGTGAAGTTATGACCATCGAGGAAGCAGAGACGGGCAATATGCTACCTCGGGATCTGTATTCTCGGTGGGATTGAGGCGAGGGTGGATTGGGAGATGCACAAGAGTCAAGATTCTACCACTTGCTGGCGAGATGGGCAACATATGGCATTAGGGCTTGCCATCTACTTTTTGGTTCTTTGATTGAGGAGGAAATAGAAACGATAGAAATAGAAAAAAAGAGGGGACAATTTCGCAACATAACACTACAGTGACAGACATCGCGGGCTGTAAGGATCAGAACCAGCACTTGTCCATGAACTCCCGTCCATCACGCAGTATGAATAGAAATAACGACATCGGCCATAGAATCCCTAGGAAACAAGATCAGATTTGAGGGCCCAGCGAACCGGCAATCATCTGCCCACTCGTGGACACTTTGCTTTTTGGAATAAAGTGACGTTCCCCTTATTCTGTTTGAAAGGAGGCACGAAGGACACTAAAAAAGACAATAGACGATATAGATGGCATTGTGAGAGAAGATATCACAGAGGGATATCGCCAAAGATAAACATCAAACTATATCGTAGTACGTGATACAATAGGTATCGGCATAGGTTGACACTGCAAGAATTGCAAAACTTGCCTGAAGAGGCTTTGTAAACTTCAATAATAGAGCAGATCTCACATCATATTTGCAACCGCATCCCTACAAGATAAACTGGAGATATTCATAAACTGTCTAAACAATGATAAATGTATAATCATCGATATTCGCCTCCGCAATCACCCACGCTCTCAAACATCTCCTGTCTGGAACTCCGATCCAGAATCGTTTGAATCAGAGCCTGATCCTCCTGATCCAGTGACCAGCCAAGGCTAGCCAGGTTCTCTTCGGATTGCTCGCTCACACCCATGCGGGCCCCTATAATCACGGCTCCGACGCACTTGAAGTCCAATACCCACCGTGTAGCGACATTCGATACAGAGACATTGTGCTTTCGGCCAATGGTTTGGAGGGTGCGGAGGAGTTCCTGGAACAGGTTCCAGCCGCCCCATTTGTCAATCATGGCAATGTACTATAAATAGATAAGTAAGTGGCGCAGGGGTTTCTGGGCTGTTTTGCTTTGGCTCTTACCTTCCGTTGGCTTGGTGTCGTTGTCTCGGCGTAGAGATCTGGCGCCGCTTGGTCGATCCATTTCTCCGCTAGCAGGCCTCCCAGCTAGATTCCAGTTAGAATGCTGGAGACTATTGGATGAAGCAAGGACTGTGATGGCTTACCAGGGTACCGTAGGTAAGTAACTTAATGTTATGCTTATCGCAGAATTCAGCCATCTTCACTGTGGGTCGGGAATCAACGATTGAAAACTATTATTGTTAGCCTGCAATGTCCCGGAGAATGCGGCTTGGGTTGCATACCTGGACTTGGTTGGTGAAGATTTTGACTCCACTTTCAATCACTTCTTGCATATGCACTGTGTCAAAGTTGCAGAGGCCAAGGTATTTGATTCGGCCATCTTGTTGTAGGTATTTCAGGGCATCGATATACTGGGGATCATTGTACTAGATATACCGTAAGCGACTAGCTTAGTAGCAGGGGCTTGGATATGCAAGGTTGCGACTCACGAAATGCCAGTGGAATTGCAACATGTCAATTTTGTCAGTGCGTAGTCTCTGACACCGTTCATCCACCTGGGCACGGATGACATCGGCAGAGACCTTCACGTTATGAAAGACGCAGTATTTCGTTGCAGCGAATAACAGGTCAGAGTAGTTGCTTGAAGACCGGTATTTACCCTAATATCGATTAGGTTAGGAAACAAAAACATCAACACCCGCTTTGCAAGACTCACGAAAAGGATTTCGGCATCTCCATAATGATCCGCCATATCGAAGGCCGTCAACCCACTCTCGACATGCTTTGAGAACTGCTGCATAATCTTGGACCGAGGCGCACTTCCCCAGGCTGGGCTGGAAAGTTGCCACAATCCAGAGAAAATTCGAGGAAGTTGAATATCTCCCATTTCGAATGTCTCTGAAATAGGACGTGGGGGCTTCTGAGACAGTGATTCATGGTCAACCACTGAGGCGAATTCAAAAGAAGGATTAACGAGGTGTGTAATTGCCTCAAAGCCTCGTTGAAAGGGGAAGGGAAGTGAGTTCTTCTCCCATGCAGACTTGCATGCCGTGATAGACTTCAGCAAAGCCTCCAACGGCTGTCTTTCCTTCTCCGCGAGCTCCCGAGACCCAGTCTCCGAAAAGAGAGTTTGCTGGACGGCAGTGATAGCCTGGATAATGTCACCATCTACACTGGCGATCTGGTCTAGGATACCCGATTGGCCAGTTTCAAGCTTGATTTGCGAAACTTGTTCGACGATTCCCTGCAAAACGGGGAAAGCTTGATAACACAATCCAGACGTTATCATACAGCAAATCCGCTTTCGAATTTGTTCAAAGGAGGCGGTTGTTTGAAAAGAACCATCTGCGGTCTGCTGGAACAAGGTAGTCTCGGCAATCCGGGAAACAGTTTCGCCCAGATACTGCCTTGCCTGTTCCTCAAACACAGGCGTACAGTCGGGTCTTTCGGCCAAGATCCCACGCATAATTGTTCGCAATCCTTCAATGGGCAGGTTCGCGATATTGATATCAGCCATTACATTGACATGACGCGCTGCGGGCTTTGTAGAAGCCATTTTATATACTTATTTGTCTCAAATGTGGGGGTCGCATCCAGTTTTTGAGCCACGAGATCAGGATGTGCTGAAGCACACGACGCTTTGTAGGTCGGTTTCCTGGGAATATAAAGATATCCCTTATAAAAACTAAATAATCTTGAACAAGCTGCGAGTTCTGAGTTCTGGTTTCTGATCGAACTTAGGGTTGGAAGCAACAAACAAGTGGCGTCCAAATCTCAGGACTTCGGTGAAACTTGGCACGCACTAGGCCCGAAGAGGAATGGCTTATATAAACATTGAAGTTGGAGATGAAACAATCTACTACATCGTCCTTCCTGATGTAAACCGTGGAGGAATTAGCGGAGTCAAAAGGACATGAGACTTCTCTTCCTCATCAAGCCGGAGACATCGGGCACTTGGTCTGCCCCAGACGCTCATTCTGTGACAGAAACCTAATAAATCAGGCAGAAATCAGGCATCCCACAAACATCATTGCCTAAATATGCCATTTGAAGCCCAAAGAGGTGGTGACCATACTTGTATTGCTAGGACAATCGAATGAGACTCAAAATCTCGGTGGCTTATGGTGGAATATTTGGGAAACCTAAACATGCGGGGATATATTTTGCATCCAGAGCGGAGCCTCAAGTTCACGCTATGTCTACACCCAGCCAATAGTTTAGCTGAAGATAATACTATTCTATATTCCAAGAGGAAAGGTGCTGGTCCGATTGGCGGATCTATTTTATCATGATCGGTCCATTATTTTCATGCTGACCGTGCTATTGATAATCACAACCCATACATGTATATGGGTCTAGTATATATCTTTGTGAGTATCACGAGGAATCACTGCAAGCCATGTGCTATGGAAAGACACTTGACTACACTGTGACATGAGAATACAATCCCACATAGTTTCTTCTTGTTAAGAGTATACTGGGCCATAGCACGGTTGATTACCTCGGTACATGTAGATACCTACTGACGATAAGCCTACCAAGTATTATATTCTGCAAATTTCTCATTTCCCTAAGATCTGGCTGATTGCGACCGACAAATCATTCTCTTAACCTTTGTGTCGGATTCTGAAATAGTTGATTTTTTTACCATAGATCTCGGGCACCCTATGGTTACAAGCGCTTCTTTCTTGCCATCCCAGGGGTTCAAGCCTTTGGTGTGTACGCAGAGAAAGTAAGTGACCACTAAAAATGCTAGGCATAAAGCTTGAACAGAGAGTCAAAGACAAACGGACTTGGGATTGACGCTAGCTTCATCGGTTAATATGAAGGAATCATCGGAAATTACACCGGCGCACCGGCCGATAAAGCCGACTGCCGTACATATTTTAACAGCAAAATGAGAATTCCCTAGCGCCAATGAACAAAACAAAATTTAATATTAGGGTTCATGATCGGAGATTTGTCATACCAAGTATGTTTATGGACATGAGGCTCAAATGCCCACACAGACGTGATGCACGGATTACTCCGTACGGATATGCCACTCATCATCCACATAAAAAGTTTCCATCGGCGCAATGATATTAATATTTGGCCACATAAGCCGTAAAATCAACATGAATATTGGGGGAATGTCCTCAAATGATGGACTTCCTCCAAGTTTCCCTAGACACATGTTTCGTCTGAGTCTCGGCTGAAATTGATGAAGATAGGCAGTGACGAGTCATGCAAAATTGCGCCCTTGCTAGTGTATCCTACATAGGCAAACAATGAGGCAGGGTTCTGACCTCGGGAGTGCCTGGGTGGCGTCATTGATGCCCGAACATCGCTTCGGAATGGACATATGTCCGAACCTAGTAGCGTGAAAACAGGGAAATGCAACGTGGGAGCTGGGGCGCTATGCACGATTTAAACCCTACGGAGTAATCAAAGTCACATTCACGCTATGCGCAAGAAAGCTAACAGGGAAGAAGCCGTGAAGTGAGACACTAATCTTCCCAGCCCTGGAGGTTCTGCTGACTGGGAACAACGGTGATCCGGGCTCCTCCGCCAGAAGGGAGGCCTGTGATTGGCGTTCCTGGCAGTCGCCCCGCACTAAGGCCCTGCGGGGTTTAGCGTCCACTTTAGTGTCGCTTCCGATCTCCTTGGTTTTTACTCACACCACCCTGGCCATCTCTTCGGTCTGGTCTTAGGCTACATCTCGCTTTCTTTTTGATCTTTGACAAGTTCATCTGCATATCTCCCTCCTTTTCTACTCGTACATCTCTGCGGTTTCCAATCCTCTAATTTAGCGCTTTTCGTTGAACTCCAACGGATAGTGGACCCCGGCGTGTCCGTGCTATGTCGCATACATCTCAGTTTCTCATTGGACCTCGCAATCTAACCTATCTTCGCCCCAGTCATGACCCTGATGCCAAGACAGCTAGACCCTCTTGGGCCTTTTAACCTCTTTTATGGTCACTTATATTTCGACCCCCCTATCCACTATATCGACCCCCCTCGACCTATATCGACCCCTCCATTGCCTAAATAGGTTAGCAGATTACCCTAATTAGCTAGCATATTTCAGAGACCATATTAGGCTTAGCGTGAGGGCTATGCTTGAAACGCTAGTAGTCTTGGCAGTATGCCCCCAGTACTCCGTACGATCTGCGGAGTTGCAGAGGAGTACACAATCATCAGGGGTCCGGAGAAGTCATGATCATAACCTAATCCTTAGTGACGGTCGCAGCGAGCAAAGTGGTACACGGAAGCGTCGGAAGCCTCCTACCCCTAGTAAATACCATAGTATCCGAGATGGACTTACCTTAGTGCAGGGATTTTAATGTAATTAAATGAAAAATGGAGTTCTTTTAGACTGCAATGTTAGCAAATATCAAAGGTAGCGAGGAGGGAGCCAAATAGTTGATTGGCAGTATTTTTGAAAATCAGCATCTGTTTTTGAATCACATGGCTCCATGATGCTTTCAAGATTTTTACCAGATGCACTCCACAGATCATACTGGGGGCATACTGCCAAGATTACTAGCGTTTAAATGATAGCCCTCACGCTAAGCCTGATATGGTCTCTGAAATATGCTAGCTAATTAGGGTAATCTGCTAACCTATTTAGGCAATGGAGGGGTCGATATAGGTTGAGGGGGGGGTCGATATAGCTGACAGGGGGGGTCGAAATATAAGTGACCTCTTTTATGCGGCTCTTGCAATTTTAATGCACCCAGATAGGCACGGAGCCGGTGCTACCCCTCTCCAAAGACAGCCTTGGAGGGTCGATGCCTGGCCAACTGCTTACCTGGATGTGACTCTTTTACGCCACTGGCTGTATGATTATACCGCGAGCCTTGCCTTCGGCTTGTGACCAGTCCACCATGAGAAACTCCGGCGTATACACCTTGTACAAGGTGTTTCCATGAGGTTAGCGGTATGGCCATTCTGGTGAAAGTTGTAATGGTCCCCAGATCTAGTAATTACACTACCAAGCTTTCAACCCACACTGTCCCTTTGTGTTGGCCAGGCTTGTACATGTGGAGTACTTCCATGGTGGCACTGACCTGTAAGGTTTGAAAACGCCCGGATATCACACGTTGGCTCATTTCCACGTCCTGATGGCTCTGTTCTCTTTTCTGATTAGTGTGCTCTGTTGTCGGAGGTCGGCATGTTCCCCAGGGGCTGAGAAAGACAGTCCCTAAGCGGCGCTCTATGTATTTCAGTTGATTTCCCCCCCTCGGGAAAGTGCATTTCCTTTCGACCATCTACACTCATTTGGAGCTTTTTGGGAAATCCAAGCAGACATTGGTCTGCGTCCTTTCGTTGTTCGCGAATCAACCTGTCATTCCTTTTATCTGGTTGATGGACGATTTTTGTTGCATCTAATTACTACATTCATTTGAATCAAAATGTTCACCAAGACTTTGGCCGCCGTGTCGGCGCTGTCGTTCTTTGCCTCAACTGCTCTTGCTGTTGATGCCAGCCTGAAGAATAATGTTGCTGTATACTATGGACAAGGTGCAAACCAGCCCCGGCTCAGCTATTTCTGTGAACAGACCACGATGGATATCATCAACATCGGGTTTATTCATGAGTTCCCTAAAGCTGTCGGCGAAATCCCTGGTTCCAACTTTGGCAATCAGTGTGATGGCAACCTGTTCGAGGGAACCAATTTGCTCAACGGCTGCCACCAGATCTGGGAGGATATCCCGAAGTGCAAGGCCGCTGGCAAAACAATCTTGCTGTCCATCGGTGGTGGTACTGCCACAGGCCAATCCCTTCCAGACGACGCTACCGGTGTCTGGTTTGCTGATTTCTTGTGGTATTCCTTCGGTCCTTACAACCCAATGATCTCATCATTGTCCTGGACCCACGAGCTGGCAAAGACTGCATTCCCTCGTCCATTCCTTGATGTCTCAGTTGATGGATTTGACTTTGATGTCGAGTACAACGGTGGAACTGGTATGTCCTCCATCACCCTGAGTTTATATTGTTACTTTTTCTAACACTCCCGTCTAGGCTATGCCGCCATGATCAACCGTCTGCGCTGGCACTATTCTCAGACTCCTGAACGGACATTCTACATCTCCGGTGCTCCCCAGTGCTCACTCCCTGATGCCCAGCTCGGCGATGCCATCTCCAACTCCGCCTTTGATTTCATCTGGGTTCAATGGTACAACACCAAGGGTTGCTCTGCTGCAGACTGGGTGGACGGCACTGGCAAGTTCAACTTTGATGCTTGGATCAAGGTCATCGAGGCTAGCGCCAACCCAGATGCTAAGCTCTTTATTGGCCTTCCCGCATCGGAGAGTGCTGCTAATGCTGGGTTCTATCTGACCCCAGAGGAGGCCAAGCCACTCATCACGAAGTACATGAAAATGTATCCCAAGAACTTTGGTGGTGTCATGCTCTGGGAGGCTACTGCTGGTGAGAACAATCTCATCGACGGTTCAACTTTCACCGAGCATATCCAAGATATCCTGTACGAGTGTGCTCCTCCTCCACCCCGACCAACTTCAACTGTCACCCCGATCCCATCCTCAACTTCGACTTCGACCTCCACTTCCACTTCCACTACCCCCTTGCCCACCACCACCACGTCGTCCAGCACCACCACGTCGTCCAGCACCACCACGTCGTCCAGCACCACCACCACTCCCTCTCCCACTCCTTCTTCCAGCACCTCTTCGACCTCCACCACCACGACCTCGTCTGTCGTTAGTACCCCCTCTGGACACTCTTCCTCTTCCAGTGCCTCTAGCAGCACCGAGATTCCTCCGGTTGCCTCTTCCTCGGGACACCCCGGTCCTCACCCAACCACCTCTCGAACTCCCACTGGAAAGCCTACCCCCAGCTCGCCTGTTGGCCATGGCTCCCACACTATCCCAACGTCCACCCCTTTGATCCCCGGTCATTCTTCCAGCACTGTCCCTGTCCCCTCTGCGAGCGAGTCTGACTCCTCTTCTACCATCGAGAGTAGCACTACGACTGGTCCGTCTGGTGGCCAGACTACCACCGGCGCCCAGACTACTGGAGGCCCCAAGCCTACCGGCGATGGCTCTGTCACTGCCCCATCCGGTATCACCGCCGTTCCCTCTGTGACTGCTTCGCCCTCTTTGGGCCCAGGAACCACCACAACTATCATTGTGACCTCCTACATTGATATTTGCCCTACTGGCTTCACCACCATCACTACTACCATTACCAGAACCTACTGCCCTGACGACTCCACTGCTACTGCTACTGGCACTGCTGAGATTACCGGCCCTACTTCTGGTCCTGCTGTTCCCACTTCCTCCATTCCTGAGGGCTGGACCACCACTGTGACTGTCTGCACTCAATGTGCTGCTACCCCAACTACCGTGACTCTCACCAAGCCCGCTGCCACAACTACCACTGAGGCTGTGTCGCACCCTACTGGTCCTTCTGTGCCTGAGGGTTACACTACCACTGTGACTTTCTGCAAACACTGTGGCCCTACCGGCAGCACTATCACCGTCACTGTCCCAGCTCCCACCGCCACCGCTCCTGCTCCTGGCTCTGACTCCGGCTCCAACCCTGGATCCAACCCTGGATCTGACTCTGGTTCGTCCGGCCCGGGTGAAGGCTCTGGATCCGAACCCAACCCCGGCTCTCCTGGCCAGGGTGAAGAGGTCACAGTGACCGGCGTCGCCCCTGTGGTGCATACTCCTTTCCCCAAGCCTCATGGCCATGGACATGGACATGGACATGGTCATGGTCATGGTCCTGGACATGGAGGATTCCACCCCGGCAGACCGTCATCCAGCCTGGCTGTCCACCCCTCGCCCTCCCACACACCCGTGGCCACCCCCACAAGTCATCCCGAAGTGCCCAGCAGCACTCCGGAGGGCGTCTCCCCAGTCTTCACTGGCGCCGCCTCCAGGGCAGGTGTCACCGGGCTCTTCGGTGGCGTTCTCGCCATCGGTCTCTCCATGTTCATGATGTTGTGAGCTGGCCCCTAGTCTGGACAGCATGATCTCATCATCTATACGATATGATTGATCTCACGATGCTGGTTCAAGAACTTGGTCATTGCTAGTGGCCCTCACTTCTTGTTAATTTAATTACGATGCTTGATTTATTATATTCTCTCCCCCGATCTCCGCTCTGTGGAGTGATTCAAATCCCTGTTGGCCTCTTTTTGTGATATACTCTGGCCATCTGGGCAGTTATCGATGAGACCCTCGTGTCTTCGAATTGAATTTTCACGAGCGGTCGCGTCCGTTGGTTTCCTACTCTCCTAATGACATTTCTACCTCAATGTCGACATCCACTCTTCGCCTTGGTTTGCGATCTCCTTATGTACAATTTACAATGATTCCCATTGCTTAGAAATACCATTTACTATTCTTTTTTTTTCACTTTCATCTTTAATCTTCATCCTTGATCTTGAGATTCAAGTTTATTTTCTTGATATGCGTCCGAATCCAAACTTGAAACACAACCAGGTGGATGTGTTAGTGTCTGCGCAGGTGTATAGCGGCCAAGGGTCGGATAGAATTGAAATGGGCGTTCTGCCTGAATATGCCTGATTTTGAGCCAGCAGAAAATGAAAATACCTGAATTACTATGATAGATTCCTTAATCATTCAAGTACCCAAGTTCAAGGTGTTCCCTTCAAACCTATGTAGGCAGGTAAGATGAAGCATTTTGTATATTAAAAAGGCCTACGTCACTATATTTTAATATAACACAGCCGTGAGGCTCCTTCTACAATATAAGTATCTCTATCCAGCAATTCCTAACCATTGATGCCATTCTGCTTGCAAGGGATGGGGCCCAGCGCCTGAAAATAGGTGAACGTGAGGATTTGTACTGTGCGAATGGCTTCAATTATGGGGACTGTTTACGGTACACGGTATGAAGCCGTGTCAAAATCGGTCGGAAATCAGGCATAATTCAGGCAGCAGCCTTGATTTTATTGCCATCCAACCCTTGGCTGCTATGCCCCTTCGCGGGGTCCCCATACGTTCTGGTGAGAGTCACCCTTCAACACATACATATGAACTTGCGATATCTCTAATCCACAAGGATTACAGCAAGAGGCGTCAATAGCTTGAGCGAGTGGAGGAGGAGTCCGAATAACAGCCCGGGGTGGGTCCTTTTAGAATAGTCCTACTATGTAGTGAGTGGTTGTATTCGAACTGAACATGAATGGTTTGCAAGTCGATCTAAAAATTGTGATTTTGTCTGGTTTAAGTCATTTCGGTCATAATGCACAATATTTCTATCCAGATATCGACTGGTTCCATAACTCAGTTGGTTAGAGTGTGGTGCTAATAACGCCAAAGTCGAGGGTTCGACCCCCTCTGGAACCACGATTCATTTGTTTTTTGTTACTTTTTGCTAGTCCTCTCAATCTTTTTTTCCTTCTTAAAACTCAACCGAATCGATTCTGACTTGAATTCATGTCATATTGATGCAGTTAGTTGGGTGGAAAAAAAATTAAGGCCTTCCCAGACTTTACAAGGGATTTACGTAGAGAGGTTGATGGTTACGCCTTTCTTCATGCGGCTCTTATGCGTAAATGGTTGGCGCTTTCGACGGTACTTTTGCACCGGCAAAAAGAAACTCCGATAGGGGGAATCGAACCCCCGGCTGCCGTGTGAGAGACGGCGATGTTAGCCACTACACCATATCGGATATTGGATGAAAAGTGTTCAATTTAGTGAAACATAAGCCTGTTCAAATTAGGCCCCCGCCTAACCAGGTATATATGCCCAGATGGGCTTTATGTTTGTAGCCACCTGTATGTAGTTATTTCCTCCTACTAACAGTTATGGCATTTCTCTTATAATCTGTATCACCACCGTGCACATGTATTAATCTCGAGAGATTTGTTCCCATGCGTGATTCTATATAATTCCTCGGTTCTATATAATCCCTCCTGTAGCCCTTTCATTATTTTTTCGCATTTTTTTTTTGGCTCGCACACTTTTCCTTTGTCCCCGTCTTCGTCCGTTATCTACATGCTATTGATCTAGAATCCTAGATCACCGAGCTCCTAAGCTCCGCCACCCCTTGTCCCTCGATATGACTCATCGGCTATACTGCGATCGTGTGAATGCAATCTGCGTTGCTCTCCCTCGTCTGGCCCTATCTTCCTCAACTCCGACCTGTGCGCTCAAGATGAGACCGCCTTTTCCTTTGTACCACGACACCGACCAGCAGACATCGACTGGTAGGCTTACCGCCACGGATATCAATCAGCCGGCTCATAGTTGACTTCTGCGTAAGCAGGCGCAACCGCCATACACTCTTCAGAGGTTATTACACGGTTTACACGAATCAATATTGCAAACTTATAGGTAGCCTATAATCATGCTGCACTGGGCGCTCTAGAGTGTGCGAAAGATCTTCTTGGTTTGCCTGGGGATTGTGACAATTGCTGACGATATATATCTTTGGTTTCTCTACGGAGTATGGTTAGCTAGATGTCAATTCTATCGATATGTCACGGTTAGTATCGACCAGTCAGTGACACGGAATGATTGTTGCTTCTCGCGTGTTCGACTTAAAATAAAGATCATTTACAATACAGCAATGGACGATGTCGAGAGTGGTCCAACAAATGCTTATTGGGGCAGCAAATTCGACATTGATTAAAATCAATTCCTGAGCGGTATACACCGTTACATCTCTGTGACAATGACGTATAGGATCAATTCATCATAATCGCGAGATAAGTGATTTCTGGTAGCCAGATAGATGCCATAAACAGGCAGCGCCCTACTTGATAGAGCAACTACTCACTACATAGATACCTCGGAATGACAATAAGAGAAGTTTTGTCTCGCCTTTGCCTTGGCCATGAATATGATCAGTGAGCTAACACATAGATCTGCTCAGCTTTATAGACGGCAAACTACCCCCTGTAAACCCGTGGTTGGTCTAGCTAGGTACGTGGCTCGCGTGTAAAACACGCTACTTATATATATTCATTATTTCTTTGCCTCTAGCATTTTTCCATCGTTTATCCACATAGCTTCCTCTTCCTAACGATCCTATGTGACAACCCATTAGCTGAGCTGCTCAGTTAGGTGACCTCCCCTACGTTCAAAAAACAGACACTGGGACTTGGGGAGGTGGAGCGCCTCCCATACCAGCCCGATGATATCGACTCTGGTCTCCTCTCCGATATCAATAGAGCCCTCTAAGGCAAGGAGAGTGATTTGGTAAGAGAAGATGGTAGATCTGCTTACCTTCTTCCTCGCGAAGGTGCTCCATATCCGAAGTTAAGATGCAGCTGACATGAGGGCGGGATGTTCCATCATTGAGAGTCACACTCCACTAAACGTGCGACTTTGATCCTCCTAATTTACTAAAGTAAATCGCCCTACAGCTTTCATTAAAAAAATTAATCAAAAGATAATTTTGATGCCAAGGCGTGAGTAATTAGGGCTTTTTCAATGGTACTTTTGTACCGGCAAAAAGAAACTCCGATAGGGGGAATCGAACCCCCGGCTGCCGTGTGAGAGACGGCGATGTTAGCCACTACACCATATCGGATGACTATGTTAGATGTTCAATTTAGTGAAATATCAGCCCATGCAAAGCTAGACTCTACTTAACATACGTGTCTCTACAACCTATACCTACATGTATTCACCCGTGCATATACTGATGAGTCTCATGGTCACCCCTCACCATCTTGTTTGGAGTTACGTGACTCCTCTTTTCTCACCTTGCTATAAGAAGTTTCTCTCCTGGATAGTCTTTCTTCCCTTCTCTCTCTCTCTAGACGAAATACAATATTTCTAGTTCAACTCATCCTTCCATAGTCCGGTCATCTCTTCACAGCCCTATACCTTTTTAGGAATGATAATCCCTATGTAGCGTAACTACAAATTGATTCGCGTCAGCTAATTCTTGCTCAGTCACCGCAGTTAAGTGACTCAATTGGGTTTACTGATATCCTATACCAGTGGGCTAAAATACAAATCCATAGAGCCCAGCGAACAATAATGATAATGTGATGTTCTTCCTCTGTCCAATTCGCTTCTGTGGCCTTCTGCTGGGCTCTTCAATAGCAAGGGTAACAAGAGAGCGCGTCAACCTTTCCTGGGAAAACTTAGCAAGAGACGGATGTTGAGTGGCGTGTCCTTTCACGCGGCGAGAGGGACTTGCGAGCCTGTCGACCGATGGATTCTAGCCACTCGCGGCCTCTACCACGAACTTCTTGGTCCTCACATAGACGTTGCTGGTGAAACATTCGAACTGTGGCCATGAATTCCCCAATGGCGGAAATTATAGCACTTGTCTCATGCTCTGGTTTATCAGCTTCCACAAGGGCCGCGACCAAATAATGCAGTGGTCGGTAGAAAGGTAGGCCCTGCTCTCTCAAGCAAGGAGTCTCAAAATGACCAGAAAGCGAGTTGTACATTTTCTGCCAACGTGCCTCCAAGTCGGGCCTTGGAATTGTCTCCAGTTGATGTTCAATCCACAAAAACCGGTGCCACATGATGCAAATCTTCTTACTAGGAGCAGGAAGGTCAAACAACTCGAGGATGTAGTCTGCGAGAAGGGCTGCCTCCCACCTAAAGCGTATCGCCGCTTCAAACATCGGTGCTTTTTCCTGGAACAAGTCACGCTCGTAGAATCCACGGAGTGTGCCTCCAAAGCCCACCTCCTTACCACGATCCCAATCACCGGGACAGGTTTGGTGGAAAGTTCTCGCCGTTCCTTTTAGTCTTCTATGGGCCATATGGTCAGTCATTCTATCAATAGCCTGGCTTCCCGATGCAGTTTTGTTCGGATCTTGATGTGCGTAGGACTTGAGTCCATTCCACCGGTTCCAAAAGTGGGACAATGGGATTCCTGTTCTCCCTGTCCACGAGTACTCCCAAGCATCATCCTGGGCACTAAACTTGAAGTTCTGGAATCTCCAGAGCCGTGTTTTGCGATCTTCGCATGTACTCCAAACAGAATCGCAAAATGAATTATAGCTCAAAATCTGCGAGTTATTGGGGTTATCTGGTTGAAGACTTTGCTGTGGGTCTGATAGGCTTGTTTCCAGACCGGGTTCTTCGAGAAGAGGACTCGTCGCACTAGACAAGGTCTCCAACAGGGTGCTTACAAAAACAGACCCGCAACTCCGCCCAATGCTATGGGATACCCCCCAGGCATTCGAAGTTCCGTCGTATAGGTTGTCTTCCCCGCCAGCAGCTGTCATGGCGGGGTGGTTGAGCTCGGGGGTGGTGATCCATCCCCCGGAATAGCAAGCGGTGCTTAGAAGAGTCACACGCACACCTGGCTCAAGCACGCTCTTGAGATTGGCTATGCTGAGACTCTTATGGCTGTTTCCATCATTCAACAATAAGTGATGATTGGGTAGCCCATGGCAGAAGAAGAGTAGTAGAAGTGGTGCCTCATGTCGTTTCGCTAATTCTGACGCCCGTTTCGCCTCTGAAAGAACCCGATCTATCATTTCACCCGAGCGAACTATCGTGACTGGGGTGATTTGCTGTTGGTCAAGCATGCTTTTATCGAGGCAGACCTTTCGATCCTCAAATGGGTTGCCATGAAGGTATGCCCCATACTTCTCCACTAAATTCCTTGGATCAGCTGCGGTTATCCATGTCTGATGCATGCCCAAGCCTTTCAACAGATAGTTAAAGGCATAGAAATCTGAAATGAACCGCCCATCGTCTGATGGATCCGCGGTCGAGACTGTGGGGTGGGTTGCCGCAAGAATGATGGTATTGTCAAATACACAGGGTACCGTTGACGAAACAAACGAAGAGGGGAGCCTGTCTGGCATTCGGGCATGGCCGCCCTTAGCGAGAGGTTGCTTATCTGATAGAATGGCCATGGTGTTCGTTGTAGTGTGAGGCAAGAATACGGACATATGTCTATGGCTGTAGTTCTCCACCTTGGAATCAGCCTGTCGTAATTATTACCTGTCAATGACTCTTCCATGTTTGAAAGTTTAGTCCCTTGCTTATCATCCATGGAAAGGTTCCAAATTTCACATGCCTAGGTAGCCCTAATCTATCCTAATACAGGGGTTTGACAGGTGACAGATTACAATGTGCAAATATACATATCTCACATGGATAGAAGTAAGTGCATCTTTCTATTAATCTACAATCTCATCAAATTTTATGAATCTTAATTTTATGAATCTTATCTATAGTCAATTTAGGGGCGTAGGAATGGACCTGCCATTTGGAAAATATACACACTGGACTTCGGGGAAGGAGCGTAGTAGCAAGGTGGGAAAAATCTAGAAGCAATTAATTTTGATCTTCTTTCGGATTTTCTCGTATCACAGGTTCGCCATAAATCTCTCAAGAAGCTCTATATATTATAAATTTCGTTTATCTCCAAGGCCCCAGCGGCCCACCGAAACCCAATGTGCCCCAAAACTACTTAGAACGGAAGAAATGTGCATTGGAACTGGGGCTTTATCACACCACTCCTCACAACTTGTCCTCTCTTCACTCGGCTTCGAAGATGACCGAACCGAAGTTGCTTTCTATGGGAGAATTGTGGCCAAAGTCTAAACACCCTCGGAAATTCCCTAGCTTTGACTCTGAAACGAGAAAAAAGGCCTCTCGGATTATGAAGGACTCCTCCGAGATCAAAGCATTCATTTAACAGGTTGGAAAGGCCCACAGTGCCTCCCTCAATAGAGACATAGGTGCCTTTCTCCACGTGAGGTTGTCTCAGCAAACTTCAAAGTATTCAATCCGAGCCCCAAAAAGCCTTCCCCCTGAAAATGTCTCCTTAGATGGATCAAGCATTATTCGAGGACTGCCATAATCGCTTGGGATAATGAACTTCCATCGACTCAATAAGTTTCTGAATAGTGTCCTTCATACTTGGTCCCCGATAGCTGACATCAATATTGATGGTTCGAGATCTTAGCTTCCGAGCACGGAACGTAAACTCTGGGCTCTCGGAGGCAACTGGAAAATGGACAAGGCCGTGGCCTTCTCGAAGGCAGCGGAGTGAGAAGCTTTCGAGCAAAGGAAACTCGCTTAGAGATCGAAATATCGATTTCCAGCTAGGGCCATCCAAATCTACCATGTGTAAATCAAGGACACGCAGGCTTTGGCGATAATTGCATAGCAACTTGCTTAAGGTTTCTTCACTCGGTTTTGGTCTTGATATGGCTTTTAGGGTGAGTTCTTGAAGCTGCCAAGGCGTTTCGAGAGAGGAGAGGTGCTCGATAACTGCATGTGCTGCAAGTCCATGGTCGAACTTAATTATCAATTTCCGAAGACCCGATGCATGCCGGACTATTGGATCGATCCAGTCCATGATATTAGATTGAGTCATTGTGAAATTCAATAAGAGGGTTCTCAAGTTAGCCCAAGCAGTGATAAACTCTGGCTTCCAAAGATCGGACCCATTGACACGTCTCAAATCAATTTCGTTGACTCCCCCGAGCGTTGGAGGTATGAAATCCACGAGAAACTCTCGGACGGGGATATGAGCGTCAATGATACCATTGAGAATAACCGTTATGATATCGGTCGATGTGAAGTGGTTAAGACATGTCTCTTTATCAGACCAGCCCTGCCGTATCAGGTGAAATGACGTACAATTCACTAGGCGGCGCAAAACCTCGGTCCATTGGTGAACACCTGCCTCTGGTAGCAAATAACCGGAGGAATGTCTTTTCCATAACACACCCTGTCCAAGTTTGTCATTTGGCTCGTCAACATATTTGACGACCAGAGTCTGGACATGCGGTGCTATCTTTGAATCCATTGATATGAGCATCAGCCTTTCGAGACTGGCCAAGGATAGGTTTATTTGTAATGTTTGGAAGAAGTGACAGCGAAAGGTGTACCGAGTGTTCTCATAGATCCTTTTACAGGACAATCGGAACGAGTGCAGATCTTGTGTCGCCAAGCGACATGCAATTGCTTGCATCAATTCGACAGGGAGTTCATCAAAAATAGAGGACGGCATGATCTTGGTTGTATAGGAAGTAGGTGGATTGCCGATAGGCTAAATATTGAATGGATACTCCGTACTCTATAGTCGATAAAAGTGGGTGATGAGCCAAGCTTTAAACAGTTGGCCTACTCTGCGCAGCCAACGGCGTTTCGGGGTTATTCAGGAGCACCTTGAAGTGCCCAGGTGGACCCGGGGGCCAACGAGTCAACCAACCAACTCGCGAAGGGCCCCTCCTGAGGTCACCTAGCGCCCGGCCGGGCGACCGCTCTGTAGCTTCTCAAACATGAACAAGGTGATGAGACCCGCAGATGTGGAACTCAGGGAGAAGAGAGAGAGTTGTATTGGGAGGGGAGACGGAACTCCCGACCATCTACACTTGCGAGGGTGATACCTGAGGCACCAAGGCAGCGACCACTGTCTTAACAAAAGGCGTCTCTTTCTTGAGTCGAGTTGCTTCCCTCCAAACCCTCTGATTGAGCTGGGCCCCTGTGCTGTGGCTGATCAAGGCTTCGATCCTTCCAAAGACAAAATGGCCCTAATTCTTCGTGAGAATCACTATGGCCATCAGATTTTTGGCTACGGGCACCATGATGCGATCGCTTTTGATTTATGGCACCATGGCCACCGAGAACGAATCGACTGTACCTATACAAGTAATTCAGTTTTCTCTCAGCTGAAATCCATCTGCATTCAATACATTCGATTTTAATTAGAACTTACCCCTGAGCGCTATATACCTTTCCCGGGCAGAATTATTCTTCCGATCGTCAGTTTGATTTTGTTGCTCTATTTACGGCAAATCCAAAGTTGAAGTTATCATGTTATCACAACTTCATTCTTCAACAGTTGTTATGTATACCTTCTCTAGTTGTTTCACGTTGGCATCTCTCGCGACGACCCACTTCGGGGTGACTTACAAGCTTGCTGGTTGGCAGGAAGATCGACGCCACTGCGAGGGTGGGTCGCATTTGCTGACACCAACGACTTCCCCCGATGAAGAATTCTCATAGGGATTTTGGTGTGAGAATTGGCTATCACTGGCCCACATGACTTTCAATCGTCCCCTACCCATCTCTGGGGCGTGGAAGGACCATGATGCCTACATCGAGGCCCTCCTCTGCTTCTCCACGACGTCGGTGCTTTTTATGAATTTATGCGGTGGCGTGCATATGGTCGATTTTCTCACCCGTGAACCCGACCTATATACAACAATCCTGCCAAAAGATTGGATATCATTCTTCGAACAGCATGATGTGCAAGATATCATCCGGCTTCTGCTACGAGAGGATATTGAGCACTTGCGAGGCGCCGGCGAGCCTTCCGTAGATCAAGGCAGCCGTACTTGGAATGGAGGAGCATTTCCTCCACAGAGCCTGTTGGAATATATTTCCAACGTGCGAGAACTGACACTTCAACGCGAAATGTGCACATCATCCTCGGAAAGGATTGAATTACCAAAGCAAGTTGCTATGCACATGAACCGAAAGAAAGTACACGAGGTCCAATGCCTTTCTCAATACGTCGCATCTCTATCCGAGACTGTCAATAAGCGTCGAGGTGAGCCGGTGACTCATATCGTGGATTTTGGGTCTGGTCAGAACTATCTGGGACGGACACTTGCCAGCTCACCGTACTACAAGCATATCATCGCAATTGAGCGCAAGCACCAGTACATCAGCGGTGCTAAGAGCATGGATGTTCGAGCAAAGTTGGCAAAGAACCCCAAAGCTCAATATTCCCAGAAGGAAAAACGCAACGGAACTCCGGGAGTGCCCGTTTCCGAAACAACGGATACCTACCAACCGACGATGGTGGGCTCGCAGGTCTCAGATGTCCCTATTGCCGAGATGCTGGGAGACATCAGCCTTGAATCTGAGGCGTTACTTGCATCACCATCCAAAACGATATCACAGGAAAAGCTACCTGAGCCAGAGATCCATAGCCGGGGTACTCTTAGCTATGTGGAGCATGAAATCCAGGATGGCCACTTAGAGCCCATCATCGATCACATCATTCATCCATCCTCCGCGGACCCCTCCGACGAGGAAGGGAAAGAACAGCGCGATCCTAGATTGATGGTCGTTTCCCTTCACTCTTGTGGAAACCTTGTTCACCATGGTCTCCGATCCCTGATTTTAAATCCTTCGATTGTCGCTGTCGCTATGATCGGTTGTTGCTACAATCTGTTGACCGAACGTCTCGGTCCAAACACACATGATCTCCCTATTCTTCAATCCCTCCATCCTCGCCTCCAAGAGACTGGAACATCATACGATCCACATGGGTTCCCTATGTCTAAATACTACGAGAATTACCGAAGTCCCGGAGCCACGACAGGAATGAAGCTTAACATCACAGCCCGTGCACTGGCTGTGCAAGCTCCATACAATTGGGGACCCAAAGACAGCGAAGTGTCCTTTACTCGTCACTTCTTCCGAGCCCTTCTCCAGCGTATTCTCGTTGATCGAAATATTCTTCAAAAACCCGCGACGCCAGAGGATGCCGGCTCTGACGGAACTCACTTAGAAGCAAACGCCAACTCTGTCATCCTCGGAGCATTGCCCAAAGCTGCCTTCAAGTCTTTTACTGCATATGTTCGCGCTGCGACAATTAAGATGACTCGCGATCCGACACATGGTTCCCAGGTGCAAAAGCATATTGCTACGCTGACTGATGAGGAAATCCAGGGCTACGAGACTCAGTATCTTCCTGCGAGGAAACATATGAGTGTTGTGTGGAGCTTAATGGCATTCAGTGCTCAGCTTGTCGAGTCTATCATTGTTGTGGATCGGTGGCAATTTCTGCGTGAACAGGACACTGTCAAAGAATGCTGGGTTGAGCCTGTGTTTGAATATAGTGAGAGTCCGCGTAACTTGGTTGTCATTGGATTAAAAAAGTGATGGGTTGTGGGACGGAGTATTGTTGATTTGCATTGAATATGAATTGATTATCGGTCCGTTGTAGGACCTCAGTGCAGACCAATATAAAGCCAGTTGGGGAATAAATCAGCCATTGTGGAAGACGAACTCATTCAGCTCAGGCTAGCAAGCATTGCAAAAGGCAAAGTTAGGAATTCTCCAGCCTAAGGGACGTGGGGATTGTGTATGGGGTGTAGATCATATAGACCTAGCGATCCCAATGACGCAGGGATAGAAACCCTCGCGGGTGGAAGTTGGCGAAGAAAGGCGAGATGCGAGATGCAACTGTAGAGAAAAAAAGCGGACTACGCTTTTGTTTTGTTTGCACTGCCGGCTTGTGGCCTTAGCTTTCAGGTGGACAGCCCTCGAGGACACACGGGGCAATCTCGGGGACGCCGCGAGGACTGTTCTGCACAAACTCCAAAATTGGTCTGTTTCGGGAGATTACATGCATAATGGAGGCAGCAATTAGGAGCTGGGTTAGTCTACTTGTAAAAGAGGAGAGTGTCCTTTAGAAAAGCTGCATTTTGTAAAATTGTCAGTCTATGAAGTACACCACGAAAACATGTCTAATTCACACGTTGAACCGATCACACTCACAAGCGGGAGGGGAAAAAAGAAACGCCTTGAGTATTTTCACATCTCACTGGGAGCAATGAATACATAAATGAAGAAAAGGTATCTGTTCACGCCGAGAGATGAATGACTCAACCCCCGCTCCTCGGCGTGATGACTTCGAAATCGCCATGATATGTGCATTGATGGTTCAATATGAAGCCTTCGCTGCACTCATCGATGAATGCTGGGAGAAGGACTATGGTAGAGTCAAAGGCAACATAAATACCTACATCACAGGTATGATCGAATTGCGAAGGGGAGCATATCTAATCGACATCTCTGCTCGCAAGGTTTCAGATATCTGGAGAAAAGGACCACCATCAATGGCTGTTGAAGATGATCAGATGCGAGATTTCTGTACTATATATTTTGATATAGCCTTTGTAGCCCCACTAGTACACGCAAGAGGTGAAGACACGGTGTGAATGTATCTAAAAAAAGTCCGACGATAGGGAGGCTTGATTTCGGCAATGAATCGCGATGTATATACTTCTGTCCTTTGAAAATCTGAAGGCTCTATTTCAACCCACCATCCGATGCACGTTCGACTTGCACCCATTCCAATGCAGACCAACTCTCGGTATTGGTCCTTTGCAAAGAAAACTCTGTCTCCTGTCCCATAGGTTCAGAGCAAGGGATACCACTGTCAGATCCAGCATCCTGATCTGAATGCTCACCTCCGTCACCCACCGAGGAAGTCTCGGAGGGACGATAAGGTAAGTCGAAGAAAGGAATAGCCTCAACATTTAACTTCAAAATCATATCCTCATCGTCCAGCTCCTCATCTGTTTCATTACTCGAACCATCCAGATCTAAATCATCGATGTCACATTCTTCACCCGAGGATTCGCTCTCTGAATCTTCCTCTGGCCATCCACGACCTTGCCGCTCTCGACATTCTTGTAGAATTTTACGAGCATTGTCTGTTCTCCACTGGGCTGAATGATGTATATCATCCACCAAGCTCCACTGCGCTCCACACTTCATCAGGAGTTCACATGCACCGGGCCAGCTGCTTAATGCCGCTGCATGCAGAGCCGAATGGTAATGGCCACCAAAGACATTAACCTCAGCACCTCGTTCAAGAAGAAGCTGAAGGAGATCATGGTTTCCAGAGACGGAGGCTGCCTGGAGAACTGTGAAGTATTTTCCTCCAGTCTTGTGAATGTTGGCACCATTTCGGAGCAGGAGAAGAACGCCAGCAATGGAACCGATGGCAGCTGCCGCCTGCAAGGCACCGGAATAAATGCCACCTGATGCATTGGGGTTGATTCCTTTCTTCAAAAGAAGCTCTGCAATCTCAAGGTTTCCAGACAGAACAGCGGCCGTTAACGGATTGCCAAATCTTCCTCCAGTAGTGTGAACGTCAAAACCGTGACGAAGAATAGCTTTGACAATCGCTTTGCTTCCCCCAATACTAGCAGCCTGCAATGCATCGTGATATTTTCCCTTACCGGTAGGTTTCAGGTCGGCGCCTTGCTTGAGTAAGTAGGAAAAGATCGAGAAATTGCCCTTGCGTGCGGCGCGTTCCACGAGTGAGTCGGCAGCACCATTTGAAGCACTGACATCAGCCCCCTCTCAACGAGTAGCCGGAGGATAGACAAGTCTCCCCTCTCGACTGCCCCGTAAGCCGCCGTAGGATAGCGGTTATTACCGTCAAGGTTGGGATCAGCGCCGGCATCCAACAAGGTCAAGACCGTGTCCTTTTCTCCCCACGCAGCAGCACATACAAGCGCGTTTCCGTACACACCACCCCGGGCGTTTACATCTGCCCCCACATCAATCAAGATGGATAATGCACTATCTGACCGGCATGAGATGCATTTCTGAATTGCAGTTCCGTAACGGCGGATTGGGGCATTTGGGTCGGCGCCGTGGTGCCGAAGGAGTGCCGAAACTAAAGTCTGACAAGCCCCAGCAAGCGCAGCGCCCAAAGCCGTTCCATGCTCGCCACCCCCCAGGCTGACGGATGCACCAGCGTCGAAAAGTGCCCATATGATATTGTAATATCCTGAAGAGTACGCAGCCTGCAGGGCTGTCCCGTGAATACCGCCAACAATATTAGGGTCCGCTTGGTGCTCGAGCAAAATGGTACAAGCATCCTCTTCGCCTTTTGAAGCTGCTGCTTGAAGAGCCGTTGCGTATTTGCCTCCTTTGTTGTTCAAGTCCGCACCGGCTTCAATCAAGGTTTGGATAGTATCCGTAGCACCGTGCCAAGAGGCCGCTGTGAGCGGATATTCGAAGTCTCCACCAACGGGCAAGTTGACATCTGCTCCTTGTTCGATGAGTAGTTGAATTACCTGGAGGTCCACATTCTCTTCAATCGCCGCCATCAATGGGCTTCCATTGTCTCCGATGTAACAAATATTGACATCAGCACCCGCCTTGATGAGGGCTTCTGCTGCTTCAAGGTGACCGTTGAATGCAGCAGCCTGTAGAGCTGTGCCGTATGAGCCTCCGATCTCGTTGACATCACTTCCTGCATCAATCAAAAGTTGAATTTGGTCCACATGGCCCTGGAAAGACGCGACCTGCAGTGCAGTCGTGAACTTGGCGTCTTCAATATCCACCGAAAGATTAGCGCCTCTTTCGACCAACTTTTGGACCAGTCCTATGCATCCGTAATAGGCTGCAGTGTGGAGAGCTGTAAGGCAACCATCATCGTTCTCATCATCGGACGGCTCAACGGTGAGATTTATATCAGCTCCATGATCGAGAAGCAGCTCCACGAGGAGCTCAGAATCGAAGGTCACTGCAGCCATAAGAGGCGTACTAAATGACTTGAAAGCAACGTTCACATCCGCACCACGATTGAGGAGAGACACACAAAGCTCGTAGTCTTCAGATTTCAAAGCACCGACAAGTGCGCAGCAGCCCTCACTAGCACTTACCATCGCATTGACATCTGCCCCAGTTTCAAGCAAAAGCTCTGCGATCGCAATGCTTGACTCGCGCCCACAGCACGCTGCAATGAGGGGAGTTCCGTACTGCTGGTCATTCGTGAAGTTCACGTCTGCACCCAACTCAAGTAACAGGTTAACCATATCCAGATGTCCCTTTACGGCGGCAACCTCCAGAGGTGTGCAATTAGGATATGTGGACATGGTACTGCAGTCATCTGTGGCCGCACCCATTTCAACCAAAACTTTAACGACCTCCATGTGACCCCTACTTGCAGCGACCATGATTGCATTGCTCATCTCGTAGGTATCCCCATCGGGAACCCCCAACTCAAAGAGAAGCCGAATAGTTTCCGCATGGCCATTTTGCGCAGCTGAAACAAGCGCCGTTCCTCGATCTGCGCTAGGAGCATTGACATCTACTCCCGCATCCGCCAATAGACGTACTATATCGGAGTATCCTGCAGAAGCAGCCATCTGAACACTATTTCCATAATGCTCATCGAAGAATTCGACATCGGCACCCGCATCAAGTAGGCATTGTACAATGCTGAGGTGACCTCCGGCGCTGGCTGCATTTAATGCATTGCGATGTTTCCCCCCTTTGCATTAACATCAGCCCCAAATTCAAGGAGAACCTTTACGGAATCCATATTTCCAGCCATGCACGCAGCATATAGACTGTCGGTTCCCTTATCATTCTCGTCGTTGACCCTAGCTCCATGCGAGATTAGAAAGCGCATCAGGTCAAGGAGGCCCATAGAGGAAGCTGCCATCAATGCACATCCGTGTCGACCCCCAAGGGCATTGACATTCGCTCCCTTCTTAATAAGCATTTCCACAATGTTCATGTTTTTGCCAACAATTGCGGACACCAGAGGATATGCATACCACCCTCCACGGCCGTTCACGTTCGCACCGTGGTCCAGAAGAACTTGGAATGTCTGAATATGTCCCTTTTCACCAGCAGCGGCAAGAGGAACGCCATATCGCTGACAGGAAATGTTGAAGTCCGCACCATGAGCAAGGAGAAGGGAAACTACCCGATGACGGCCATCGAGAGTAGCGACTTGGAGAGGGGTGCCATTTCTCCCGGATCGAGTATTCGCGTTTGTTCCTATCTCTAGTAGAGTGCTTACCACCCTCTCATGCCCCTGACTCGCGCCGAGGTAGAGACATCGTTCGAGAGTCTTTGGGCCTACCGATTCACATAAATCCAAAAAGACCTTGATGACGGAGTCATGCCCGGCACCCGCACTCGCTTTTAATGGCTCATCCGTTTCACTGTTTGGATCCTCACTGAGCAAAGCCGAGACCACCCTTGGCAAACCGAACAAACTTGCAAAGTAGAGAGGAGAATCACTGGAAGATTTGAATCGTTCGCCTGTGATCTTTCGTAGATAGAAGAACATGCGATACCATGTGTCGTAATTGCCGCCAACAGTAGCATTCGATTCAAGCAATCGCATGACCAGGTCAAAAAGTTCGTCAGAAGCTCCTTCGGAAATTTGTTCCAAACTCCCGCTCAAGTGAGCATGTGTACCCCATGCTTGAACAGCATATGGGAGGAACTTGTATTCGTCGAATTCATGCAACAAATCTTCTCCAGACTTTGTCTCAGTTCCCGCAAAGTCATCGTATGTCAAATAAGTCAGACAAATACTGGCTAGTTCAGCATGGATATCACCATTCCCAACCCAGAACTGAGGCATCGATGATTTGATAAATTCCGATACGAGGAACTCTTTGACTGTATAATGTGCCAAAGCGACATGTCCATCAGACGAGAGCGTGACCAGGCTTCCACAAAGCTCGACCACATCTTCAGCGTCCGTGAAAACCGCATCGAAATCAAACGATTGCTCCGAATTGCTTAAATCAATGCTCACACACTCCGCCAGCTCGGCCAGAGTGAGGTTTCGAACACCTCTAACCAACCATTTCAGCAGCCGTTGCACGATCTCCACATCTTCGGCATGTTCGGTTTCCAACTTCTGGAGAATACGGATGTACGTGTCATGCAAGGTCTTCGGGAGGTCGCTCAAGGCATTTCGCACCGCTTTGTCGTTTCGCAATTTGCATAACTGATCCATCTGGCATTTTACCCATTGAAACATACCATGGGCTCCTTCAATCAAAGTATCACAGATGACCCCCGCCAAATTAGGATCGCGTAGTTTCAGCTTCCGGGCTTTGATCTTAGCTGCTAGCTCGGCCTTCACGTATGAATCAATATCATCAGCAACGTCTTTCGCTTCGATAGTCGCGACGCATAAACCCTCGTATGTGCGGGCAATGTCAATCTCATGGCGACTGGTGACGAAGATCTTCGAGCATTGGGAAGTCTCGGATATCCTTTTCAGGGCATATGCTAGACATTCTCTATCTTCACTTTCATCCAGGGCATCAATAACGATGTATATCTCCTCGAAACTATCAGCCATGAAGTGACTGAAATTGTTTAAGAGCTCATCAAACTCCGGACTATACGCCGGATTTTCTTTGTATCGTTGTTCGAAGAATGTTCGGATCCTGTCAAAGACAGCGTCATTTCGTGATGCAAGCATCGACAATAGAGTGCTGATGATCCGGGTTGGCGATTGTTTCTGTTGGTCCTTATAGTCGCAATAGAAATAGGCTAGTGCGATGGAATTGCTCTGCTTATACTCCCGCAACCATTCGATGACAGTCGACGCAAGAATTGTTTTTCCTGCACCGGGTATCGCATGTAGCCACAAGAAAGCATTCTCAGACGAGACCCATTCCTGAAATTTCGCACCATCCAAGAACCAGTTACCGGTACCTTGGTGCCGCAACTTTGTGGCTGAATTGTGATTAGAAGCCGCGTTGACGGGTGAGAGCCACTGGTTCACTGCTTCAATTCGCTGCTGGTCGATGAACTGGGCGACAGACTTTTGATGGGACTCCGATGCGTCCCAGCGAGATGTTTGCAGCTTTCGCTCATCTTCGGCCTTGACTCTCTCCTTGCTCGCAAGTTCCTTCTCGGCAAGATCGACTTCATGATCAATTTCGACCATGGAGGATCTAATCTTATCGACGATATCGCCAAATTGGATTTTGAACGGCTTCCAGAGGAGTTTCCACGCTGCATGTAGGCCGACCGGGTTCAGCGCCCTGATGCCTCGCTGGTATTTCTTCCCCTGGTGGAAGACATCTCGAGCTCTGGAACAAAACTGAAAGATCAAATGGAATATCTCTACCATGGAATTGCGAAGAATCTCATTGTCGGGGTAAAGGCGCGGATAACGACGTAGACAGGAAAGAATGTAGCCAATTTCCTCGAACATGTCCGAGATCTTGTCGAAGTATTCGCTATATTCGCCCGCGACCTGTCCAAAATAACACATAGGGAGTTGATTAGAGACGAATTGACATTTTATTGGAAGAGGTATATTCGAGTAGGATACTGACCTGGAGAACAACACGCACAGAACCCCAAATCGGACTCATCAGCGACACAGAGCCTGCGATAACGTCCAAGGCGCCACCGAATTGTTCAACGCCCGCAACGAAAGTTTTAAGCTTGGGGGCGATCTTCCGCGAAATCTCCGACTTATGTTTATTGTCGACATCTTGGAGATCATCGATCAACTGCTGCGATTTGGTCGTAGCCTCAAACAGAGCAATTTCGTCGGTCGAAAGTTCTTCAAAGAATTTTCGAATAGCATTGTGGCAGTCATCATCGAGAGTCGCGCTAAAAAGCGGGATGTCAGCTCTTCGGGGATCGATGGGGGAAGTGGCGGAGAAATTACCCTTTCGTTGGTTCCATCACGCAGGTACCCAGGAGACAGTCTCGCCAGCGCGACATGCAAATAAAGATGCAGTGTCCTTAGAGTAGTGCCATGTGCATTCTGAGATTCGGTGACCATGGTTCAGCTGCGGCCACCCCACATGCTCTAGAGCCCCATAAAGCTAATCCACAAGAGTGAGGCTGTGAGTGTGAGACTCGGCATCCGCTCCCAACACGAGGGAGAATACGCGCCATACGGGGCTGGGATCGTATCGGCTAATATCGCCTGTCAGAAAATGAATTCACACGCTCTGGTTCTTCAGCTCGCAGGCCGATCTCTCTGTCGATAGGGCGAGGAAGTGAACTATCCTTGGATGTGTCAGATTCCAAGAATTTCAGGTATCCGTCTTCGCGCTAGCCCCCTACTGCAAAGGAGCATAACGACTTTTTGGCCTAATGGACGCCTTAAAATGCCTTATCGGTGCCTCGTTTTGAACAGACAGAAATTAAAATACCTCAATTACAATGACAGGTGTCTTATTGAGCAAAGTACCCAAAGTCCCCAAGTCCAATACAATGAAGCTATCACCGCAATACAAAATATTATGAACCCCTTGGACTGAGCGATCAAGGCATTTTTATTTGATACTACTCCCTCCTCTTCTCTCCCACCCTCTTCATTTACATATAGGTGCTGCTATAATGAAATCATACACTCCATATTGTGTCGCCTTCAGCCCTCACTGACTTCTTCGCCAGATGATATACGACTTCCATCCCACACTTACAGTATCATAGATAAGTATCATAGATATCTCGGCCTTTAAATCACTTGCAAATTGAGCGCAATCCTGTACATGAAATTTACTTCCAAGGCCACAAGGCTATTCACGACCCATCCTTTGAACGTCGTTTCGAACTATTTTCGACTTCCGTTCGGCCTCCTCGTTCTATTCAATATGAGCGGTGCTACGACCCGCCTTTTCACCCCCAGACGGCCGAGAAAGCCGACGCTCTCTATTCTTTTCCATCATTTCCTTTGCAAACGGTGACCGCTCACGAATCTCCGGACCTTTGCGATAGAAGAAATAGATCGGTGCAGTCACCAGAATCGAGATACAGGCCAAAATCGTGGAGGCATACGCATACGGATATTTGTCACCAATATTCTCGAACATCGGTGTGGAATAGATCGCTGCGATTCCAGCAAGAAAGTCGCGTGCGAAGTCATTGCCTCCTGTAGCTGATGCTGCATATTCCCCGTATGCAGCAACGGTGTAGTCAATGGAAGCTTGATAGATGGAATACTAAGGCTCATTAGCATATGTTTCTCCTTGCGCGGTAGAATAGACTGACATTGGCAATTCCTATGAGTAAAGTAAAGATCATGGGTGCAATCCAATGGACATTAGGTGGACCCAGAGTAGTCCATGCAAAGCCGAAGAGGCCAATTGGGAGGGTAGGGATGACTAGATCCATTAGCAACATATCGCTAAAAACATCCGAGATGGTATCTAGTGGATTGGAATTCCAAGCTCACCATAGAGTAGCCACCACAGCCGTGCTTCGGGAGGAACGGATTCAGAGCCATTCTTGCGTCGCCGTTGCCTGAACATATGGATGGATGGCAAAAATGAGAAGTATGCAATAAAATATCCGATAAGCAGTCTAGACAATTTAACGACATTAGCATTCTTTATCCAAAATAGGAGCAGGAATTTCACTAACGGTAAAAACGAAAGACTGATCTGAATCGTGCCAAAGCCCCACTGTTGAAAGACTGGTTGAAATCCTTGAAGGAATGTGAAAATCAATGAATCACTGAACCCACTTAACAGCGAAAGCCATAGGACAATGGGTTCGGTAAACAGCATGACGAATGGGCGTTTCCATACTCTCCACATGTCCCGCGGCGACAGTGAATAGCCATGTATCTCATGTGGGCCCCATATATTGACTTCACCAGGTCCAGCCTTACGTCTCTTCTTTGCTACTTTATCGAGAATGATGGTAGCCCGCGTTTCCGGTACCAAGAAGAAATGCATGATCTGAACACAGCCGCCGGCGAGGAGTTGAACCCAGAAAATCCAAGCCAGTGGATGCCGATCTTCAACGAATCCACCAACGACAGCGCCCACGACCGAGCCGCCAACGGAAGATAGGATGAGAAATGCGACGGCATATTCCTGATCGTCGGGCTCCCACATATCCGCAATGACTCCCAATGTCACCGAGCCACCAGCTGTACTCAAACCCCCAAGCAGACGCACCACGACGTAAGTCGCGAAATTGGGCGCAAGAGCACACGGCAACTGCCATATGTTCACGAGGAAGAGACTGAGCTGTTGAGTGGGCCACCGTCCCAGTTCCTCGCTCCAGGGAGCCCACAGCTCACATCCAAAGGCGTATGCGCAAAGGAAAGTGAGTTGGGGGATTCTCGCAACTTGCTTGCTAACATTGTGCTCTTCTGAAATCGCGGTGACGCCGTTCGCGTAGAGACTTGCGTTCAGGTTGATTGAGATTTGGATGCAGAACATCACGCAGAGGATTTGCCATTTTCGCCAAGTGGGATAGCTATACCCCAGTTCGTCATAGGCAGCAGACTGTGTTAGCTCGATTTTATTGCTGCCCGGTACGGAATTGTTGTTTTCTCTAAGGTCTGCTGGGTCCACGGTTTCTAACACTGGGTTAGATCTATCGCTTGAGCCATCGAAATGATTAAGTGACGCCATGGCAGCGGATATTGTAGTGCATATCTAGTCGACTCGTTAAAAGAAAGGTTCTCAAGATATATGTAAGTATATAGATGGTTCTCGGTCCCTATGACGTATGTGGGGAAGTTCTTCCATGGTCATCGCAGGGTTCCTTTCAAGTTTCAAGTTTGTGTTGTTCCATTCATGAGGATTCGTATTTTTCACGAGCCCATGGAAATACAAGGAAGACAAGTAATGATTTGTGAAGCTGGTGGTCAGCAGACAAACCCCTCTGAGCCGACATGGCGAGAACTTCCATTACTCCCTTCCTGGCCAATTAAATGGATCTGATTGAGAAGAGCAGGTTTTGCTTTGAACCTGATCTCAAAATGTAGACGCAACCGATTGAATCAAGATAGTCGCTTCTTTCACCTGAGCTGACTGGGGCGGATGAAGCCGCTTGTACACTCAATTTCTGCCTGAATATGCCTTGTTTCACCTGGCGAAAAACCAGAATACATAAATTGCTATGACGAAGAGACCTTACTAAGGGCCTACCCAGTCCAGCTACCTACCTAGGTACCTAGATAGGGTCATAATGATACGAGCGTATCCATTATAGTACCTAGTTATACGACACATCCATGGATATTCAAAACGTGTATTTCAGATTGGATCTAACAGAAGACGACTTCATAAACCCAATTTCGAAACCAGAAAAGCAAAGCAAAGACAAGGACATGAACAGTAATCTCCCTCCAATCCCCAAGCATCCTTCCGTCAAATGGTAGCGGGATCCAAATACACCGATTCCTTCCAAGACCTCAAGAGCCTAGCAGCAGCATTAAATCCGTTCTGTACAGCAAGCTCAACAGCCTTGTGATATTGCGGCTCGCCTTCGCCTACCACCAGCGCTCCCTCTTCAAGGAGTAGCTGTAACATATCGATTCGACCATGTTCTGCCGCTCCTTGCAAGGCCATACGTCCATTCCACTTTGCGGGGGCTTCGTTGACATCTGCACCGAGATCGAGTAGTCTACGTGCAATACTGATGTAGCCCTTGATCGATGCAATCTGTAAAGCCGTGACACCACCATTCGTAGCGGGTGGGCCATCGACTTTGGCATTATGTTCCAACAGTAAGTCAATAAGCTCCACGTTCGCTTTCTCGACGGCATGTTGCATTGCTGTGCGACGGCGAGGGCCATCACCAAGAAAGTCGACATCGACCTTTCCCACTAATTTACGCGCGATCGGAATATTTTGGTACTTGGCTGCGGCTTGTAGAGCACTGTAGGTTTCTTTTTCACCTTCAACCTCCCCAAGTTCATCCTCATAGTCGTAGTACTTGATGGTAATCTCCTGGGCCATATCAGGACCGAAGTGTAGCAGATGCTCGGCGAGTTCGCCTTCGTGCAGGATTATCGCCAAAGTCAAGGCACGACCAATCAATCTCGGGCTCCAGGATGTCCATTGGAGCAGAGTTTGTAGAGCTTCTGTGTCTTGATAAGATACCGCTACTTCTAGTACCGATTCGGGTGGCGGTAATTCAAAGTCCAATTCCAGATGTTCCCCGTTGATCACACCTGGTACGCCGCTAGGGTCAACGCCTGCATCTTGAAGCAGTCCCAGTGCTCCATCCTCACAGATTGCGGCTGAGACTGCATTTGGGGCATTTCCAGTGAATATGGATAGTAGGAGCCGCAAATTTCCATAATCTTCCAGAATAGCGGTTTGAAGAACACTGTCAGTAACTTCGGCACCGCGATCCAGCAGAGCCTCTGCAAAAAATGTATGTTTTTCTCGGATTGCACATGCCAGAGGTGTCTGATCTGGGGGAAGTTCGCCGTTATCTTCCATATCTGCACCATGATCAAGGAGGTATTGGGTCAAATTGTTATCCTTTGTCGAGAGAGCGGCAGCGAGTATCTTCGATCCCGATGTCTCCAACACTGCTCGAAGAAGTCCGTTTGCCTGCAGATGCTGTGCAGTATCCAAATTACCAATCTTCCGCAGCTTAGTTCCGAGATGTGTAGCCCCAGCCGCCAAGAGACCATTGATCAACATTCTGTCGCCATGCTCAACCGCCGCCCCAAGCAGAGTGCTAGGAGATTCAGTATATTCATCATTCAGTCGTGCCCCTGCATGTATGAGAAGCCCGACAACGTCGGTTGACCTTTGTTTGACAGCGATAAGCAGAGCCGAGGACTGATGACCCGTTATAGAAAATGGTCTGTCAACTTGTGCTCCAAAGCCAATCAGGACACTGCAAATCTCCAAGGCATTTTCTCTTGTTGCAGCACGTTCAAGCAATGTCATTTTCCCTTGGCGGTCAGCAACCTTGGGATCAACTCCAGCTTGAAGCAAGGCCCGAATCATTTCTGCTGTTGCGTTTTGCATAGCTAAAGTAAGGGGCGAAACATAAGTCAGGCCATCGAAGATGGGATTCACATCATCGCAGCCACCCAACAAGGCATATATAACGCTGGGGAAGTCTGATTCAACTCCAAGACCCAGGATAGTGGTCATCGCCATGTCGTTCTCAAACTCGATAACGACTAGCTCATTTATCTGGGCGCCTTTTGCAATTAGAACTTCAATTATTGCAACATTGCCTCTAGTAACAGCTTCCGCAAGAGTACTTTGATCTTGCCACCCTGTTCTCGCGTTCACATCAGGGCAAGAACTGGCGATATCTTCGAAGAGTACTACATCAGTCAAACTTGTGGCCGCAGAAAGGCAGAATGGTGTTGCAGTGGCACCATGAGACAGAAGAGTACGTATGACAATCTCGTTGTGTACGCCTGCATTGATAGCATAGTACAAGGGCGGCCTTTCATTGCACGAGTGATTTACATCCGCCCCGTGAGAAATGAGAAGCTTCACAAGATCTTCACTGTGATCATTCGACTCTCGAGCGGCAAACTGAAGGGGTGTCAAAGCAACATTGGTGACTGACTGAACCAATGCATTGTTTGGATCCATGTTGGCTTCGAGCATAAGTTTGATCATGTCCATATTGTAGAGTCTCAATGCACTTGCGAACACCCTTTCAGCAATCGCTTCCGCCGTTGGCTCGCGTGTTGATAACATAAGCTTGATGTGCTTCAAATTATTCCAGCCAGAATAATTGAACATGTCTATCACTCTCTTGGCATCCTGTCTCAATATGCTTTCGGATATCTTGTTGGCATCTTGTGAAGCAAAATTGTTTGAGAGAAGAAAAAGCTCTAGAGCGAGCAGATCTGTTCCCTTATGCTTGGAGCTGCTTAGACCTGTCGATAAAATTTCGTGCTGACCTGCGAACTCTTCCGGCATGAGAATGCTCAAGGCTGCTGATGTTCGAGAGCTACTGTGTATATTTGCGGGGTGAGTGAGTCTCTCCCATGGTATGAGTGTACTCAAACGCCGCATCACTTCAAGATTCACAGTGCGAGAGAGCGCACTGGCCGGAGGTATATAGACAGTAAGAGATGAAGATGGGGATTGCACTTCGGGTATGGTAAGCATATCTAGGTAATCCATATGGAACCAGAAAGGGTGACTTCCGCAAAGCCATACCTTGGTTCTGTGGAGGGCGGAAAAGTTTGGTGAATCGTAGCCATGGAAGCGACGTGTTCCATGTGAGACTCATCCCCGTCGATGCTGGGGTACAGACAACGATGCCTTCTGGGGTTTTCGGGGAAGGAGCTTGACAAGAGTCAGTCAATTGCCGGTCTCAAAAGACGGGAAATTTGGGGCTGACCAGTAGAGAGATGGGCTATGGTCGACGAATACGCCGGTCCATACTTCGCCTTCTTGACCCTTGAAGCTTGAACTTCTTTACCACCAATGTGGATTTCACTCTCCTTGTTATCTCTCCATTTTCTTTTGTTCATCCGTTTTCCAATCCATTTCCAGTCCTCCGCCGGGATAGTGCCTTTCGTAAACCCCCATTTTTTGAGTTTCCGCACGTATTGGGTCTTGCTGGTTATCTGTGAGCTGACTTGCATATGGTTGACTTTGTCGAGACTTACGACGCGCTCAATCCGTATTTATCAGTCATGTAGCTCATCACCTCGGATAATGTGTTGTCCCCGTCAACGTACAAACGCTCGATTTCCGGCTTGAATTGTTCAAATTCCTGGTCCGCCATAATAGCTATCGGAATTGTCGGAGAAGAAACCGTTGTGAAAATTTGACTGGGAATGGGCTGTCTTTAAATAAGCCTTGTCCGCCTACAGACCTCTGGGCATCGCGACCTATACTTGTGCTGTGGAATTCATTCTACAAGCCACAGCCACCCGGTGGCCCTTAGACGCGTATTCTAATTGGTCATTTCAGCAATTTCGGTGGCGGAGGTGGCCTGTGGGTGTACCCAAGTGCTGCGGCTTACATCTTTTGACTGTCATTCGTCGGACCTGTCGATGTGGTGATCAGACATTTTGACATCAATTCATGCATACCTAATCCCCATCTCCTTTCTCAGCCTGACGAACAACGCTCATTGGTCCTTTCTCCAATTTTGAGTCCCGGAGTTGTGTCTTGGCACTAGTAGGGGCATCAGAGCTTGTGTTCAAAGATTGATAGTTGCTATGATGTGAGGCAAGAAATATATCTATATAACCGTCCCCCGAGATAAAACAAACTGCTCCAATCCAAGAATTTCTCAACGTACATTGCTCCACCAAAAGAACATCTCTTTCTCTGCTCTCAAACATCTTCGCTTGGCTTTACTCTCTGAGTTTCTTGTCTCACTATGGCATGGCCCTATGACCAAGGATGGGAAGGGAGCGCGACCTGTGCACACGAAGCCCACGATATCCCCTCAGACTCCCCTCGTCTAGATCATTCCGGATGGTACCCATCCGTAGAAGTTGACAGGTCGCCTTCCCCTCACGTACAACCTCTCATCCCCTACACCCCCGGCACCTGGGCGAATTCCTTGGCAGCGCCTCACTTAGCACCAGATTGTAGTGGTGCCATGTCAATTAGCGTGCCTCACCCCAACGTCGCCTCGACTGGAACGGCAGGCCAACGCTTGAATCTTTCCCAAGGATCGGTGGAAGTTCACTGGGGAAGAAACAATCCTCAGGATCCTGCTAGAAGCACCAGAACTACCGAGTAAGGTCCCTTCCCGTCTCCCACCAAAAACTACCCCGTCCACACCGGAGCTGGATGTAAATCTAACCTACTCTATAGGTCTTCACAGAGCCCCATCAATCCGCCGTTGCAATGTAAATGGCAGGACTGCAAGTATTCAGGAACTTTCAAGCGGGAATCTTCTCTCATTCGTCACATTCGAAAATTGCATATTGAGCCTCAGGCTCATCGCTGTCCAGTGCAAGGCTGCCGCAAAGTGTGCAATCGCAAAGACACTCTTGTTCAGCACATGCGAAATAAGCACTACACCTGACAAGCAAGGAGGTGGCCAAATCTCTAAGATTCTTTCTTCTTCTTGTTCCTCTTCATGTTCTTCGTCTTTTTCTTTCTTGGAGTGCTATTCTTTTCTTTTTTCAGAACGTGTACTTGACTTTTGTTGTCCGTGTTTTTGTCTTCTTGTTTGATCTTATTTTATCGCAAGTCCAGCAAAGGGAATAAATTGTGATTTCAGGAAGCCTCGTAGGCTGCCTATGTTAATCAACCTAAAAGCAATTTCCTGACGATATCGTCATTCTCTTGACTCTGATTGATAAAGAGCGGCTCCCGTTCTGAAGCAATGACTATATGAATAAAATCAGAACCCAAAACACATAAGTATATCGAACAGAGCGTGCTGGAGAGCTGTAAGGAGTGGAGCAGGCATCTTCAGGCTGCGCCCCCAAAAATCCCAACTCTATCTGACCATTGGCCGCTATGGCCCTTCGCATAGCACTAACCTGAAGTACATAGTAGGGGTACGCGCTTTGATCATGCATGAACATCTTCGCTGACATCACCAATAACTAGTCTGCCTAATCCATTGAAGGTCATATTGGAGTAATCGAAATGTAGACCCCTTGCTGTATGCATTAGTATATGTGCACTCTTCAAAGTTGTCATGATTCCACTTGGGATTCTAATGCTGCCGGAGATAGGATTATAAACGGTTCCGCAAGGGAATCCGCGGGGAGTATAAATGCACGATCGAGTCAACAAGTGTCTGACGAGGTTGTAAATGTGTGGGAGATCTCCATGTCGCCAGTTGATGTCCCGAAAAGGAGAGCCCCGTCGATGTAATATTTCGTCTTGATGGTGACTGCGTTTGAAATCAATCGCAACAGTTGACGCACTGCGCAATGTTCCTTTCGCTCATAGTATACTCCCGCAACGGCCAGCAGATTATAATAACTCTGTGTTGTAGCGAATACCGGCCCACTCCGGCTATGAAGGGTGCCACCAGCTGGGTCGAGCTGCTGCCGGGGAGCATGTCTGAGGCTCAAGTCTTGATTTCCTGTGACACTCCCAAAATTCATTCTCAAACGGTCGCTCCGATTCGAGTAGCCTGAGGAGAACAGGTTCCATCGTCCTTTCGAATGACAACCCCTTTTTTTTATGAATATTTGTAGACGTCAGTGCGATGCGAATCTGAAGACGGGTCTAATCCAGCGTCTAAGTGTCATTTTGACAGGCATTCTAATCAATGGGAAGAATGCGATGTATGGCGTCAGAAGCCAAATCCCCCATGGTCTCCAATTCCCCCGCATTCAATATCCACGGACCTCGGCTGCGGAGAACCGAGCGACCGACATCAAATAAATCTGATCAGCTTCACCTTTTGAAGTACATTCCAATTATTTACACCACAGCCTATAAAAAATGGCAGCTCCATTGAAAGGAATCAAAGTCATCGAGCTAGCCGGCCTAGCTCCAGGTACGCAATCACAGGATCCTGTATCTCCGCTCCTCCGCTAACCCAAACCTCCAGGCCCGTTCGCAGGCCTCCTCCTAGCTGACTACGGCGCCTCAGTCCTACGCATAGACAGACCGGCAGCCATCAGTAACGACCAATTGACCCGTAACAAAACCTCCATAACCCTCGACCTCCGCGACCCAAGCTCCAAAAATGTCCTCCTCCGCCTCCTCACCTCCGCCGACGTCCTAATCGACCCCTTCCGACCAGGCGTCCTCGAGCGCCTCGGCCTCTCCCCAACAGAAGTCCTGCAGAAGCACAACCCGCGTATCATCGTCGCCCGCATGACCGGCTTCCGCCGCGATGGCAAATACAAAGACATGGCCGGCCACGACATAAACTACATCGCCGTCTCAGGCGTACTATCCATGCTCGGGCGCGCGGGCGAAAAACCCTTCGCACCGGGTAACATCCTCGGCGACTTCGCCGGTGGCGGTGCAGTCTGCTTCCAGGGCATCCTGCTCGCTCTGCTTTCCCGCGCGCATACGGGGCGCGGGCAAGTGGTTGAGGCGAATATGGTCGACGGCGCTGCGTATCTAGCTACATTCCCACGTCTAGCGCGATATACACCCATGTGGTCAGAGCCCAGAGGGGAGAATATCCTTGATAGTGGATGTCCGTATTATGATACGTACGAGACGAAGGATGCCGGGCGGTATTTTGCGATCGGGCCTTTGGAGCCGCAGTTCTATGCGGCGCTGCTGCGCGGATTGGAGCTCGATCCAAAGAGTACTCCCCGTCGCGAGGATAAGGAGAATTGGCCGGCGCTGAGAGAAATCTTTACGCGTCGGTTCAAGGAGAAGACGCGTGCCGAGTGGGAGGCTGTCTTTGATGGGACGGATGCTTGTGCTACGCCAGTTTTGGAGCAGGGGGAGCTGGAGGATGCGGGGTATGAGCAGCGGCCTATGGTGCATCTGGCCAGTACGCCTGCAGCTCCGATTAAGCCGGATCAGGGCGGGTGGACTGGTGGGGGTCTTGTGTCTGGGGATGGGGGTGTGGATACACTCAGGGAGTGGGTTGGGTGGGAGCAGGATAAGGACTTTACTATCCGGGAGGATGGGACTTTTGCGGCGGTAAATGGGAAGTCAAAGATTTGAGAGAAGAGCCCAGTGAGTGTGGACTGTCATTGATAGAAGAACTTGTCTCGGATAAATCATCATTGCTGTATGGCTTCAGGTTCTAGATATGTGTAGTATTCACTACACAGGTAACTTATGCAGCTTCTGGAATATAAATAGTATTATTCTTGATCTTGCCCCTTCTGCATATATTTTATGCCAGTCAAATCATCTATCATTGATTCATCCCCCGAGATTTGCCTGTACATATCGCGGATATTAAATTGATCGCTTCCAACGCCAACGTTTAATCAGCATATCTAGGATATCATTACTCGCCAGAAGTCAAACTGGCTTACAAGAATAGACCAAAAGCAATAACGCAATACACAAAAAGAGGAACTACAGACCACCCAAGCGACAAAGGCGCCCTACCCTTGCCAACAGAACTGTCGTTCGATCTCGCGGTACCACTCTTCTTCACTGAAAGTGCACTAGCAGCAGCCGTTGGATCTGACGAGCTAAAAGCCGATTTTGTTCCAGACGGCTTGTTCTTGTAGTATTCGCGGATAATATCACTCGCTTGCTCGGCAACGCCGTAAGTCGAGGACATCAGATGCGTGGATAGGGAGATGGGAACGATGCTCGCGTCTGCAACGCGCACATTGGCAAGTCCGAATACGCGTAGATTGGCGTCAACTACGCCACCATTTTCCCTGGGTAGCATAGCGCATGTGGAGGAGGGGTGGAATTCCGTGCTAGCCTCCTCGCGCAGCCATTGCAACCAGTCGGCGTCACTCTGGACATGCGAGCCTGGTGCGGTTTCCTTGGTGAGGGTTTTGCTCAATGGGCTGGCTTCTCCGGCTTTGCGGGCTAGCTTTATGCCTTCGAGGAGGAGTTCGGCGTCTGGTATGTTGTCAGCCAATAGGATACCGATAGAATATTTATGAGAGGATAGATACCGGCTGGGTTTGCCAGATAGTTTGGGTCAATGACGGGGTACTTCATTGGGTCAGAGGAATTGATGTAGATTCGGCCGTGGCTGAGGGGGTGTTGTAGAGCAGCTGTGATGCCAACTGCGCCTTTTCCATCGCTGTTCATGAAGAGGAGCTCGATTTGCCCAATGGGACTGTTGAAGATCTTCGACAGCGTTGTGTTGTAGATGGCTTTATAGCCCGCGGTGACGCCCTCGTCGTATGTCGTGTGTGGTGCATATTCATCAATTTTGGCACTAAACTTCGACTCGTATTCACTAACCTTGCTGCCGTAAATTGCGGTGGAGTTTACATAGGCAACGGCGGAATCGATGTATGTAAGGAATCTCGGATCATTCTATGGCCATTAGCATACGACCATCCTGTCAAGTCGCACGAACGCTTACCCTGTCGCTGCCCCCATCGTAGAAAATGGAGCCTGCCGTGTCCTCATTCGTTTCCCATGTCACGGTGGCACTCTGTGAAACTAAGTCAGTTACCTGTCTATCATCTAAGTAAATGCCTCACTCACGAGATGATCTTGGAGATGTTGGCCCACGCCGGGAAGTTCGGACACCAGGTCCACACCAGCGTCTGAGAGGACGTCCTTGGGACCAACACCACTGTAAAGTAGAACAGCTGGACTGCCGATAGTGCCACCGGCTAAGATGACTTCCTTCTTAACCTTGACCTTCAATTTTGTCTTCCCGCTGTCTGTTGTATATTCGACAGCATTTGCTTCTTTCCTGTCTGAGTTGGAATCGTCGAAAATTAGCCGGGTAACATGCGCGTTTGCCAGTACATCATAGTTTCTTCGATTTGGCAGCGGATCGAGGTATCCAGAACGACTGTAGGACCGGATCCAGTTTGAAGGGTTGATACAGGAGGTCGAGACTTCAGCGCCCCAGTTGTCACCACCATACATATTAGCAGAGAGATCAATGCCAATGCTCTGTAAAGAAGTTAACCATTGGCCAACCTGAGAGAAAGTGCTAAGCAAAATGTCAGCTTTATCAGCCGCCAATATCGAATAGCCTCAAACATACTAGTCAGGATATGTTGTGTGGATCGGCCCTTTTGTGCCATGATCGGAAGCATTCCATTTGATCCCGGCCTCGTCAATTACATGATCCGTTGGAGGCGTGAATGTTTCGCTTTTCCTCAAAGCAGCGTAGAATGAGTCCCATCCCCAATGATCGGCACCGTCCATATCCCCAAGCATGTCTTTCCAAGCATTGATCTCATCTTTACCCGGACGGGTCATGTACAGCCCGTTAATCGCCGAGCTCCCTAGATGTCTTCGTCAATCTTCCATCTTCCACAAATCCGAACCAGCTACCGACCTCCAAGCACTTTGCCACGGGGCCAAACAATCTCGCGGTTATCCGCATGAGGCTGGGCGACGGTGCTAAATGCCCAATTCAATGGTGTCGTCCAAAGGGAATCAAAATATGCATATGCAGGTGTATCTAAAGCGCCATTGGATGTTAGACTTTCCGTAAACTCCAGGAATCGACAGGGCTTGTCGCACCAATTCGCTTTCGGTACTCATCTCCATCCCCGCCCGACTCCAGCACTAGCACGGTATGATTTGAATCCTCCGATAGACGAGCGCCCAGCACCAGACCAGCCTGGCCTCCTCCCACAATCACAAAGTCATAGGAGTCGTCAATTTCCGTGCGTGGTGATAATGCGCTGGCCAGATGCCCTGTCGCAATCAGACTTGCGCCTAGGATCCGAGTAGGGGATAGACGAGATCGCATTATGATCACACTCAACGCTAAAAGTCGAGAATTGGAGGAAAGAGCGATCACTAATATATAAGAATTTTCCGATACGAACAGGGCCAAAGTCCGGTGGAGTACAATAGGCAATACCTGAACCTGGAAACCCCCATCGCGAGTCTCATTTTTACGCGTGATGATCTCCGATAAGCAGCAGTCTGAAGCCTGAAATGCGTTAGATGCTGTGGGGGCATTCTGGGGCACCTGCAAATTAGATCTTAGTTCCTCTCATTGGACATCCTTTTTTGGCTCCCAAGATCGCCTTTTGTTTGGGACGGCGCGTTCTATCCGCTTGGGTTCCATGTTTTCCCACCGCTTGTTCCTGGATTCGTGTAGGGCATCCGTGGATCGGCATTGCACTACTAGTTTAATTACACGTAAATAGTGGGTGTGTTTATTATCCATTGCGTGTTTGAGATGTCCGTTTCAGAAGCTTCAGTTTTCACAAACAACTCACGATGATGTGATAGCCCCTGCCAATAAGTCGCATAGTGGCCCATGCATCAACCGCATTGACGAATGAAGGAGTGGGGATATCTCCGCCTAATATGTGGATCGCATATCTTATTCGCATTGGCCACGAGGAAGACGATCGCAATTCTGACCTGGCCAGTCACCAGCCATGATAGATATGGGCATTGAATGGGATCTCGAAATCTAGAACAAAGCCCCGCACCAGAGTTTCAATGCCATGGATGTGAAACGTTGATATGACGAAGCAGATACCTTCGATCGATTGTGATCGCTAATTCTCCGCCATCATAATGTATGTAATCTATTCCTTCCAAGTGATCTCATATCGAAAGGAGTGGGTCGGGAGTCAGGTACGGAGTACGACCAAGGCTTACTTTTATGGCTAACCTGACTTTACCCTACCCCTGGGCATGGACCATCCTATCAGCCCGATACTCTGTACTGAGTGCTAGGGTTGAATCAGGCAGGTGAAATGAAGCTTTTCATATAGTCGGCCGCGTTTGTGGGCTTACAGTGTCTTTTGTAGTATGCTTTACAAGAGCGGTCCAAATTCAGGCATATTCAGGCAACAAATTCGATTTCAATTGGAACTAACCCCTGATCGCTATACACCTTCGCCCATAGGCAAAGTCCCAGGAGTAGTGGCGAACGCCTCTTCCAATATTCCCAAGCCACTCAGCAGCTGGTCCTCAGTGATAGTAATTGGCGGTGCAATGCGAAAGGCACCCCCAAAGCTGGGATGGCTACTGAGATTGGCCCACAAGCCTAATTCATAAGCTCGGTCTCCGATCGCCTTACCCAAAGCCAGGGCAGGGGTCTTTGTCTCGCGATTCTCAACAATCTCAATCCCAGCCATAAGTCCGCGCCCGCGCACATCCCCGATACAACCATATTTCTCTTTCAATGCATTGAGCCGACCGTGGAGAATCTCGCCCATAGCACGAGAGTGCTCAACTAACCCATCCCGCACCACAATCTCAAGCACTTTATCCCCAACAGCAGCCGGAAGCGGGTCATTCACGTGAGTCGTGTAGAAGCAGTAGTCCCTCTCAGCGCAGACACGATCGATCTCAGCACTCGTAACGACCGCGCTGAGAGGGAGACCATTGCCCAATGTCTTGCTCAGCGTGAGGATATCCGGAACAACGTTCTCATGATTAATCGCCATGAGATCGCCACATCGGCCAACACCAGTCTGCGCTTCGTCGACGATCAAGAGCATTCTGCGTTTTTCGCACTCTCGCTTCAGAGCGGCAAGGTAGCCGGGCGGTAGGACGTGCATACCGGCTGATGACTGGATGCATTCCACAATGCAAGCTGCCAGCGAGCCGCACGATTGCATGTCGATCATACGCCAGCCATATTCCATCTCTGCTTCCCAGTCGTACGAGCCACCGGGATGACGAAACACCGATCGATATGCGTTTGGGGGTGGGAGCATCAGCATCCCCGGCATCAGGGGTCCTTGGCCCTTTCGGCCGAAGTGATACTGTGCGCCTAGTGCCTGGGCTGTCACCCCATGCCAGCTAGCGCCTAGTCCAACGATTTCGAATTTTCCTGTGTAGACTTTGGCTAGTTTTATCGCTGCTTCGTTGCTCTCTCCACCTGTGGATAGGAAAAATGCTTTGTCGAGGCCGGGTGGTAGGAGATTGCAGAGCCGCTCGCCGAGGCTGATCACGGGTGGTGAGACCATGCCTGAGAATAGGTGATCTAGGGAGGCTGCGTGGTCGGTGATCGTCTTCACGATTTCGGGGTGGCCGTGGCCGAGGAGACAGGACATTTGTCCGGATGTGAAGTCTAGCACTTTGTGTCCTGAGGCTGTGTATACGTACAGTCCCTTGCTGCCGCAGATCACATCATTATTGAATTTTGTTCCAAAGTTGAGGAGGTATTTCGATGCTTTTGCTTGAAGTTTCTCTTGATCGACGTCGCTATACAAGATCGGGTTCTCGTCGTTCTTTGAAAGCATTATGGCTGCAAGGACCTTCGTAGGAATCCTGGGTGCAAGTTTGCGATATTGTGGATGATTAGCGGGATTGAACTATCCTCGAGTCCTCGCAATCTTTTATGTCTGTCTTCAGATTTGTTTCTCTATTTGTTTAGGTCACCTCGCAGCTCTTCCCCTCACCTCTCTTGCCCGCGGAGCCGCGGACAGCCTCTGCACCCACGGCGCCAATTGGAGGATTGAAGCGGTATTGCCTACGGACAACCACTTCTTTCTCATGATGCCGATCTACTATCGTGTTGACTCTCAATGAAAGTGAATATATTGATTAAGGGTAGGTTAATTCGGCTAGTATGGTTTACCACCGTCGAGTCACAGAATCTGCAGTATATCCCAGGTACTTGGGAACATATCATCGAGAAAAGCCATATCCGGCACAAAATGCTGACGAAGATCTACGCTTGTCTCATCGGGGTCGGCGATCGGTGGTTCCGAGCTCAACAGCTTTTCTATCACATCCGAATGTTGAGCAAGACAGATATCAGCAAGATCCCAGCCAAAGTTCTTCTGGTGAGATCGCAACGAAGATAGCAAGTCGTTCGCCAGTTGAAGCGAGGGGCTGTGCGCAAGACCTGCTGGCTGTTCCGTCTCTAACGCACACCGGATCAGGAATGTTACCGTTGCAGAAAAGGTAAACGCTACAACAGGCATCCAGAAGTCACCCAACTGCGTTGCCCCAAGTTCTTGGACCAAAACCACAATGTCCTCTGCAGTTCTGCGGGCCTCCATAACCCGATTGGCCATTTGCTCTGCATTGGACTCGGGTGCTTGTCTCTCTCGATCTAGATCGATTCGTCGCAGAAGGAGTCTTGTTGCGAGATATGCCAGACGAAGGTTCGAAGCTCCGGGTATGTCTAGATTTGAACCCCTGATGATGATCTTCCGTATATCCCCTGTGAGAGAGTCTACCCATTTATTCAATTCTAGCTCAAGATTTCTGGTCGGCGCTTGGGCTTCGCGGATGCTGTATATATGTTCGAGACAATAGTCTAGCACATCGGTCAGATTCATGAGTTCGACGAAAACGGCGTTCGCTGTTGGACTCCTTTCCCAATCTGACAAGTAGTCAGATATTGGCAGGGGCACATCGTACTGGGATCTGCGGATATGGGGAGGTGTTCCATAAGCAAGGCTTGACCTGGCTGATCATCAGCTTCTCCAAAATCCTCATCATCCAGAACCTTTTGTTGCACACTTACCAGCGATCATGAAGTAAGACTGACCACCATATTTTCATGCGGAGGTGTTTCTCTGCTTGTGGAATATCCCATGGTAATGGATTTCGATTCAACCCTAGAGAATGACACAGGGAAACGGCTGAGCCAAGCCTCACACCATTGCCGGTCATGGATGTGGTTGGACGGCCACCGACATCAAGTAGGATGGCCTTTATGGTGGATATTCCAGCAGAAACGTACAGCTCTGACCATGAGGCTTCTATAGCAAGATTCCAAACGAATCGAACATCTGGGCATCTTTCGCGGGATAAAAGAGGGTCATGCTGCCAGTAAGTAAGCATGTGAGCATATAAGCACGCTAACAACGCAGGGGATATGCGGTGTCTGGCATTTGTGTATTGCACACGAAAGGAAGCCTCCTCCAAAAGTGGAAGACATGGGTTAATCTTTCTCAAATATCTATTCGACTCTGTTAGTTTGCAAGATATCTACCAATAGGCAAAAGAAGAGGAGTAACTTACAGGTCTATCAGATGTGGGCCCCATGGCTCCACGAGCTTTTCAATGGTTTGAAGCTTGTCTAGTGCCGGACTAGAATTCACCATAAGGCCCAACGGTCTTTTCTGTACTTTCGTGAATATGACCGGGGATGAAGAACTGCCTGGCTGGACCGGCCGGATCTCACGAATTCCTTGGCCGCCCGAGATATTAGATAGATAGTCAGCCAAGACATGATTGTCCCCAGTGACTGCTGGTCCGAGAATATGGGGATTATCATCGTCTGCCTCAAGAGACAGAGGTGTATCCTGGTCGTTCTGATCCTGCGTGGGAATCGAGAAATGCGGTGAAGCTGGAACGACAGACAGCGGAGCAGCTACAATTGGCGCTCGTAGAGTCGGATGGGGTAGGATTGGGGGACATTCCGCGGATGATCTTTTTGGGGGTAATATTTTGGCTCTCACATTGGGAAATGTACACTCTGTGCCATGAGCCCGACACATCAGACAAGTTGTGGTGTGCGACTCAATTTTGCATCGCGACTTTCTCCGCCGGCAAGGATTACATGCAGGCTTCGTGTGTGACCGGTATGGTCGCTCGTCTCCACCTTCCATCCTGGGGATGTATGTGTCTCGGATTCAGGGAGATTCCCGGGGTTGCCCTCGGGGAAGACTAGCAGGTGTACAGAAGAAGAAAGGTAACCAGTATCTCCTCTCCACGGAATCACAAAGATATGATGCTGGATTCAGTGCTCCTGCTGCTAGTCTCCTCCACCGTGACTGGCGAAATTTTGATTCCGACTCCTATGATGATATGTTGTCTTCAATGGAAGATGCGTCGTTGCACTAGGGGAACTCCGCGGCGCGGGGAAGAGTGGGTCCGTGTAGTGGACCTCAGGCACTACATGGTACGTGCCTAGCAGATGCTGGTCAAGAGACAATCATTCAATGCGAAACTTGAAGTGCATCGCTTTGTTTCATGCCTCGCTATGAACTATTGAGAACGCTCATCCGTAAAAGCGGGGCAAACAAGGTTAAATAGCTCGGGGCTAAATGTAAAAACGACGGCTTCATCCATTGCTTATCTCAAGAGCGTTGCCAGGTATGTAGGTAGTCATTTCGACAGATATCCATGGTCTCAAGTCCCCAACTGGCTTGTTTGCCACTCAGTTCCTCAGAGCTTTAGTTGCTTAGTATACAGGACTGCTGCCAATGGAGATGGCTGCATATAGCATACGTTCTTTCTCTTATCATTTCAGCACCCAAAGGAAACCTTGTAGATTCGACCTGCAAGTATTGTAGCAACGAGCTTAGCCGAGTCAACATAAAATGAAAGGAATGACAGACATTTGGAAATACAAAATCCCATAATTTCGACAATTCAACTCTCAACATGTATCCACAGCAATAAGACTAACCAATCACCGGGGTAAATTCGGGCTTACTAAGGCCGATTCGAACCCCCGATGTGGGTCAATCACGTGACCTCCCGGCATCGAAATGGCAAATCAGATGGCAGATAGCGATACTCCACATCTCGAATATCAATCTGTAACAGGAAAAAAAATGGGTGCTTCTCTTTGATTGAGCGTGTCATCCTTAGTGCAGGGGCCATGCTAATCTTCTCTGTATATTTTCTTTTGACCATATGCCCCGAAGGGCGAAAGGCTGATCCCTAAAGTTCATTTTAACCTCTGTTTTGGAAGATTCTAGACCGCCTGCCTATTTGGGAACTTGTTTGGATGGCAGAATCTCCGTAGACCGCCCACTTGTTAGTTTGCCCCCAGGGCTGTTAACAGTCAACCTAATCATTTCTGGACTCCTAGTTGAACAATTATTCCTTCTGCATGGTTTATGTATCTTACTTTAGTTCGTAGCATTCATAACATTCATGTCATGAAGCTTGACTCCATACACGATGTGCAACATGTGTACTCTGTACTGCGTTCACCTGGAGCTCACGACGAGTGAGCCCGACTCATGCCTTGGCGAGACCCACCTACTCTCCAGCCTTAGAGCACTGATGCATCCGATAACACACCTGGTCCTTGAAACTTCAACATTAGCATTGGATTATGAATATGATTAATTTCTTTTATCTTTCTCGGCTTGACTAATATTAAATTGGAGGACCACAATTGTGAAATGGCATTTGCGTGGACGAGTTACCGCCTCCCTGAGAATCGCATCAGATAATTTATAAGCAGAGAATTGCGTGCATCCTTCTCATACACACGACATTGAATCTGGGAAGACGTCACAATATAGAGGTCCTAGGTCGGCGGCTAATTGGACTCGGAAGCACGTGTCCATATGGCACCTTGACGCAATCGAAGCCAAATATGAGCTCAACGGGATACAAAGGCGACATGAAACAAACAAATAAAGACAGATCCCAGGTCATTACTACTACTCACGATAGTAACTAAAACTATCCTGCAAACAATGGCTCGTCTCGAATCCCGCAACCATATTTCCGCCGACTCGGGGTTCCCCATTACCCTCCATCCGCATTTCAACGACAAAATCAAGAATCATATTCCCCCGGAGCCACTCCGCGAGACATTTATTCCGCCTAAAGACCGGGCCCTTTTCGCCGATCCAGAGAAGAAGGCATTGTTTTCTGTCGCTAGGCGGGTTGACTTGACGGAGTCTATTGGGACTGTTCTCGAGAATGTTCAATTATTCCAGCTCAATGAGACTCAGCTAGATGAGTTGGCTTTGCTTGTTAATGAACGGGGAGTTGTGTTTTTCCGGGATCAAGATCTTACTACTGAGAAGCAGGTTAAATTGTTCGAACACTATGGTGAGATTGTATGGAGATTTTTACTCACGACATTGGTTGATATTTCGATTCAATAGGCATCTTGGATAGACATCCAGCTCAGAAAGTAAGTTCACGAATAGGATGACCAGTTCTAGGCCGATCATAATGAGCTGATATTCCTTAGGATCAAAAGGTACACTACCCTCACAGAAACCATCGGGAAAGACATCTAGATATTTCCCTGTTCTTTCCGACCATCCAATGACATATTTGGCTGGTTGCCATCTAATGCAGCATATATAGTTCGTGAATATCAACGGCAGCCGCGAAGACCATCGCGAAATTCTCAACTACACGCCTTGGGTAAGTCTATGCCAAAAAGTACCTAAACCAAATATTCTGATCCAAAGTTCTACGATCGTAGCCAAGCGGAGACTTCCACGCCGATACATCTTTCGAAATCAATCGTAAGTATCCAGGCACGCCCTGGCGGGCTTGTTCTAATAACCAATAGCACCATCCTACTCGCTCCTAAGAATGGAAGAACACCCCGAAGTCGGTGGCGACACAGCCTGGGTAAGAGAACCACAGAAGTTACACTCGAGTGTTCTAAACTAAATGTCTAGGTCTCCCAATATGGTCTCTATGATGCCTTAAGCAACGCATATAAACGCTTCCTCGATGGTCTTCATGCCGTGCACACATCACGACTGCAATGTTTGTTTTTCTCAAATCCTCACCACTCCCAGTGGACATGACTGATTGAGTAGATGACACTATCATCGATCTATGGGGTACCGGTCCCAACCGTCCTCCTATTGATACCCACCACCCAGCAGTGCGCACGCACCCAGTCACGAAGCTCAAAGCACTCAATATCAACCCTGGATTTGTGACTGGATTTGCGGAACTCAAGAAAGTTGAATCTGGTACGTGGATTATCCCTGTGGATCAGTTTGTTTGGCGCTGAGGTCTCCATAGACAAGGTTCTGGATTTCTTGGCATATCATATCCACTCCGGTGACGACCATTACGTTCGGTGGAAGTGGGCCGTTGGCAGTGTTGCTATGTGGGACAATCGGTAATTGGATTTTCTTTTGGTATGATTGTTGAGATGAGCTGACGATCCAGTAGGTGTACGCTCCATCGAGTTATACCCGGTAGCTACAAGGGGCCTAGAAGGGGTATTCGGACGACTGTTTTCGGGGAGAAACGTGAGTATCAATACCGATTCCTTCACAAGACTGAATACTATACTAACTCCTTAAAGCTTATTTTGATCCCGCTAGCGAGAGTCGTGCGGAGCGAAAGGCACGCGAAGAAAGGGAGGGCGATGAAGGGGTTATTCTAGTTTGAGATATATGATACGGTAATGGTATGCAGAAGACCCTCATCGTCTCATTGATTCATGAATTATTTTGTTCAAATGGCTTTCATCAATGCATCAAGCCATAGCCACGTCTATTTCCATATCTATATTATTTTAGTGTTTGTCCGGGCATACAACTCCCATTCCAATTAGTTCTTGACAATCGCCTCGGAGATAGCATATGTCTCCTTGTTCTGTTCCTCATCCTGAGCTTGAGGCATCTCAGCAGCCTCTTTACTGTGCTCGATGGGAACGTGATCCTTGACGACAAGCCAGGTGGGTGCCACCGCAAGACCTAGAAGGTATATTAGCAATTTGCTCTAATGTGATCAGATGGAAGGTGTATCACTTACCCAGAAGGATAGTATTAACTGCCATGGGCACTCGTCCAGCGTGCCACTTTCGGCTGTTCAGACCATATGAGACAGCCTGTGAGAAACTCTCTTGGCCACGGAGGATACCAGACAGACGGGCTATATGGCGTCAGTAGGCTGTTAACCCCGTTCAAATTTGGGTGCGACTCACAGAGCTCAGAGATGTTGTCGGTCATGGTAGAGAGAAGGTAGTAAAGGAAGTTCTGCAATGATTGCTGGGCGAATTCTGATAGACACTGGGTTAGCACTGTTTCGCGATCATGAATAGTATGCATGACTCACCCCAGAGCAGAACAACGAAGAATCCTTCAACAAAGCCTTTGTCGGCCCAGTCGAGAATCGGGGGGTTCTTGGCATATTTTGCCTGAATGACCCAGGCGTAGACCCAGGTGATGATGTGGATGACGATCACGTAGAAGAAGCTATAATGAGATTGTTAGTCCGGTTATATTGTATTTTTTCTTTATTTTCTGGAGCTTCGTACCTGTACTTAAGTCTGTTCCTGATAGGAATTCTGCGCCAGTCAAGGAATTTACTGATGATCGTAGAGGCGAGAAGAGTGGCGAAGTAGGCTTTGGTCCTGGTTAGTGCTGGCAAAGGATTGCGCCCAGGGAATGTTATACATACTGACAAAGCCCATCAGAGCGCGAGCGCGCACACCGAAGTAGTATGTCTTGAAATCTAGATAAACTAGTCAATAATTGCAAGTGGTGCAGTGGAGGGGGATCAACGCTTACTTCCGGTGTACATGTTGAAGTATGCGGCCCAGAAGACAGGCATCAGCAAGAGAATCTAGGAACGTCAGCCACATGTACTAGCGAGCTTGGTTGTATCAATGTGATAAGTCCTACCTCCTTGCGCTTGCAGACCTTCCACAGCTCGCCCATCTCAGCACGCCATGAGTCCTGAAGAACAATTTGGACTTTGCTTCCATCAGTGCGCTGGACCTTGTCAGGTGGCGTGAGGAAGTAGGCGATAGGAACGGAAAGACATTGAAGGGCGACGAAAATGAGATATGTCTCTGTCGTGTGTAAGCACTGGTTCATGGCTTTTCATACTGGACTGGATCAACTTACCCGATCCGACCTTTCCCTTGGCATGGGCAGCACCGGCACTTTGTAACTGTCAGCTAAGGGTGATTATGGTATATCATTGCATTCAACATACCTGTTCAGGCCAAGAACAATAGCACCTCCCACCAAGGGGCCACCTGTACGGAACCAAAGCCAGATGCTTCTCAGATCAGCCATATAGTCCATGAAATGTGTCCCATATTTGATTATGACTCACTTCATATATTTGCCTCGCTTTGCTGGCTCGGGATATCCCAGTGCCACGGCACCCTCAGAAGCCCAGAAAAGACCAGCACTGTGGAAGTTAGTCGATGTTCCTATTTTCCATTTGCATTGCCGGATACTCACGATAAGCCACAGAATACTGATCCAAGCAAGACAAACCACACGTTTCCCTAAATTCGGGTAAGTCTTTGCCCCTGAGCTGCGCGGATCATTTTCCCGCGGAAAACTCACATAGCGATTGTTCGTGTACAAGGCAGCGCTGCACATATAAGTCAGCTCCCATCACAACCATTATCAGCTCAACATCATGCCACGTACGAATATAACGGATATCCCACAGCACCGAGCATAAGAGTCCATCTCAAGCCAATCCGGTTGGCAATCGGACCACCAAAAAGACACAAAATGCCCACTGAAAAACAAGTTAGAGATCTATCGCAAGGGAAAAATAGCAGTGCAGTCATCTGAAACATACTCAGACCAAAAACGAGCGCATTGGCCGCATTAATCAAATACGGCTCCTGCGCGCCACCAGCACCGAGGGCATTCATAGCATTCCACAGGCCCGGAGCCGTGAAGCCAACACCTCCAATAACACAGGCATTGAAGAGAGTGCTGCGATACCATACTCGCTTTTCAATTTGGGTTGCGTCGGACGATGCCGAGATAGAATCGCGTTCAGCCATTATGGCGTTTCTGTGGCTGAAAAGCTGCAGGGATATAACCTTGAATCAAGCCACAAAGCGAATAAGATTTTTACACGCTAAGCGGGCAATGCGACAATTTATAGTGTTTTTTGCTTGAGTAAATCTTATCACCGATCGCTTGCTGCATGTCGCATTGACTCAATTCGAATCAGCTAGGATTATGGCGTGCTTGTGAGCTTCACAGCTCTAGTTCCTAATTGCGACTAGCTGCATCTGCCAAGACTGCCCTTAATTACGTTCGACCAATCGGCGTTGGGCTAGGGATTATGGTTGTGGGGAATACGTGGGGGCGCAGTGGAGCTCAATATCACGTCAATCGCCGCGATCTCGCATTGGGAAGGAGCGGAATTTTCTGAGAGCTCCAGATGAGGTCTTGGCTTTGATAATGTTGGGCATATGTGAAGAAATAAAGTAACGCATACTAAAATTTATTACATGAAAAGTTCGTTACATTTTAGACATCGGTGCGGATTTATCTTCCAGAAACCTCCTTCACCGCAGCGATAATATCGCTTGGTCCAAGGCCTTGAGCATTCACTTGCTCGTACAGGCCGCCGCAGCCCTCCTTGATAGCACCAATCGACTTGAACTTGGGTGTAAAGCTGCGCTCGAGGAGGTGGGTACCAATGCGAGAGCCGAGACCAGTCTTCTGCGCAATTGACTCGACGACCAAAACGAATGGCGAAGAGCCATAGATCTTGATAGTCTCCTCATCAACCACATTGAGGGTGGGCTTGTTAATCAGGCCGACATCAAGACCCTCTGTGCGCAGGTTTTCGACGGCATCAAGCGAGCGGTATAGCATGTCACCGTACGAAACGATATAGCCGGCGGAGCCCTTGCGAATGATTTCTTCCTTGCCAGGAACGAACTTATAGCCCTCGCCGAAGAGCTTCTGGTCGGTACCCTCCTTCAAGATGTAGGGGAGCTTGGAACGAGTGGAGAAGATGAAGCGCATGCCCTTGTCCCAGAAAACCTTGTTGACGACGGCCTTCATCTGCTCACCATCGGCAGGGAAGTACAACGCAGTGCTTGCGGCATTCATTAGCCCGTTATCAGCGAAGAAATGGTTCAGACCGAAGTGGCAGGTATTGTCGGCCATCTCATCGACACCACTGTGAGAGAAGTGCGACAAAACGGTGCAGTCGTTCAACCGGGCCATGGTGATCTCGGACACACACATCTCTAGAAAGACAGAGAAGGTAGAGAATATACCTTGGCGCTCCCCGTTGCTACCAAATCCGAAACCAGCAGCAGCGGAGAAATTGCCGCGCTCCATGACACCAGATGCTACAAATGACTCAGGGTGCTTGGCACCGATAGCCTTGAGGCCAGTAGAACCTGCCAAGTCGGAGTCGATGACCATAACGCGACGCTTAGCCTCCTCCTTGCTCAATTTATCAAGGATGCCGTTCACAGCATCACCGAAAATAGTGCGGTTCGCGCCCTTCTCCTTGGTCGATCCCTTGTATGTGTGGGGGTTTGAGCGAGGCTTGATCTCATCGTAGAAAGCAAGCTGCTTCTCACTATATCCACGTTTGGTGAGATATTTGCGAGCAATATCCACGGCAATGACATCGTGCGCATGGCACTCGCCCTCAATTCCCTCAATGCCAGCGGCCATTCTGCGGTCCACCACAACAGCGGCAGGGCCATCATAGTTGATAACTTCGCACATAGCTCCGTATAGGGAGTCGACATTCTCACCCTCAGCGTGAACGACCTTCAGGCCATGTCCATCGAGTGTACGGGCAACCTCATATCCACCGAGATATTCCGAGGGATGTCCGGTGATTGTAACATCGTTGTTATCGACGAAGAGCTTGACGTTCAGCTTGTTGGCGACAGCGATCCGCGCAGCCTCGGCGTCATTTCCTTCTTGCTGAGATCCATCGGATCCTAATAAGACAACATTCTTATGTCTGTTGGCCATGGCAATACCATTGACCATGCCCCACATGTGACCGAGACGGCCAGAGCTGAACTTAACGCCAGGTGTGAAGCCAAGCTCAGGGTGGCCTGGAAGGTGGGAGTCGGCGGCACGGTAATTTAATAGGTGATCGGGCTCAATTTCTCCGTCTAGTGCAGCCAACAGGTATTGTGTGGCGACTCGGTGACCGGCTTCATCGTACATAGCATCGACCCATCTGTTGGGGTTGGCCTTCATGATAGCGAGCAGGATACATACTTCGGGGGCAGTATCGAACGGGCCTCCAGTGTGGCCTGATACACCACGGGCCGCACCGGTTGCTGTGAATGCAATGATAGCATCTCTGAAGATATTGATATTGTGTAACAGATCGCTCTTCTGTTCGGCGGACAGCTTCGAAGTCTTGGGATCCAGTCTAAGCTGCTTAAACTGCTTGAGATCGACGGGGAATGTATGGCCACCCATGATGTATATGGGCACAGGTTCAAGAAAATTCTTTTCGAAGAGGAAGTTTAAAGCAGCAAAACTGGTTCAGCGGCGACGGAGGGTTTATAACTCTCCCAGGCCTGTTCCCAGCACGTTGACGTCATAAGCTTAGACGGTGGCTTGTTTTCAGCGGCAAATAACAGCCTGCATCTTTTGATATTCCCACTTTTTTCTCGAATGAATCCTGCTTCAGGTTCCACTCATTTTGCATTGTAAAGCGCTGAGGTGAGATATTGGTTATCTCATCGGGATCCTTTCCCGGGGCCGGCGTTGAAATGATCTTGATGCCAAGCGCACATGGCGATGTTTAGTCCAACATGATCATCTGGACACCTAGACACTTGAATACTATGTCCATTCTAATTTACTGAGTTTTTGTAACGAATCTCAAAATGCGTTATGATATGCAAAACGTTCTGACTGGGATTATCCGAGGCCGGAGCTTCGGCGTAGTCTGACAAATTCCGGTACCTATCCTAATTCACTTTATACCAACCAGACTGCAAAGTACTTTGTCGTGTCTGCTTGGGGGTAGTCTAGGCTTATAACCTGTTATTTCTTCCTTTTGCCCTATGTTCCCGATATGCCAATTCACAGAAAGCTCCCTTCGGCTTGAGGTTTGAAGGCCGGCCCGGGGGTTCCAGTCAAACCCACGGTACCTGATCAGCACATTGGTGCTATCGATGCAAATTACCTATGTAGATAGTTGATCGGCAATGTAGAGAAGACCTTGAGGGTAAGCTGAACTATCTTCGGATAATTCGGACCACCAGCATGGAGGACCGTCTTCTAAGCCATGGAGGCAATGCAGTACCTACATGAGCCATATCCTAGTACTGAAGTCGGAAGTGCCCTAGTTAAACGCCGGAATATTGAAATGACAGACTTGGAAGCCTTGACTGCCGTTTTTTGGTACATCAATCTCAAGGCTGATTGAAATATCATTGCTCAAGTGATCGGCATAGAGGTATGCATGATAATTTCGTATCAACAGTGGTGAATGATGATCGAAAAGACCAGAATTTAACATGTGTCGAATAAAATAGATATCCATCCGAGGCGCGACTCGATCCCGAGCCTTTGAGGACCTTTTGGGATCAGGCTCCCATCCGCTGGTCGCTCCTTCCCGAAATGGAAGTTTGGATGGCTTCAAATCTGGACTCAAGATTGAAGTATCCTCCGATAAGAACGCATATCATCCACCACCATCGAGTCCTCAAATATCTCGATAATTGACATACGGGAACATACCTCTGTCAAGACGCTATATACCAAATTTGAAGTTCGTGTGACTCTTGGAAGGTTCTCAAATTGAGGCTTTAATTTTCTGAGCGACTTTGCCGTAGAGCCTTTGATCCTATATCAACCCAACAAGATATGTACCTTCAGCCAGCCCCCCTGGTAGCCTAGTGGTCAAACACGAAGCTACCACCGGACGACCCCTATGTGATAATCTCCCAGGTGAGGCGCATAGGGGGGTGCCGGAGAAACACCCCGTACGGCTTGATACACTCATGACGGGAATCCCTGGATCTAGGTCCTTTACGAGTGGTTAGTAGGTGGAAACACTGAAGACCGTCAGGACGAAGACAACCTAGGCTAACTAGGGCCTCCCCAGGAAGTCGAGAGTGCGGGTGTTACCTGAGGTCCAGTCACGGCCTGGTTAATGGGGATTTTTTTGCTACTTGAAGCTATTCATCTTTGCCTCTTTTGTTTATCGATCCCAACCCTGCTCGCTGCTTTTCTCCCCGGCTCCTTCTCTTCTTGAGCTATTCATCTATCGCTTCTTTGACTCCACGATTATGATTCATCTCAACCTTCCCTTCCATTCTTCCATCCTTCTTTCCTCTCTCTTAATACTTTCCATCTCTCCACTCTTTCCAATTCAAGATTTTCACTATTGTTTTTATTGCTCTCTTTGTACAACGCGCTGATTCTTTCAAACTTATCTTCAAGTGGTTTGCCCGTATCATCCTCTAACTTGAGAGTCAACTACAGGTTCTCCCCAATCATGTTCGACCAAATTACTGGCTTAGCGCACTCGGATTCCATTTTTATTCTTTCAGTGATGTATCAAGCGACCTCAATGTCCATCCACAGGCTCACCAGTCTCTGCTTAGGTGTTGCCGATGGCAAAAACCTCTTTCGGCAATATCGAGGACCACGCTGCAGCAACTGCTCAATGAGTCAATGAGTGACACCGCTCCCCAAATCAGCAACTTTCTGTCACTTGGTACCATTGATGTGTGCGGGGTGCGAGGATCTAGGCCTTTCTCTTGTGAATGTGCCGGGTGAATATAAAGTTTCACATGGATTTCTTGGCATTTTTAACTGGCATAAGCTTTCTAGCTCGCCTGGGCGTGGGCCCAATCTAATTACTTAGGAGTTTACCGTGGATTTCGAAACTCTCAAGGCTAGACTCGTTGTAGGATATTGTGAGGGAGTGAACTGTCAAGACTTCAAGATCAGGCAGACCGCACTCGCTGCTTTTCAAGACCATGATGAGCCCATTGAATGACCTTGTAGGAAGCCCTCTATTTTTTCCATGATACCAAATGCCCCTTCTTTTTGAGCATGGAATCCCGTCTTCACTCACATCACGTAACATTGCTGGGTATTTTACCTCGCTTTGTTTTCGACTCCAGACTGAGTACCAAGTTAACAACGTCAGAACCCGAGTATCTACTTCCAGGTTTTTGAATTACAAGCCCTCCTCCTCCCCCAAACGTTCCCGTGGAGTCCATACCTACTGACATCAATAAATCAATGCAAGTGTTCTGTTACGTCCCTCTCGCTGACTGACCTCAGGGGCGTTGGATTCGAGGTTTTCGATGATGGAATTCTAGCTTCGCTGCGAGCTACACCTTTGAGTGCATCGCGATCTTGCTACAATTTTTTCACAGACCTCATTACCCAATACCTTATAAAATCCAGCGGTCTGAGTCATGTAGGCCCCAGACAAACCCCTGATATCGAGCTAAGATCAACCCCACGAAAATCGTGATATCCGCTGCACCAAAGCATGTTTACGAAGTAGCCACGTCAAGTTTCAAAACAGACTGGCTTGACAACGCCGTGCAAACGCGGGGTATTGAGGCTCTGTCCTATCACTTCGAGGATACCGAACGCGGTATCCTGCGTAATTCCCTCATTTACGCCGTAGATGCAGGTATCCGCTGTTTGGGCTATCAGCTCACATGGCTAGCCCGTCCAATGTCTGTTTTTGTGTCAGGCTGGAGTGTCACTTTTCAATCAGGCTGCATCTTGCATGCAAACTACGGTCTTGGCCTTATTTTCTCAGCCCTAGGATCTTGACTCGTTATGATTCTTGCAGATCATCTCTAGTGCTATTTGGTGGCTTGTGGCGTCTTTTTTTTGTACCTGACTTGGTCCAGTTATAGTGATCAGACCTTTTTAGAGTTTGGGATCAACGTAAGAACAAAGCGACAGCATTTTCAGAATTATGCTATCTGACATTTGTACTCCGTACTCAAGTCATCCTACAATTTTCCTGGGCCGCCCAAGGTTGATAATTTGGGTTATTGGTTGCGGACGCTTCGAGTCAGTTTCAGCTACCTGTCAGCAGTCTACTCCATAAACTCGGGATCATTCAAATATGTTAAAGACCCCCATATTCTGAAGGATCAAAGGGACCTTGCATCAAACATCTAGGCTGGTTTTCAATTTGGGTGGAGGATCGGAATGAGCCGGAATTCTGTAGTCGACGTAATAGAAACAGCATCGACATACGGAGTACTCCATGCAGGTAAATCACGACCAATGGAACACGGGGAGTACTGCAGGATGTTAAAAGGAGCTATTAAGAAACACATACAGATACAGTATCCCGAGACAAGTCGTCTGCTTTGGGTAAAGTGTAAGGCTCGCTGGGTCTATTCGTGTCTATCATAGCTCCCGGTACCCGTACTATGCCAAGGCAAGAGTATGACCAACGCACCTACAGAGTACTCCGTACTCGGTAGAAGGATCGCAATGCTAGACTTCCAAGCCTTGGCGATAGGAAGTAGAAAAGATGATGTAGTATAGTACGGAGTAGTATGTAGATAGTTTTGGGATATAAGAAGACCCAGCGGCACCATCATACAATTCCATCTTCAACTCTTTACCTCAACACCACGCACCGACTGTATCACACTCAGCCTTACTATTTGATTCCAGCTTCCAAAATGAAGTTCCTCCAAGGCACTGCCTTTGTCGCCCTGTTCATTGCCAGAGCCTCGGCAGCAGGAAGTGGCATTTTTGCCGCCAATGGCGTCGAGCTTGAAGTTCACAACTTCGGTGGTGATATGATGATTGGAGAGCCGGTGAGTCTTCTTTCTCTTAAGGCTCGTTCGCAAGACGCTGACCTCCCTATAGCAAAGTTTGATCCAGGTACATTGACGAAGTAGCCCCATCACGAGGAACAGTAGTTATTCTAATATTTCTTCCACTTTTAGGCCAGAAGTCTCGAGGTACGAGACACCAATGCTTGCACCAAATGTGTGGGTCACCATGGAAGCTGTGTTATTGGAGAAGGCAATTGCTATCCTCCCGATGGATGTTATTTCTGCGGAGGTTGCTCTGCCGATCAGGCGCGTTGCCAGAACCCTCAGAAAGAAGGTTGCCAGTGTTATAAATGATTGCTTGACGGAAGGAAGGGTAGGGAATTGACGAAATTGAGGTCTGTCTTTTCAGTGAATTTCTAAGTATCTCTCGAACAGACTGGGTTTATCGGAAGCTCTATTTTGGTTTATGTACGGTGCTCTGTACACCGATTAAGTCATTAAACCAGTAGTTATCGACCTTTGTCGTATTTTCAATTTCCCAGTAACTTGTTTCATTGCAAATCGAAAGAGCCTTTACGTTTCTCCTACTTTTAGCTTAGGGGCCAAGGGATTCATCGAAAGAAATAATTACATCGATCAAGAAAAGGCTCATTTTTCCCAACCTGTGGCCAAGTTCTCTATTTGCCGACATGAATTCAGATTTGAAGCCTACCCAAAGATGTACTCCCACCACCCCTTTTTCCACGTCCGTCCGAATCGGTGATTTATACACGCATGGGGATCACCAAATCCTCCTGCCTGGCTATGCCTCTGCCCATTCCCCCACACGCTAATCGGCAACACACAAACTCCCCCCATTGGTGCCTTGGGGTCAGCCTCGCCAGCCTGAATACAGACAAGGTCATGGAGCCTATGGAAAGGTGCCCATGTGACCCGTTTTTCTACCTCTTTAGTCACAGGGGAGACGAGATCGCCTATACCCGTATCCGCCTTAACTGACTTTTCAATGAGCGGGTGCGTCGAAGGAAGGGAAGAGGACAGTGAGTCGAGAATGGCATCAGTGAAGACGTCAGGTCCTGTGACTCCTAAAATGGTTTTCTCGTCATAGGCCAGACTGGAGAAGAGACTGCTATGACGTTTGTTGTATTGCTTGGTGTGTGCTAAGACCCGGACGATTGTTTCTCGAAGAAGCGGGCTGAATCGTCGCGGCGCATACATTGTGTACTGTATCAGACCATAACTTCTTGTCCAATGCCAGTCCTGCATGAATTTTGGTGAGGCGTACGGTTCATCGACCTCGATTCCAATCACAAGTGATACGTCAGGGGGTCCGTCGTTTGTGGGCGCGAAGAAGGGCTCCAGTGCTGGACATTTGTTGATGGATCGAGCGGGGAAGACATCGATGTCTGCATAGAAGCCTCCGTAGTACCAGAGAAGCAGGTATCTAAGGAGGTCTGCTCGGAGGACATTGTGGGGGTAGGATTTGTATACGGTCGCGATGTCAGGGATGGTGGAAAGCTCGGTAGTCACGAACTCCATGGCCTTTTCATCTGTGACCAACTTTGCGATTCTGCTTAGTCGAAGTCGAGCAAGCTGGTATCCGGTGAAAAAGAACTTACAGTATACATCCACTGATTATTTTCCTGTTCAAATTCTGCAGAATCAGTTCCCCTGTGCTCTTCATCTTTGGCTATCTGCCATATTTTATGTTCTGATGTTGTATTTTGCTGGTTGCTCGCTAATACATCCCGTTCAATCCTCTGAAGGGCATTCGATAAGTGGCTTTCATATTCAATGTCAGGGTTCTGTCGAAAGGGAGAACGGTATATAAACCGCGCTGTGCTCTCTATTCGATGCTTTGGTGGTGGTCGGTCCGCACGGTCATTGTTTTTGGTGGATGGAGGACTTGGAAGGTGATAGAAGAGGAACCATATGAGGACCAGAAAGATGATGTAGGACCCACGACGAGTAAAAGCATATGTAGAAATCTGTCTCTTAACCCTTCTTAGGCTCATAACGGTACTGATAATGAAATCAAAACAGGACAGGCAGTATATTCAAGGCTGATTTAGGGTTTTGGGGCCAAGGTACCACCACTCGCTCCGATGGCGTAAAGAAGAGCATCTAAAGGATTCAAAGAGTAAGTGATTAAAGTGACAAGAATAAATTTTGGTAAGCAAGACAGAAGGGACAATTGAAACTAAGAGAGCAAACAAATTGGAGGGCTGTGCGCGGTACAGAGCATAAGGCGGCCTTTGGAACCATTGGAGATGTGACTGGAAATCCTAGACTATATACGCTGTACCAGAGTGAATCTGTGCAAGATTCTTTGTTCTCCCAAATTTCAGCCTGATCCAAGGCTCGATATAACCACCATTCTCATCCAAATCTCCACCATTTCACTCTGTGGCGCATGATTTCTAGCAGTTCTTTGTTAGAAATGGCCCACATCGTATCGATCCTCCCACGCTAGACAGGGATATACCTAGACAGGCCAGTTCAGAATCAATAGTCGCCATTTTGCATGGCAAGGCAAATAAATCGGCTTTATGGAATACGGAGTAATTCGTACAACAAAATGAGGTTCGCCATTCAACATTTCTATCCAGCCTCATCTTTCCAAAACAGATTGGCTTTCATAGAAGCAAAAAAGCACAACATGTTCAATTACAGAGTTCTCTGTAGGTATATATATTTTAGCCAGTCCGTTCCACTATCAGTGCTCTTTTTCCAAAAACAAGCTTTTTGCTTGGCTTCTGAGATTGCTATTTTCTATAATCTTTCTGGTTAAATAGTCTCTAATGCATTGACAGTGTAGGGTTGACACCCGATATAGGATGCCTGACTGCCTCGCTGCCTGAGGCCTGCATTCTTGGTAGGGTCGGGTATTCTATCGGAGGTACGGCGTACTCCGTAATGGGTGTCCACACTTTCCCCTTCGATGTCTCACGCATTGTTTGCCCATATGTCTCCTGTTCCAACTCAGTTTTCCCTAACTTCAGGGACGATGGAATGGTATATCAAGTATCTAGGTGGGCTCCACACGACTCAACCCGTGCATTTAAGCCTGAGTACAGGAATTTTTTCCATGTGCTAACTGTCAAAATCCAAGCATAAGCACATCAGCCCTGAGAATATCAACGGGAAATGGAACCCCACCCAAGACGCCAAGACGCCAAGATGAGTGCCCAGGCCTGTGCTGGTGGATAATTAGGTAATTAAGGAAGGGCCCGCCATTGGCTTCGGGCGGGTGGACCAGAACCCTGAGTGCCCTGCTGGTTTTGCGGGGAAGTCGGGGTTCGCGATCTTCTTTTTATTTATGACTTCCCTTGAAAGTTTCATGGGTAAATCATAAGATTTGCCCAAGGGATGTCAAAGACGAGTTGGATTTTAGCCCCCAAAAGGGAATAAGCACTTGGAGGGAAGTTTAAAGCGCGGTTAGATGCATGATGGATCCTTCGCGCTATAGGCCGAGATCGGCCCTGGATTTGATAGTCCGTGATAGGCCGCGTTCACCATGACTCAAATTCTTCTACGGAGTACAACCCCGGGGAGGAGTCGCCAAGCTTATTATCTATTACTCACTTTGGGCTTCGGCCTCCTGGTCGCTAATGCTTCTACTCCGCAATCCCGGTCATCTCACCTAACTGAAGTAAAGCCTCGGTTACACCCCACGCGCATCCCTGTAATCGGAGATCTGCGCTTTGGAATCCGAGCTCAAAAAGGACCCTTTCCGCCCATCCTCGCTGCTGCGTTCTTCTTTCGATTTCCTCCGATCCTATCCATAGAGCTGCGCAGTTTTCGCGCGACCACATTCCATCATGGGAGTCTCAGGTATGTTCCTCAAAGCTTACCCCGGATTTCGTTTTTCCTTTTCTTCCTGGCCCAGTAAACGCACTTGTGTCAGCACATTGTCGTCCAAAATTCTGTGCTGACAATTCGGTCTCCGCGTGCAGAACCCTTCCCAGAAACCAAAGGGCCGATCGACAATGGCGAAAGCCAGACCGATCCCCAGACAGATTTCGATCTGCCTCCTCTCACGAACACCACCGAGCGCAAATTGATGGCTAAGGTCGACTGGCATATTGTGCCATGTCTGTGCATCTTGTATCTGCTTGCATTCTTGGATCGGTAAGCATTGGCTGCTGTGACTTTTGGTGTTGCACTTTAAACCTGACATCATTTCAACGCGCAGGGTTAATATTAGCAATGCTGCTATCCTTGGACTCAAGGAGGACTTGGACATCGTTGAAGGCACAAAATACAACACTGCGCTCACGATTTTCTTTGTTCCTTATATCATTTTCGAAATCCCCTCGAATATTTTGCTGAAGAAGTTGAAGCCTCATGTCTGGTGTAAGTGTTTAACTTTTGGTTTTGTTGTACATCGGGCGCAATTTAGTGCCAATCTAATATGGACCGATCATTGATGTTTTCGATTTAGTGTCAGCATGCATGTTCATGTTTGGTCTGGTGCTGCTCTTCCAGGGTCTGGTACAAAACTGGGGTGGACTGATGGCCACCCGATTCTTTTGGGTGTCTTCGAGACGGGCATGTTCCCTGGATGTAAGTTCAAAATGGCGAAAGAGTCCACGATCTCGTTTAACATTGATCGCCAGGCTTCTATCTATTGGGCATGTGGTACACGCGCTCTGAGGCTCAAAAGCGTTTCAGTTTTTTCTTCAGCTCCACCAGTCTGGCCGGTGCCTTCGGTGGTCTGCTTGCCAGTGGACTCGCAAAGATGGATGGCTTGGGCGGTTACAGGGGCTGGCGCTGGGTGTTTATCATTGAGGGCATCCTGACCAGTGTCGCTGCGATCATCCTGTTCTTCTTCATCGCTGATTTCCCCGAGGACGTGAAGTGGCTGAATGAGGAAGAGCGCACGTACATGCGCGCCAAGTTGGCGAAGGACGTTGGTAACTCTGCCTCCAACCTTCGCATGGGCAAGCGCGAGGTGCTGGGTGTATTCAAGGACTGTGAGTATAACAAGCATGTCACCCTTGGGATTAATTGCAGTATGCTGACCTTCCCCAGACAAGGTCTTTATCGGCGGGTTCATGTACTTCGGCTTAATTGTTCCAGCTTATGGTATGTATATCACTTGCTGTTTTTCATTTTCCTCCGAGCTATCACTCACTCTCTCATACAGGATATGCCTACTTCGCCCCAACCATTATCCAGAGCTACGGCTACAGTCCGATCATGACCCAGCTATATTCCATTCCTCCCTGGGCCGCGGCATTCGGCTTGTCAATGGTAGTCGCCTACTGCTCCGATAAATTGCGACACAGATTCATTTTCACATTGATACCGATGGGGATCGCGCTTGTCGGATTTATCATGCTCCTAACCATTCACGACAATACCAATGCCCAGTATGGTGCGCTTTTCCTACTCACCGCTGGATGTTATAGCGCCATGCCCGTCATTGTATGCTGGTTTGCCATGAATTTGGGCGGCCATCATCGACGCAGCGTGGGCACCGCGTGGCAGGTGGGCTTCGGTAATATCGGTGGAATTATCTCTACTTATTCATTCGTTAAGAAGAATGGCGTCACAGATTACCGAACCGGCTACATTATCTGTGTCTCATTCGTGTGTCTCTCTGCTCTGGCGTGTACAGTGTACATGGCAGCTCTTTGGATGCAAAACAAACAGCGTGACAATGCCCCAGTTGACCCTGCCACGATTCCCGAGGAAGAAAAGGAATATCTCGGCGATTTGGCGCCCACGTATCGGTACACGTACTGAGAAGATCGCCAGATTGGATAGATACTTTTTGTGTGGATTTTTACCTGTTTTGTTGCTTCAGATCTCGCGTTCTGCTTTTGGCAACGGTCTATGAGTGACGAAGCTTTGGATATATTTCTTTAATGGAACATATGAGGGTCTGTGGCTATGGTGAGAGCCATTGGCGTCAAAAAAGGTGCATCTCTTAATTTGGGATCTTAGTTACAAGATACATAATGAAATTGATAGTAATGAGATGGCTATTCTCGTGAATAGTTCAATTGGACTAACGTTATTGCCCTGCATCATATAGAGATGACATAAATCATCTTCAAATAGTTTGCAAGCCCAAACACTTTCTATGGAGTGAAACCCTATCGAATTGCCTAATTGGGGATGGTCGTGTGTCGTCACTCGTGGAAGCTTGGGGCGTCACGTGTGGGGCCTAAGCGAGAGCGGCTGAGTCAGCCGCACCATACGTAAATGCGTCTCGGGCCGCCATTCTTTGTCTTTCTTTCTACTATCTCTATTTCATCCTCGAAATCGTGAGTAACTTCGCCCAAGCTCCTTAAAACCTCCGGAGAGCCATGCACTAACCACCCAACAGTTTGAAGATGAGAGCTAAGTGGAGAAAGAAGCGCGTTCGTCGTCTCAAGCGCAAGCGCAGAAAGATGCGCGCCAGATCGTAAGTGACCTCAACTGTGCGCCGATGGTCAAAAGAAGGCCATCGAGCTTCTAATCCGGGGAATCGCAATTCTAACATCCCAATCAGCAAATAAACTACTCGCCCCCCTCCATCTCAGCTCTCCATGTCGGAGCTCATGTTTGAACGCTGAATACGATACTTGACGACGCGATGCGACTTTCGTTTTTTCGTGACACGCCCCTCAATCCAACGAGTTACCTGCACGGACAAGACTTCCGACCTATCATTCAGAAGAAGTCGCAGACCGAACGACGGAATCCGCTGTTACAACAACAGTCTACCCACATTCCAACACCTCGGATTCATTCACGTCTACGGTCTGATGTCATGCATGGTTATCACTCGGAGGGGCTCATGTGTTCAGGTGGATGTTGGAAGGCCGCTGTAACCCATCGGTCTTTGAGCACGGCATAGGGATGACTGGTCAATTTTCATATCTTTACGTCCTTCCTTCGGGCTGGTCAAAAGTTTATGGAGAGGTTCCTTCCGGGAGTTTAACAAATCCATGGAATAACTCGGAGGTCTTCGTTTAGCTACTACAGATGAATCGATGACTTGATGAGTGCAACATTTTTCTCGACTCAGTAAACGTAAATCGTAGCGCGCAGCTCAACTTCCACATGCAAATCTGCCTGGAAAGCTGCCTCTGTATATCTTCATTTGCGATCTTTAGCTTGATGCTGCATGTACGTCAATATTCTTTTTGTGCGCGGAGGCCATATACTCACCGCCTGCCCTGTCTCCGATCGTAAAATTTTCTGCCAGACAAGTCGAGACATTTTATTTCACCGCGCTGAAGCCAATTCTTAAGAGCTACAATCCAGTGTCGCTCGCCTCTAACGCCATAATGCCGTCAAATAAAACAGATCACAAGCGCAAGCGCGCCTCGGACAATGACCGTCCGAGCAAGAAGCCCGCTCTGCAGATGCTGCCCCCGCTGGCCGCCAGCGTTGTTGAAGATAAGAGCGAGCTTGCACCGGTAATTGGTGAGTGCAAAGCTTTTTCTACAGGATATGAACAGCCGCTAATTGATTTTGTTCACCTCAGCCGACACTCCCGGTCTTCAGAGCTCTGTATCTCTCCGCTGGAACCCATATATCAAGAGCCGCGCCAATGTCTCCAAATCTGCGGCGGCAACCCGGAACCCAGGCATTGTCTCTTCAGAGATGCTGCTGCAGTCCTCAGGCCACCCCAAGATGGACTTCGTCGGCCGTGAAGGCACAGGAGACGACACTGACTCCCAAGTCAAGCACTACGTCGCAGTTGTGGACCCAGAGCAAAAGACATGGAAGGTCGTGGAGGTGCGACGGGCAACATTCCGAGGCGCAGTCAGAAGCCGCAGAGCTGAAGCAGAAGACTCAGAAGATGAGCTGGTATGTTTTCCACCCCTCCAATTCTATCTACATACAGATACTAACAACCAGCACCAGAACACCATGCGCGCCCAACGCACAGCCCTAACCAACACCTTCGGCACAAAACAATCCCGCAAGGCCGTTCAATCCATGGCCGAGAACGCCCAGCTCTCCAACGCCCCCGCCGGCGCCGTCCCCCAAGCCGGCGCAGCCCTCATCTCCTCGCTGCCCACCAACACCGCCTCCGGCCTCGCAAAGGCCCTCGCCACGCAAGCCGAAGTGCAAGCCGCCAAGCCCCTCCCAACCCCCAACCTGACCGTCTCGCACCCCTCCGACGTCTATACAATCGAGACCCTCGTCCCAGGCAGCCACTCAACCCTGAGCCAGCTCAACGGCGTCGACGAATGGAAATCCCAAGTCGACGCCGGCCTCGGCGTGACCACCGTCTCCCGCTACGTCTCCAACCGCGTCGGCCCAGTCGCCAACTCCGACAACATGACCCACCTGCAAGTCCTGCGCTTCATCCAACTGCTCATCGAATTCGGCCGCTGCCTCAAGAGCATGGGCGCAAACGCCAAGGGCGGCGGCCCAGGCAGCAAGCGTCTCCCTCCCCGCGAAGACCTCCGCCGCATCCTCTCCAACACCACCGGCTCCGCCAAGGTCGGTGCTGCCGCTGCCGCTGCCGCCGCCGCCGCAGGCGACTCAAAGACCGACCTCCTCCCGGAGACTGTCATCGACGCCGTGCGTCGCCGCTTCGCGCCTAGCGGCGGCTTCGTCTCGAAGAACGACCTCACCCTCCTGCACACGACTATCTGCGCGCTCTCGCTGCACATCCCCCCTCAGCCTGCGCGTGACGGCGGCTCCAGCTCGCTCGGTGGCAATGCGCCCAATGAGCTCGCAACAGATCCCTCCGATCTGCGTGACGATCTGCGTCTGGACCCGAATACTATTCACCAGTACTTCCGCGAGCTGGGTTGTCGGATTGACAAGCCGCGCGAGACGGAGTTCGCGAAGTGGAATATCAAGGGCGGACGTGCTGAGGCGCATGCTCGTCGTGTGGCTCGTTTGAGGGTCCCCGTTGAGTTCCCCAAGGTTAGCCGTGGTGGTCGGAGATAGTCTGTGATTTTCTTTTTTTTGTTTGGTTTCTGGAGATGAACTTGGTCTTGAGTTAGACTCTTGTCGGGTTTCGCTCCTTCATGGAATATATGGCGCTTTGTGTGTTTCAAAATTGTCATTTTTACCTGTCTCTATATCAATGAGAGAATGTTACATAGCCAAAAGAATTTACTTGGTCTCTTTATTTGGTTTTGTGTTGAGTTGAAGTAGTCTGTCTTAGGGTTTGGATTGTTCTTCTTCAGTGTTGGCGTTAAGTATATGATAACAAGATCGCTCCGATGAGAGACCCTGGTACGATATTTAAGCTTAAAGCCAAAGCTCAAGCTTAGTGGCATAGTAACCTTACCTAGGTACATATATATAGTTCGATCATGAGCTAGCATGAGTTATCTTCACACGAAATACCCACTTTGTGGATATATATCCACCACAACTGCAGGTGGTCTATATGTGAGATATGAATATAAACAAGTAGACATAGAAACTAGGAGGCAATAGAGTTAAGTGAAATTACAAGAAACCAAAGAAATGAAATCCACTTCAACTTTGTTCATTCAAACTTGATCCACTTAGGCTCAATCAAGGACACCCAATCACAGTAGATACAAGCAGTATATCCAAGAGCAGGGACGTCTAAATCTAAGGAAAGAGATGTTTAAGTTATTGCTGCTGCAGATACAAGAAACGGTATGGACCAAGAAGTAGATATGTTGGTATGACGGATGCATATGTTATAGTATGTCTTATATCCGCAGAAAATATTATTTGAAAAGGATTGGACGGGAATAATGCAGGGATTACCCCAAAGAAGCCGAGAGCAGGCTATAAACTAACTTAGGCGACCGCACTGATAGGAGTGGAGTCCATTCCAGAGTGAGCCTTCTCGGTCAGAGGGGTAGCGGCCTTCAAAAGCGGCGTGGTAGTCTCGGCAGCGGCGGCGTGGAACTCGCGGGCAACAGCACCCTCGAGGGTCTCGCCAGCTTGCAGACCCAGCTGGGCGTCTTCCCAGATGGGCAGGTTGGCGGCCTCGGCGCCTTCAACGCCAACACCGACGAAACCGCCCTGGCTCTGCCAATCGCTGGTGCGCTTGAGGCCGAGGTCGTTCCAAACGGCCTGGACGGCCTGCACGAGGTGATCGCGCAGGTGCTTCACGTGGCCGGGGGTAGGGGTGATGCGCAGACGCTCCTCGCCGCGGGGAACGGTGGGGTAGTTAATGGCCTGCACGTAGATGTCGTGCTCTTCGAGGAGCTTGTCGGAGGCCTTCTTGGCCAGCTCGGCATCGCCGACAAGAAGAGGGACGATGTGAGAGGGGTTAGGGATGACGGGGATATCCAAATCCTTAAGAGCGGTCTTCACTGCGCGGGTGTGCAGTTGCTGCAGGACACGATCACGGGGTTCCTGGGCCTGGTACTGGATAGCAGTATCGGCGCCAGCCATGGTCGCTGGTGGGAGTGAGGTTGTGAAGATGAAACCGGGAGCGAGGGAGCGGATGGTGTCAACCATGGCTGCTGAACCCGCAATGTATCCACCAACACAGCCGTAGGCCTTACCCAAGGTTCCGGTGATAATATCGATCCGGTCCTGGACTGTGCCCTTAGTGCTTTGGGGGGAAGCTGTATCTTGGGAGGCGTAGATATCATAATCGAGATGCTCAGCAACTCCAGCTCCGTGTGGGCCATACATTCCAACGGCATGGACTTCATCCAGGAAGGTGATGGCACCATACTTGTCGGCGAGATCACAAATCTTTTCAATGGGCGCAATGGATCCGCACATACTGTAAACAGATTCAAAGGCGATAATCTTGGGGGTTCCAAGTGGTAATGAGGCCAATTTGGCTTCGAGGTCTTCCATATCATTGTGCTTGAAGACCATCTTCTTTGCGCCAGAGTGGCGAATACCCTGAATCATCGAGGCGTGGTTGAGGCTATCCGAGAGGATAACACAGTCGGGCATCTTACTGCCCAGTGTGGCCAGGGTAGCATCGTTAGCCACAAAGCAGGAACTGAAGACCAATGAAGCCTCCTTTCCATGCAACTTGGCGAGTGTATCTTCCAAAGCGACGGCGTGCTGGTTGTGACCCGAAATATTGCGGGTACCGCCTGCACCAGCTCCGTAAGTATCCAAAGTCTTGTGCATCGAGTTCAAAACGTGTGGGTTGCGGCCCATGCCGAGGTAGTCATTTGAGCACCAGACGGTCACGCGCTCCTCGGCAGAGGCAGTGTGGGCCGGGGGAACTCCTTGGCGAGACGGTTGATGTTGTTGAAATAGCGGTAGGACTTATCCTTGTGCTTCTTCTCCAATTCCTCGCCGTAGAATCCATCGTAGTTGAACTTGCCGTTGGCAGGGGCTTCCGGACGGGGACCGCGGACTGCAGCGTGGGCAGCGGCCGGAGACGAGCGAAGCGCATTGGCCAAGTTGGGGTTCACTGTGATCGAATTAGATACAACTCAAAATCTCGAGCCTCACGAACTCAATTTACCTCGCTCGTTCTTCTCATAACCGCCAGAGGCAATACTGGCAGGGTGGCCTCCGGTGGTGTGCAATGACCGCTTGCCAGTGGGAACCCGCAAAGGTTGAATTCCGGCGACTCCGGCGGCGCACGAGGTGAAGCGCTTAGTGCCACTGAGGCGAGCACTCTGCACGGCCAGAGCCTTGCTCATGACGGGGCAGCGGCGGGCAATGGTCTGCAGGTTGGACATGGTGCCGCCTCCGGGGCTCGTGCTGGGACGAGTAGCAGTGGAGAGAGTGCGGAGTGTAGTGGGGGAGGTGCGCTTGAGGAAAGGACACATAGCCCGAGACTGCTGCAAAAGAGCCTCCATGATTGAATTGAATTGAAGAAAAAGACGGATCTCCACGCACTCAGGGAGATGTACAGATATAAGATCAAAAAAACGGGCGGAACCACAGGTAAAATGAATCTGCCCCGGTGGGGCGGCTGACTCAACTCCACGCTTACAAACAAAGTGATCTGATTGGCGCCAAAACACCGGATCCGTGGCTAGACCGGGTATCGTTTCCCAATTGGGCAAATTGGCTCGTTGCCGAGGACTCGCCACTTTGACATGCGGGACAGCGGCACTTTCGCTCTTTTCTCGGCCTCCAAATTCAGGCAGGAATTTCTCCGATATTAAGCCTTATTTCCGCGAACTGCCCTTTCTTGCCTTATTTCCGCCATACCCTTGATACTGAGGTCCAGGACCTCGGTAACTACGCGCACCAGCAGATCTCATTCCCCAGGGCTACCAGGGCCCTTGCCAAGCGATACTCTACACGCATTCCCCTGCGTATACAGGGGTAATGTATCCCTTGGCAAGGATCATCTATTGGCCGGGTATTTACGATCATCACATGGGTCACTCTTATACGCACTGCCCTTCACATAATAAATCACTGTGCACATTTCACCTGTGGGGTCATGGGGGCTAATGTCCGGGGCGGGGTATGGAATTGAGGTCCAGTCTATTATTGGAGCTCTTTCCCAAGGTCTCTTCACTTGATTACCATGGCAGCCTCTGGCGCCGACAGTCTGTGAAAGAAGCAAAGACAAGCAATACGAATACCAGCCCGAACAATGATGTTACTCAGAGTTTCTCACGTTTCACCGGCAAACGATCAACAAGCTGATCAGACTCGCCCTGGCTCTCCACATGGCATTTGATTACACCGTACGTGCCACAACCTACATCTCACAAAGGCACATTCAGGTGCCATTCATGATTCATGGTTATACATAAGAGGTAACTAGCATATTACACTTAACGTATCAAAGGTGATAGACGAATTCTAAGATCTAGACGACAATTCTCACGCTATATGTACAAATAATAACGGGATTATAATGTTCACTTCAATCTCTTTGGCCGATTTCCTGTAGTTAGGCTCCTCTTTCCTTACGGGATAGATAACAATGTCTTTTCTATGAATACTAGATTTATGTCAATGACTATTTACCTAGCTTTCCCCGAACCCTCTAGGCCATCAAGGACCTCTAAGTTCGATCACTCGTTGGGCTATATGTTCGAAGTAATTCGATTTCTATTTGTCACACAGCATATAAATAGCTCCCTCTCCTAAATAGTCTCCTTCCTTCCTCTGCCTATCCTAATTAGACGATATCAGATATCTTGGCCCAAAGACGATGAAGCTGTCGAGCAGCTTCCCATCTCCAATTCCACCCTGCTTTATCGAGCGACTCGGAGCCAGCCAGCCTACACCTACATCATCCGCACTAAAGAACACCACGATACTGATCATCGAAGGAAAGAGCGCTATTCACAGTCGTGCCTTCCTTCGGTGTTATCTATCGCAATGTCCAGTGACATCCACAGGTGTCTTGTATGAGCATGCACCCATTTCTCGCTTTTACTTCACTGGCATCTCACTCTGATCTGAAAGATTCGTGAGTGACACTTCACTTCTACCAAGCCCTTAACCCAGTCACTAATATCATAGGTACCGAAACCTTTTTTCGGGTGTGTAATATGTCAAATTCGATACGGCAAGTTGCCTGACGCCAAAGGGCAGACCGTATGTGACCACCCATGGGCCTCGTTTTGTCGGTACTGGCCGACTGCTCCACATCCTACACCAACCATCCCTCTGTCAAGGTTCCTCTATCTAACCTATCTAGGCATAACATTTCACACAGGGAGGCCTCCAAGATGCAAGACCCTTGGTATCCCACCTATACTCAGACCATGCTTACATCTTAATTAAAAAGAACAGGATATTCATTCCCTAAATCGCTTGGGTGAGATCAAAGAAGGAGATTTCCCCTAGGCCGGTGTCCTAGGCCCAGCATCCCCCGTTCCTTCTTCTCCGCGCCTCGCCTATGATGGAGCGGGCACGAGACCTCGTCCCAAGATAATGTGCAGCGGCGATGCCACCCGGCAAGACATGGGGATGAGAGATGAGCTTGTCTTGCCCAACATGAGGCGAGCTCCGGGCGAGCAAAACAAATGCTGCCTGGACGCACTGCAATTCCTGTAAGCCAGGTTTTGCATCCACCGGCTCAGAGCCTCTCGCAGAAGCCACATCACCATGCTGGCATTGGCTTCGATATCGATCTCCTTGCTCCAACGCCATTTTCATCCGCTAATCGGTTGATAATGGATTAATATTGGAGTTGAGTTTCCGACACCTCTCAGATAATCCTGTCGGATTCATCGCATTCTCAGATTTTGAAAAGTACTGTCGTCCCCCCAACTATCCTTCTTACAATACTGATCTTTGTTTTTGAAACTAGAAGTCCTCCATTGACATCTAAAACTGAGGCGGAATCGGGCCAAACAGGCCAAAAAAGAGAGAGTGGTCAAGTTTCCTCGCAATACCTCGACGAAAAGGTATTCTTCAACCCACACTTTGCCCTAACGGGAGACACTTTCCTGATTTTTACCAATAGGCTGAAACTTTACAGACTTCACCGATATCTCCCTCCTACATGGGGATCGGGAAGATCCTGAAGAGTCCGAAACTGGCTTGATAGCCTCCTGAAGAAAGAACCCCTCAAATCCCCATATTCCAAGGAAATACCGCGGGAATACTGGTCGACTGACATCTCTCAACTGGAAATTCAAACAAAATTCGGGTGAAGAGCCAGGTCATCTTCGAGCTCTGTCAATGAAGGCGTAAAAAAGAGCCGTGGGAGCCTACAGCAGTAGGCCCAGGTTGCCTTCCACGGGAATGAAACTTCCTCGGTAGATCCCGGTCAGATCTTACGGGATGGTCAAAATTGGGCTTGATGCGGGGTAGGACATCGTTGTTGCGAAAGTGGCGCTCGTCAATGCGGAGGGGGCAGATGAGGTTGGGCGGCGCCGAAGATGGACCTCGGGGACTACGTGAGTCTACCGGAATGGTTGAGTTGGATGCTCTCCCTTCTGATACGGCCTCGGTCAAGAGAGAGAAGAAAGATATCCCCGGAGAGTCTGGTGGCATCTTGGGGAGCTCTCTATCTTCCACACAGCGAGAGAGTGTGGAGAGTGAAATATGAGCCGAGACACGCGTCGAAGAGGCGCAATTTGGCCAGAAGAGCCAGGTTGAAGTGGAGGTGCAGAGTCCCCTCGTGTTGGGTTTCAAGTAGTTTGCGTGGTTGTCCTGGTATCGTATCAGAGAGGCTCGGAGATCCCTCGCCTCCTAGAAACCTCGCTTTCTGAGAGCGGGCGTTTGGTAGGGTTGGTGCTGCGGGCTCCGAACTCGAATACGACAGCGAGACATCCGGTGGTGTGTTCCATTCCAAGTCGAGTTGATGAATATAGCAGGGAATGCATTGAGTACTATTTAGCTGGTGTTCCAGTACTTCCGTATCTATGGTAGTTGTAATGAGAGAAAGTAGATGAACAAGAGGTAAGGTCTGGGAGGTGAAGATTCGTTAAGGCTCACGTAAATTATGGATTTCATGGAGGATATGCTGGTGTATATGCAAGATGGACCGTGGTAGGATGCATAGCTTCGGAGTTTAGATTTAGAAAATCATATAGGAGTCAGAAGATAGTAAGATCACCAGCCATGGACGAGCCAAGGATGTAAGAATCCCATAAAATCTACCTTCCTAGGTCGACATCACCGTAACCACCACAAGGACCGCTCACTATAATAGCATCTGTTTTAACACCACTTACGAGTCAAGACCAGAAAGACCACCGAATCAATACATTGACATTCATAAACCAAACTAAAAAAAACATCCACGCCCATTTTCAAACATCAAACCACACAAGCTGGAAACAGGAAAGCCAAGATAGAAAAGGTGAAAGACAAAAAAAAATATAGAAATGGGAGAAACAAATCACAAATCACACCGAGACAACACACCATACTCAGTGAACCATATGCCAAAGCCAGGATCAAGTCTAAGAATCTTTTCACTCCTTCAGACAACCTCCATCTCTTTTTTTTTTGCGGAAATGTCCATAATAACGCTCGCCATCCAGAACATAAGTCAAGGTTTGTGTGATAATACAGGGCAGTTGTCATGTATCTGCCGATTGAGAAGATAAGAGAAAGAAAAGGGATAGAAAATGGAGGGAAATGGAGGAATAACCAATCAGGACAAAAGAAAACAATATGAAACAGAAGCTTTGACATGAAACGCCGCGTCCCGAGTTGCATTAATTGACAGTCATTGGATTAATCAAGGCCTCCGTCGCCGTCGATCAGACGAAGACGCTCTTTTGTAGTCTTGGCGCGTTTCGAGGTCCCTTTGCCTGGACCACGTCCACGACCGCGTTTCGCAGGCGTGGCTGAAGGTGTCTCCATAGGCTCCTCGGCGGGCGTGGCGGCACCTGAGGGCTTTGCGCTGGCGTCATCGAAGTTGCCCTCGCCTATTTATTTGATTAGTATGAAGATTGTAGTAATGGAGGATGGAAGTTTTTACCTTCGTGGTACATGTCGTCCAGCGTAAGGTCTCGCTTGCGTTTCTGAGCGGCCTTCTTTCCACCCTTGGCACCAAGTGTTTCGCCACGTTCGATGGCTTCCTTTTCTTTCTGTTCAATGAGCTCGGCCTCGTCGTCGTCAGCCAGCCACAGAGCAATGTCCTTGGTGCGGTTCTCGCGAGCACGGGTGTTGAAGTCGACTCCTCCTGAAGCGCCGCCAGTAATGACGACACGCTGCACCTCTTCCTTCTGCAGGGCACGCTTGCGAATTCGTTCTTCGATGGTACCGCGGGTGATGAGGCGATAAACAGTGACCTGGCGAGTTTGACCCAGACGATGGGCACGATCCATGGCCTGTGAATCGATGGTAGGGTTCCAATCGGAATCGTAGAAAATGACAGTATCGGCTGCCGTCAAGTTGATACCAAGACCACCAGCACGGGTCGACAGCAAGAACACGAAGATCTCGGGGTTGGACTGGAAGTCTGCGACAGTATCGCGACGATCCTCCAGCTTGGTACTTCCGTCCAGTCGACAGTACTTGTAGTTCCGGTATGTCAGGTACTCTTCCATCAAATCGATCATACGTGTCATCTGGAAGTAAAGAAGCACACGGTGGCCACCAGGCTTGAGTTCCCGCAGCAGCTCGTCCAACTTGGCTAGTTTTCCTGAATCCGTCACGAAACGACGCATCGATGGTACCTCGATGTGGTTGTAGCGGCCCTTGAGTGAGACTGGTGGTGGCAGCATAGGCGGGTGAGAATAAGGTGCAGGATCAAGCTTCTTAGCGAGGATCTGCTCCTCGAGTCGCCTGCTGCGGTTTCCAGAAAGTGCTTGGCGAACAGATGGGTTGAACAAAGCATGGTTGGTTTCCCGATGCGCCTGTTGACCAGAGGAGGACATGATAATGGGCGGTGCTGAAGCTTTAGGGCCAGCACAAGGCTCAATTAGGTGGAGACCTTGGCCTTCGAATGATGAGCGTGAGACATTCATGAGATCCTTCATGCGCCCCTCGACAGCGATTTCTCGAACAGCCTGGCAGTCATTACGATCAACAATGTTCAACATGGAATGAGCTAAGATGGAGTTCTTCGCATCATCACTCTCATCATAGATGACGTTCAAGCCAGAAAGTCTGTTCGACTTGCTGCGCCGGCGCTCTGCACGCTCATAGACGCCCAATCGTGCGATATCGCTTGCTTCTCCTGCAGATGTATCGACGAAACGCAGGAAAGAGAACGCGCCATTTTCACGTGCACTCTTCTGGATATTTTCGGGTGTCCAGACATTCATCAACTGCGACAAGTACTTGTTTTGGAATCCCACACGAGGATTGTCAGAGCCAGGAAGATCAAGTCGTCCTGTAGAGCTGCACAAAAGACGTGGCAATTCGTACTCAATCAAGTTCTGGGTCGAATAGCGAACATCGACAAAGTTTCCTTCACGCACAAAAGAAGCAGTTTCTGCGAAGTATGCAGCAGAGAAAGGAGATTTGGTTTCCGCGCGCTCGAAGAGATCAGGGTGATTACACACTTTGCGGAATTGCATGACCAAGTTCATGAGTGTGCTGCTGTCAGTGTCGTCGCCGGTGGCGGCCTTCTCGATGAGATCAATGATACTGACACGGTTACGCAAGTTGGCATACAGCGCACGTTGGCGGTATGTCAGGTCGCAGAAGATGTCTTTCTCAACCTTGTCGCCAAGTTCTTGTTGGACGTTCTTCTTGACACGACGCAACATGAATGGCTTCAAGATCATATGGAGACGCTTAAGCTGATCCTCGTTCAGTTTGGTGTTACTCTGAGCATGTGATTCAATGTCCTTGGAGAACCACTCGCTGAACTCGTCGTGAGAGTCGAACAGAGTAGGCATGATGAAGTGAAGCAGTGCCCACAATTCTTGCATGTTGTTTTGGATTGGCGTACCGGTCAAGAGAAGACGATTACGGCAGCTGAATCCAAGCAGGTTCTTCCATCGCGAACTTGAGGAAGACTTGATAGCCTGGGCCTCGTCCAGAATCATGTACTGCCACTTCACCTTCTGGAAGTATTGTGCGTCAAGAACGACAAGCTGGTACGATGTGACGAGAACGTGGAACTCCGAGTCACGGTTGTAGGTGATATGCTTGCGATCCCAGAACTTTCGCAGAATCTTACGATCCTTGGCATTACCCCAGTAGGGCAGCACCTTGATGTTCGGGACGAATCTCGTAATCTCCTGCTGCCAGTTGTGCAATGTTGATGCCGGCGCAATGACCAGGAAAGGACCCCAGATATTGTGGAACTCTGCCAAGTAAGCCATCACGGAAATGGACTGGATAGTTTTACCGAGACCCATCTCATCTGCCAGGATACCGTTGATACCCTGTTCGTACAAGTTGACAAGCCAGTTGAGACCCTTGAGCTGGTACTCTTTGAGCTGAGCATTCAACATGGTTGGCTGCGAAATCTCGATATCGCCCAGACTAGTAGGATTCTGGAAATTCATCTCTCCATCGTCAAACGCTGCCATATTGTCACCTTCTCCTGGTTGATTGAAGGCCCGAGCACGGTCCTGGGCTTGCTGCACCGCATTTTGCGCATTGGCCATGGCAGCCTGTTGCAAAACGGTTTCATCTTCGGCATCAAAGTCGAGATCCTCAAACGCCGTGGTCTTGGCGTTAGGATTGGCCACACTGTCAGGGAGATTGATTGTATGAGCGTTCGGCTTGCCTGGTTGAATGGTCTCTCCGGTAGCAGAAACAGCACTGTCGCCCTGGGCCTCGTCGGTCTTGATCTTGCGTCCAATGAAGTGAGAGTACAATTCTGTTTGCGAGATAAGGAAGTTGAGCTTGCGCTTCTGACGGTTCGCTTCGCGATCTGCCTCTGCCTTCTTGGCTGACTCAAGCTCCTGCTTCTCAGCCACACGGCGCAAGTCACGTTCCTCACGCTCGTTGCGTTTCCAGAATGACATCATCTCACGCATCGTCCGCTTAGCACGGGCTTGGGTGTCCTTGGTGCTCTTGTTCGTACGCTCCTGCCATTTGCGAGACTGCTTACTAGCCAGCTGGGCTGTCTTGCGCAAGTTCTCCTGGCGAGTGGAGAGAGAAGTAGTTTTGATACGGTAGACCTTCGGGATATCCTTACGTGCGATGTCGCGCCAGATCTGCTCGTAGATCTGATTGTAGCCCTTGCTATCGTAGTGTAGCTGTGACATGGGAGTTCCTTCCTTCGAACGTCGAGCATCCTTTCTCGCACTCGGAGTGAGATACAAGTCGTCATCCAAACCAGCATTCCAAGCAGCTTCGGCAAGATCCTTCTCGGCCTGCTTCTGCTCCTTGGATTTCTTGGGACGGGTGACGGGACCAGCGCGGCCTGACCTACGCCGGCTGGGCGAGGAACGACCGATATGGAACTGACTTGTCGTCCCGCCTTCGAGGTTTGGAGCAAGCGGAGTAACCTCGCCAAGCTCATCATGGCCATCACCACCCTCCAAAGCGCGCTTGGTAGTGCGAATCTTCTTCTGAGCCCGCTCAGCTTCGCGCAAGAATTTGGCCCGTTCTCCAGGTTCCTGAGCCTTGCTTGCTTTACGCTCGGCCTCCAGTTTCTTTTGCATTTCCTGGCGCACGGTGTTCTCGCGACGGCGCTTGCGCTGCATGTCCTTCTTGCGTTCCTTCTCATCTTGAATCTCCTTCTGCTGAACCTCGGCCATAACAGCATTTTCGTTGTTCCTCCGGAATCGTTCGGTACCAAGGATGGCTTGTCTTTCGAAGGATCGGCCTAGATCGACCAGGAACTCATTGCGGCGCCGCTAGATTAGCGTTAGCAGGTACCATTGATAGGGACATGACATCTTTCAAAAAACCTACCTTTCGTCGAATCTCTTCTGCGCGACTGCTTTCGACTGACCGTTTGTGGCCCTTCTCCCGATAGCGTTCTTGTTCCGCATTGAACGCAGGGTCTTCAACGTCGCTCTTTTCGGCGTGATCGATCTCGGCCGCAGCTCGATTGACTTGTTCCATGTCCACACCGGGTGGGAAAGGTCTCCGAATCGGTGCACGCGGAATGGGCGCAGGGTATTCTACACCTGGCTTGGCGAGCCCGTTAGTGGCGTGTGATCCTCTGGGAACATCCATACGCCTATCGAAGTCTATTCGGTGCTCGTGTTTGGGTTGCAAATTTCCAAGCGTAGGAGTAGGATCCATGTGTCGGTGCACCAAGGGAGGGGGAGCATGAGTGTGGGCGTGGACAAGGGCGGGAGGAGGCGACGCTTTCCTCGCAGGTTGCTCTTCCGACGGGCCTGAAAGAATGCTGGCGAAGGACATGGGGTCTGCAGCTCGGGCAGGCTTCTAAAGAACGAAACAGGAAATGGTCAGTAAATCGAGGCAATCTTGGGGGCTTCAAGTCAAGGCCTACGGCTCCCTGCGGCGAGGCCGGTCTCGGCTCCCGCATCATGGACGGTCCATATCCAGCACCATTGCCTCGCATATGATATGGTGATTCGGACTCTCTGGTGGGAGATTGCGAATGCACGTCTGGGCGACTAGGTGGGTGACCGTGCGGTGTCGCAGAGCTATACGGCGAGGCGCCGTTGCCTGTGATCACGGGGCCCGAGTAGGGGCGCGGAAGCGGTAACTGAGAGCCACCCGCCGAATGCCCTTGGTATTGTGAAGATTCCGGGTGAGGCGGGTGAGATGGCGCACTTCCATTCAACGGCGGTGGTAACGTAGAGGGCATTGGGGACGCGTGCGAAAAGTGCGGGCTTCGCGCGACGGACGGTGGGCCGAACGCGGGTGGTGTCTGGGGCGGGTGCTGGTGGTACTGTGGTGGTTGTTCATTGTTCGGGTAATACGGGTGGTTCTTATTGGGAGAGGTGTAGGCCGGATACCGTGGCTGTTGGGACGGGGACTGGGCGTTATATGGCGGAGCGCCTGTCATGATGGCCGCGGTCCCCGGTAGGGGTTGAGCGCGTCGAAGGTTGATTCACTCGGGTTGAGCTGAGGCCAGGTGAATTGAGGTTGGAGAGTCCAGAAACCCTGTTACTCAAAGACACCTGTCAAGGGGGGGGGTCCGGAGGTCTAGTGACGCGACGTCAGTTGTTCGGTTCATGGGTGTAGGATTGGTTTCGGAGTGAAGGGAGATGAAAGAGAAAGATGGAGGAAGAAAGCAAGACATAAATACCTGATGGAGGGATGGGATTCGTTTGTGGTGGGAAGATGCAGGAGGAAGAGAAGTTTCCGTGGAGCCCAAGAAAGAGAATGCGCGGCTAGGCCTAGGCGAACTGATGCAGGGGAGGTGGAGGATGAGGATGAGAAGGGGGCGATGGGGGATGATGAGGGAAGTGTCCGGGGAGAATGGCAGAGGAGGCAACGGGGTCAGAGGTGCGAGGGAAAGGGGAACAAGGTCCTTTCTCGTGAATCTCTTCTTCGTCTGGGGTATTCAAACCAACTCCGGACCTCGGGGGTTAGATCCGAACTGGCTGTTTACAGAGTCAAAGGTCGATTTTATTCTTCGGGATGGTTTCTATCACATTTCCTTCTGCTCTATCTTTATCCTCTGGCTCTTTCCTGGAGGATTCCCAGGTGGCCCCGATAGTCCATACAAACACCCCAGGTGGTGACAATCTCAAAAGCTGACATCCTTTTCCACCTCCCACTTTCTGCATCCTGGACGTTCTACAGTTTGTTCTCTCATCATCTTTTTTTTAATTTCATCATCATTCGTTTTCTTTTTACTGTCAGATCATGTTTCTTTTTCCCCCTTCCCTCGCGTCTGTAAAGTCAGCGCGGCAGATCCGAATTTGTCGCGAGATCGCCCTATCCGAGCTTCCAGGGCTTCCGGTAACATCTCCCCTTCCAGATATTTGAAATAGCGTGGGCTATTATCGAGGCTGGAACACCATACAGCCCAATCAAATCGGCTATAAGGAGTATATATCGCTATATATGGCAAGGCCCCTGCTAAAGGTATAGCACAGCGCACAACAAAGCAATCTCTCAAGGCAAAATATAAATCACGCATCACTCCCACTCCAAAGGCAATGGGAGTGCACGTCATGGTGCAATTATACCACAAGCAACACAAAAGTCCCTGGTAATCAAATTAAAGATCTCTCAACGATGCAAGATGCAAGATGCATACAAACCTAGTCTCCGATCCAACGCCGATCTAGCATCGCGATTCCCCCAAGGTGCAGCCGAACCCGGGGGAGGAGAAAAGGACCTATATAAGCTACATATATATCTCTCTTATTTGAGCCATATCTCTTAGCATGCAGTAGCACATAGATCATAAAGAGTGAGCATAAGCATCCAACACAGTCCAATTCATACCCCGCATGGCCTGACGCCCGGGGATAAGTCGCGGTGACGTCCTCCACTCTGCCTCTGATCCCATCATGACAGACAACGTGGACACAAGAGCAAGGGTACCATTGCCTTCTAGTCTTTTCGGTGTTCAGATCACTCTGATCTTCCGTGCCAATTGCCACTTGTGGTTGGGTCTCTCGGTTCGAAATGAGGGGGAGGCGAGGCGGGTTCCTGTTTTCCTATGAGCGGCAGGTAAGATATTTGGGGGCGGAGGATTGAGCTGGTGTTTCCCTTCTCGGGATCCAAGGGATTCAATTCGGGATTCTGTATGGAGGGGCGATAGTGATAACAGATTTTGGTCGGCTGTTAAGCACCGCTAGCGGAGGTCTAGATGTCTGAGCCATGCCGGGAAAGGTATAGAGTTATGCTGCATAACGCCAAATACAGCGAACAGGTGAGAGGAGGCGCAAAGAATTGAGACAAGCAGCTACCGAAATCCCAACGGCCCGGAAAACTGGGCGAATGACATGGCATGAGAAATCAAGAAGCCGAGATAGTGGCCAAGTCAGGCAATACGCTCGGAGCCGTAGACCGTAACTCCCAAAAAGACTATAAAATGGTCATAACGACATGTACTTTTTGAGGACCTCTCTTCTTGTGCTTGTGTCACAGTGTCTACCTCTTCTCTCTTTCTCTCTCTCTCCCCCCTTCACCTATTCTCTTCTCTTCTTACTTGCACCTTTGGCTTCTCCCAAATCTCACCACTTTACATACTCCTCAATCCCAACCAAAATGTCCACTGAAATCCCCGACACTCAATGGGCGCAAGTCGTCGAGAAAATCGGCGGCCCACCCGTCTACAAGCAAATCCCCGTCCCCAAGCCCGGTCCCGACGAAGTCCTCGTCAAGATGAAGTACACCGGCGTCTGCCACACTGATCTGCACGCGATGAACGGCGACTGGCCCCTCCCAGTGAAGCAGCCCCTCGTCGGTGGCCACGAGGGCGCGGGTATCGTGGTCGCAAAGGGCGCTCTCGCCCAGGGTATCGAGATCGGCGACCACGCAGGTATCAAATGGCTGAATGGATCATGTCTCGCATGCGAGTACTGCAAGACCTCCGATGAGCCTCTGTGCCAGGAGGCTCAGCTATCGGGTTACACCGTTGACGGCACTTTCCAGCAGTACGCGATCGGTAAGGCGGCGCATGTGTCGAAGATTCCTAAGGAGGTGCCGCTCGATGCTGTTGCGCCGATTCTGTGCGCCGGTGTTACTGTCTACAAGGGCCTGAAGGAGTCTGGTGCGCGCCCTGGTCAGACTGTTGCGATTGTTGGTGCTGGTGGTGGTCTTGGATCTCTGGCGCAGCAGTATGCTAAGGCTATGGGCTTGCGTGTTATCGCTATTGACGGTGGAGAGGAGAAGAGAGCTATGTGTGAGCAGCTGGGTGCGGAGGTATGTTGATTTCTTTCTTGATGTGCCATTTTTTCGTTCGGATGGAACTTTGTACTGATGATATCTTTAGGTCTATATTGACTTCACCAAGACCAGTGATCTTGTCGCCGATGTTAAGGCTGCTACTCCTGGCGGCTTGGGCGCTCATGCCGTGCTTCTGCTTGCTGTCTCCGAGAAGCCTTTCCAGCAGGCTGTCGAATACGCTCGCTCTCGCGGTACCATTGTTGCCATCGGCCTGCCCGCCAACGCATTCCTCAAGGCCCCTGTTTTCGATACCGTTGTCAGGATGATCAATATCAAGGGCAGCTATGTCGGTAACCGCCAGGATGGTGTTGAGGCCATTGACTTCTTCGCGCGTGGCTTGATCAAGGCTCCCTTCAAGACCGTTCCTCTGAAGGAGCTGCCTGAGGTGTTCAAGCTTATGGGTACGTTATTAGTATTCCAATTGTGCTATCATGTCCATGTGCTAATCTATGTCATGCAGAGGAAGGCAAGATTGCTGGCCGCTACGTTCTCGAGATTCCCGAGTAGATACACTACTATCTATGCGGTTGGTTAGCCTGAGAAGACTGGTCTCAACGATTTGCTTATGGGAAACGACGAACAAAATTTGATGTCCGTAAGGACGATTTAGCGCCCTCCAGAAGGGTGATTAGCGATAATTGAAACACAAATTCTGAAATTTGAGATTTGAAATTTTCAGTGAAATTCATCTATCAAATGATGATGGTATAAATGCTTCGTTTCGTGTGGCGAGGCATATAAATGAGTCTTGCAGATAGAGATCAAGAACAGACTTGCCTCCTTGGGCTGAACACTTATCCATAAAGCCATACTGCTACTTCGAATCATTCAACGTCTTCCCCTCATCCTCAGGACTAACAGTAGTCTGGGGACCCTTGAAGGTCTTCTTCGCATACACATAATAGTAAAGTAGCGCGCCCAACCAAAGACTACCATTGATAACCACCGTATAGTTCATATTTTGAGCTTCAACACAGAACCCAGTCAGCAAAACACACTCCAACTGTAGAAAATAGAGTCAACTCACGCGACGGGTTCGGTCCCCCCGTAGGGATCATGGAGAGCACAATAGCGAACATCATATATATGACTGAAATCCACCCGATGGGTTTACTCAGATACTTGCCTGTATAGAACTCCCCGGGAACAAAGCGATCACCACCCCACAGCAAGCGCGCCAGGATGGGCGTTAGCCAAGCGAGGTCGTTGCCGGCTACGGCGAGGGAGAAGAGGGCGTTGGCGGCAGCTTCGTCAATTAGGCACAGAAGGCCGATAGTTGCGGATGCGAGGATTATGCCGCAGACCATTCGGACTGGTTGATAACGCATGAGGCTGTGCTGGCTTACCTTGCGGAAGAAGGAAGAGAAGGGTAAGGCGCCGTCGCGGGAGAAGGCCCAGCCCTGGCGGGATGCAGCTAGGACCTGTATAAGCGAAGTGAGCAAAGATATCATTTCGGGGGTATTTGCGAAAAAGGAAGGGACTCACGATGCTCAGTCCCATAAAGAATTGAACTATCATCACCACAACCATAAACCCAAGAGCCCCCTTTTTGCCGAGGGCATCATAGTAGATCTGTTAAACAGGTTAGACTGCATCATGAACATATCGAAGAGCATGACACAAACCTGAGTCATAGGCTGTCCGAACTTCGAACCCAGAATCCCTTCAATATTCGTATCCATCGAAGCCGCAATGACCGCCAGCGAGAAGAACCCCAGAATACCACACAGTCCAGACGAGGAGATAATCCCCAATGGCACAGCGCGAGAAGCATGCGTCGCCTCCTCACTCATATGCACGCAGGAATCAAACGCGCCAATGGTCCAAATGGGAGACAACCACGCCATGATAAATGCCCAGCCAGTTGGCCAGGACGTGAGGTTCTGGACCTCGCCAAAGACATACGAGCCCGAGTTGACTGGCGGGCTATTCTTTGCTTTGCCGAGAGGCAATGCTATGACGGTTGCCACCACGAGGGCGATGTTGAGGAAGATACAGGCGGATTGGATCTTCGGCATGATCCGAGCGAAGAAAATGGCGATGAAGCCGTGCGAGAAAACCGTTGCTACATATGTCCCGTAGACGATTGGTCGTGTGGCAGACCAGTTGCCATCGCGCGCAAGCGAGATCACAGAGAGGAGCATGTTAGCGAAGCCATCTGGTGGCAGTGAAAGTTAGCTATGGGCTTTTGCTTCAGGGACCAGCGTGTGAACCCACAGTCAATGGAGCATATGCCTCCAATCAAGCCGATTGTGTTGCTATACCCGACGAGGAAACTCAGCGGGTTCTTCCATTTCTCAGCTGCAAAGTAATGTGTCCAGAAGTAAAGTCCTCCTGCTGTGGGCATTGCGGATGCCATATCGGCCTGATAGCCAAGGATCAGCTCTCTGCTCTGCAGCTTTGCAAGGCTCAATTGGATAAATCATACCATGGCCAAGCTCACGATAAAGATAAAACAACTCGCAGCCAGCCATCCTATACAACGAGCCTGTTAACACTCGCCAAAGATATGCTGCACACAGGGAAATTGCATACCCTAGCCAATCTGTCAGTTATGATTCCCATCAATTGCAGTTGGAGGAGTATATTACCCAGACCATACCCACAGGACCAGCAGGCATGGAGAACGCCAACGTGGACGCAATTGAAGGTAAGAGCCCCATAATACTGAAAGCGACAGCAAAGATCTGAATCGTCGAGTAATGGCGTCTCAGCTCCTGCTTGTACCCGAGTGTCGCTAATGAACCCGTCAGTGCCACATCTCATATCGTCGCACACGATGTGCCAACATGTTAAGCGCTGTGTACATACCCAGCAGCTCGGTATCCCCAGCCTGGGGCTTCGAGTCATTGACCGTGGCCGTTGACAAGCGCCTCTTGCTTGTATGGGACGGTACCTTCTCCATTGTATCGTCCATAGTTGTGCGGTATACAATAGCAGTCAGAAGAGACCAGTCAATGGATGGGCGAAGTCAGAGCCGACGCGATTGAGCTTGCAAGGCCTAATAATTGATGGAAATGAAAATCGTCGGAGGGAAAAGAAAACAGTTGGGGGGCTCAAATGAGCTTATGGAAGCGAATTCTAAAAGCTCCGAGTCAAGGATTCGGCGATTGATGAAATAAGCGCAGATCCCAGTGTCCTGCTCGAGGAGCCTAGATAGTTATAACATTCTTGACTTCCTATGCCGGACTTTAGCCCGCAACTCTAAGCAATCGGAATCGCTGAGGGGTACATGACATGTGCATATCTCCTCTTTGGGGATCTGCGAAGACAAAAGAGCGCGCCCATCTTATTTCCTCTTTAGTGCTGACTCCCTGCCGCTTTTCGTAACTACATTAGATGTGAATGGTTCCTTGTCCTGGAACTACCTAGGCATCTCTGCCGAGATTCTGACTGTAACAGGTAGTATGTTTTGCTACTATGACCTACCTAGGTAGGTACATCCGAAGTCCTCATGGGCAAATAAACGCTACACTATCCATGGTCTTCGAATCGATCTTTTCTAGGCTGTATAATTCTGGCTCGACTATCTAGATATAGAGATTGAGAAACCAATACCCCCAATTCATCTTCGACGGTATTTCATGCTTCAGTCTGCACGCACCACAATCCTCCATTCTACCTCAGTATTAACAACCTGTGCCCACGCTGATAGCCATAGATCACTTCTACAATATACATATGCCAATGGCCTTTTCAAGTCGCCAGGGAATAAAGAGACCGCTCCATTAAAAGCGGCAATCATAAAACCGAGGTGGGAAGGACGAGCCTGCCATCTACCGGCATGGGACATGTACATCGGTGCATATCCCCCAGCCTAAACCTGATACTACAGTCAGATGACCAAACCAATGCGGCATAGGTTTAGGCTGACACAAAACAAGAATTGCGCTGCACATCATTTAAGACGAGTGAAGATAGCTAAAGTCCATATGAGTGGCCGATAAGGCGCGAGCGAGATAGGAATGCATGGGTGTTTCGTTGTTATCTTAGGGGTGCCCGTTCCTCGCAGATGTTGAGGAGACTCATATGTGCGGACTATTCCGTTATGTGTTGATGAAAGCAATCTTATGTGTCAGATTGTCTTAGATCAGAACTAGGGTCTTCATTCACTTCCAACCGAGTCCGAGGCGAGGTATCCCCGTGTGGGGTAAGGGTGGGGGTAACCGGTAGCGCTAATAAAGTGCGGAGAAACTCAACTCTATAGTTTCCATTTCATCAATTCGAGACTACCATACATAGGGGTATAATCCAAGGTTGCCTCTATAAGGTTCAAACTTTGCGAATCGTTTACACAAGCTCATACAACCTCCATGCATCAGGCCTCTTAATATAAAAAGGCCAAGGATGCAAAAAAGCAACAGAAACAAATTTCCTCTCGAATGCAGACCCAAACAGAAAAGGACAAGGCTAAATATACATCCAGATCAAAGAAAAAAGAAAGAAAGAGAGAAATTCACATCCCATCCAAGGTATCATCATCTCAAACCGCACCGGGTCCGGGGCCCTTATGATTCGACTGGTCCAGCAAAAGCGTGGGTTTGATGTAGTCCTCATCAAGCTGCCGGAACCAAGCCGCGTGATCGCCTGAAGCACCACCTGAGAACAAGTCCCGCAAAGCGTCCCGGGCAGACATCCCTGTCGGCTGGCGGGCGGGCGAGACACTGGATGATGCTGCAGTATTGGGGGATGGAACGGCTGGAGGCTGAGGGGGCTGAGAGGCGGAACGGCGGAGACGCGAGGATCCACTTGCAGCGGGTGGGAGGTCATCGTCAGAGATGCCCTCGATGTCGAGGTCGAACTCATCTGGGTGGGCGGGCTCATGGGAGCGGCCGTTACGGGAGGGTGGCAGGCCGAGCTCATCATCGCTGGCTTCGCCAGCGCTCGGCCCAGCTCCGCCGTTGAGTAAGGTCGCAGCGGACTGACGATCGCGCCAGGACTGGTCTTTGGTGCTGTATGCGGCGGAGTACATTCGTGTGTGGGTATATGGTGGGCTCGGGCGGCGGTTGTTTCCACTGGAGTAGCTGTGTGTTCGCTCTGGCTGTCCGTCACGTGAAGCAGTGGCCACGCCGTCGAGAGGGATCACTGAGTCGCTTCGTCGTGGGATATATCCCAAGCTGGTACCGGAGCGCTTATAGTAGGTGCCACCATGAGTCACCTCGGTGTCGAATTCATCATCCGAGTCCAGTTCTTCGATCACACCCGTTCGAATACCCAAAATTTCCAACATACGTGCTGTGGTTCCGCCGAAGATGATGACGGTTAACACGACGACAACAAGGACCGTGGCTCGGAGGGCAGGGGCGTTGACTCCAGAAAGACCTGCTGCAAGCGCAACACCGACAGCACCACGCAGTCCAGCCCAGAAGAGCATCGCCTGGTAGGCAAAAGGCAGCTCATCGGCAACTTCCACACCACGGCGGCGTGCTCGGTAACGAATGAACCAATTAATGGCCTTAGAAAGTGGGAACACCGCCAGATAGCGGGCGAGACAGATTCCAAATACTGCGACCATAATGAACAGCGGGTTGAAGCGAAGGTTGGGCTCAACGAAGAGATCGAGACCGAGGTAAATGAAGATAAAGTTCTCCGATAGCTGGGCCATCACCTGGAACAGGTACTTAGTAGTCAACTGCGTGCGACGCGACATGTTATAGTACGCATAGTGCTTCAGGGTAATACCACAGAACAAGAGCGAGACAATGCCAGATAGATGCACACCATTCGAAAAAAGTAACTTGCGTATGCAATCAAAATGATCAAGCAACTCTCGATCTTAGGCATGCGCCGTACGAGTGTGTATTTAAGACCCAACGCTGTAACGATTCCGACCAGCATTCCCACCACCATACTACCAAAGAAGACGAGCAAAAAGAGCCCGACGGCTTCAAATAAGTTCAAGAAGGTCAGGGAGCCAGCTGCGCTCTCGTGGTATCGCTGTGCCGTCTCAAAGAGCACAATAGCAATAGCATCGTTCAGGATGGACTCGCCGAAAATAATAGTGTATAGCTTCGGCTCGACCTTGTAGAGGTTGAAAATAGCTAGAATTGTGACCGGATCCGTCGCGGAGAGAGTTGCGCCGACCGAGATGGCTTCGACGAAGGAGATGTTCAATCCGTTCAACGGAATCCGCGTCCACAGATACAGAACCAGACCGAGCACAATTGCGGAGATAAAGGTACCGGCGAACGCGAACGTGAGAATCGTGCCGATATGCCGGAAGAAATTCGCCTGATGGAGCTCATAGCCGGAGGCGAGAATGATCGGTGGAAGGAGGAGGTTGAAGAAGAATTGGTAGTCGAAGGCGACCCTGTCTTGGAGGGTGGAGTCTGTGAAACGGATGAGCAGCCCAACGAACATTCCTGGCGACCGTTAGCAAGTCCGTGGTAATTTGCGCAGATCGCACTGGCCCAGTAAGGGTTTGTCTGTGTGCAGCTTGTGATTGCGCATTCGACAGTATCGCCTACCTGCAAAAATCGATAGAACCGTCTCGTGTACAGCTTGGATCTTCCTCTGTTGGAGGATGTAGCTTGTGAAGAGGGCAAACATCAACAACATAATCATGATAAATAATGCCCAGGAGCTTGTGATCTCCTTGGACCCTGCCTCGGGCGCATCTGTAGTTCGCCATAAATGTTAAAATCACCAAAGTCGTGAAGCGCCAGACAGCGACAGGCCGAGGGGGAGGGGGTTTAGGCACGCGTACCATCAGGATCAGAGTCCTCGGCGGCTCTCCCTGTCACAGAAATGAAAAAATTAGCTTGGGATCCAGATAGAAAAATGAAGCGCAGCGTTTAAGACCGCCGATCAGATAAACATACGAAGCAGGGCGTGTAGGCCATCGTTCATAAGTTGGCTAGCCATCAGGGCTCACGCCTTAGGAAGTATCAAGGACCAGTGCGGATGACTGGCGACTCACTCCCGAACTGGAATTGAAAATGCAAGACCAGGCGCACATAATCCACGAGGAGATGGAAAACGAGAGGTCGCGACAGGATCTAACAGGGTTAGTGACGGGAGGCCCTTGTGTTTTGAGTTGCACTGGACAGATGGCCTGGATGAGGTCAGGTCAGGTATGAGATTGTACAATACACAAGGCGACAGGGCTGTCTGAGGTCAAATTGGTGGGAGATGCGGAACAACACCGCGATAACGTAAGATAACCGTCTGGTATTGGTATTGAAAGATTACACGAGTTTCGAGGTGCCGCGCAACTGCCAAGAGATGGCCTCTTGCCGATGGACACAAGTACTCCGTACTCCGGAGGTAGACAGGAGCAACAGAGACAGGAACAAGGGATGGGCCCTATCCAGCGTGAGGATATCGTCATTTCAAATCATTCAATTGCCCTGTGTCCATTCAAGCTTCAGGCTGCATGGCAAGAACCCCCAGGGCCACATTCCCCGTACAATTTACATAGTGTCTCCTGCAGAACCCCTTTATACATCTCAGGTTGAGCCCTGAAAGCATCCGGTGTATGTGTTGTAATGTCTAGGTGTTTAAATCTATCTTGATCCATCGGAGACCCGTCTGGTCAACCATGCAGCCACCAGCGCAGCACACCCACCGAATCGTAGCACCCAGCCCACACTATCATCCCACGGCTCTCCTCTTGGCTTCTGAGATGCCTTGAATATAGCACTGCAAACAAGGCTAGACAGAATTTGGGGGAGGGAGACTGCCATATTATGGAGTCCGAGAATAATCCCAGCCTGTGCAACGTCTCCACCCTCGCGATAGTTCTTCAAGTGGCCATGCTCAACGTCACTACCGTGAACACCGCCATGCTCACTAAGTTCCTCATCGTGGTCCTCAGGCGCTAGATATTCACCGGAGACTCGAGTTTCATGGTGCCTGCTTCGTCTGGACGGATCAATCCTAGCCACCTCCGCCGAGATGAGAGCGAAGGGTGCCCACAGGGCGACAGCCCAAGAGATACCGACAAACCCAACGAAAACCGACCCAGCTTGATGAGAGGAGATGAAGAAAGTGCTGAACATGCAAACAGCGAAGAGAAGATGAGATAGGAGCCAAACTCGCGGAAGAGTCAATCCTGGGATCTGCAGACATGAAAGCCAGGTCAGTTTGCCCCCGGTCTGCTGTCTGACTGGAGCTGCATCAAGCAGAGGCTCGGATGCATTTCCCGTCGGCATACTTGAGACGGACAATCTCCTTGTATGGGTCTCTTCATCATCTACAGCCTCGTCTAGAGACTCTTGAGGTGAAGCAGTCTCTAGGGCGGGTCCACCGGATGGAACCACGAATAGAGGAAGCAACGTATTTGCAAGGAAAGAGATGATAGCGTAGACAAGAAGAGCGAAAGACCCGACTCGAGTGGCATATTCCCAAGCCTGGTCTATATCACCCTCCGAGAGATTGGGGTTGTTTGCAAATATCGGATTGACGTATAGCTGCCCAACATACGTGGTAGAGTAGAACAGGAATGGAAACCAACCCACCCACGCTGCCACTTGCACCTGGCATACCCGGGCGATTTGGTTTGGCAAGCTTTGAATCGACTTGATGATCTGTCGGAAGAACGAGACCATGCCAAGCTTGTCAGTCACAGGCCCGTCTGCTCGGGGGTCCCGCTCTTTGATGTAGACACAGCTGATAGTAATAGTGACGCCCAGGAAGAATGAAGCGAGTACACACAAGACCTTAAACTGTGTGTTCCCTAAGAACGGTACAATCTTTGGCAGGTCCATATAGCCAAAGATATACCCTAGGATGTTACCAACGCCTACGATCCGACTAGCCCAAGCGTTGGCCAGCTCCTGCTGATGAGCGGGGCAGTTATCGACAATGAATGCTCTGATCGCAGCTTGCACTGTGGGATTATAATCAGCCTAGACGAACATGAGCGTAAAGATCCCAAATAACGTACCTGTGTTGATAGCAAAATCAAGGCAATACATGAGAATTGTTGCCACGATATTAATGGTGATTTTGGCCCCGCCAGATGCTGGGTCAACGCCAAACACAGATAAAAAACCGCCCACAATCTCTCTCACCCATGCCAGAGCTAGCAATGCAACGACAGTTGCCACACTTCCAACGACCATGAATGGTTTCCTCTTACCCCATGAAAGTCGGCAGTTATCACTTCGAATGCCGATATATGGTTGCACCAGCGCACCAGTCAACGGGCCGGCTATCCAAACAAAGGCAAGAAGCGCCTTGCTCATCCCAAGGGATAGGAGGTAAGGCTGTATCTAGTTAGTATGTTTGTTTCACCGAACATTCTCGCCAGATTAAAACGAAAGGAGCAGTAGCAGAATGGAAAGTCGGATGATTCTAGCTCTTTTTAAAATTGCACTTACCGACCCATGAGAAAGCTCAACAGACCAAACAATTTGAAGCCTGTCAAGGAAACGATGATCAGTAAATCGCTAGTATAAAACACAAGAGAGCGATGGAATTGGCTCTAAGCAAATCAAGACATCGACATCCGCAAAGATACTCACCCGCCTATAGATAATGTCAAAAGTAGCATATACAAGGCACTTTTCGACGACTCATCAACACCGACAAGAGGACGCCCACCAGGCCCATTTCCAGTGCGGGTGGCAGCCATAAGAGGCGAGCCCTCGTCAACGCGAGTAGGAGAAAGCTTGCGGTCTGCAACTCCCATCGGAGGGTTCAAGAGCCAGTATTGAGCAGTGTTGATGTTTCACCGGCCAAGAGACCCATGCAAGTTGTTGTTGTGTTGTTGTGTTGTTTTGGATATGAGTGCGATGGCTGTGGACTGGGTGATTTCCAGCCGCTGACTTGTGGCTCAGAACTCAGATGTACTAGAATGTACCTCGGTATATCGATTCAAAGTTGCTCTTGATTAACTTTAGTACCCTTGTGTTTCTGTGTGTAGCGTAGTGGGCCGGATGATTTGGCGGATGTGGGGAAGTAGATATCGGATGGATTGAAGCTGAGTAGGTATTGGCAGCCACTTATCACTGGCCAGCCAGACAGTTGAGACCAGGTATCATTCAACAGGGTACGGAGTATAGTCCACCTGATCAGAATGAGAAGGGCCAAATTGGCCCTATCACGATCGCAGGGAGATCGACGTCAGCAACACGTGATATCCCATTTATAGACTACAGCCACATCATTGCCACGCATACTCCGTACTCCGTACAGAATACCGGCAATGAGCCAAGCAACCAGGGATTTGAGATGGATGAAAGTTTTCAAGTGTTTTTTTATTCCAATTCAAAGTCGTTACACAAACTCTCTGTCTATATAGTGTGATATGAGGCATACAAAATAAACCAATTCCTGGCCGCTCTTCATGGACAATGCCGGACGATCCAATAGAAAGCCAACCCGAATCTTTCCCTTCCCAAGCCATTTCCCACTGAGAGATTAGTCGTGCCTCTCTCATGCCCGTGCCCGCCAGGCAGCATGAAATGAATGTCTGCCAGCGCAATTCAATCTGCGTGCAGGGCAATTGACACCAATAATACACGGTGATTCCGGTAACCATAGCGCAGCCCGAAACCCAAAAGAAACCAAAAGAAAAGAAAATGAACACAATGTGAACGCAAGCTGTACACGAATATCGCGGTATGTGCAGATCCAACATTGGACCATGTGCGATTAAACAAGAAGGGGATATAAACCCCAAACCGAAGGGCGCCTGTATGCTCCCTGAAATTTCCAAAGAGGAATGAGAAATGAAAGATCTGTTCAGAACACAGAACATCCCCGCCAAGAGTACATGAAACAATGTATCTGTCAATTCATGCAAGATACTTAACGCTCTGTAATTTTCTCACATTTGCTGCTGGAGAAGCTGCGGAGCGATCATGTGCGGAGTAGCCATACCCGTCAGGGCAGACGGCATGCTCATGGGGGCTGCCATCGACGTCATATTGGGCATATTCATCATTGTGTGGGCGGGCTCCGCTGGGGACAGTTCCTCCCTAGGGGATCCGAATTCATTCTCATCATTTTCCAGGTCTTCTTCGGTTGGAACGATTGACTGACCATCCTGCTGCGCTTCATGAATCCGACGGTGCCTAGCGGCTGTTAGTAAAAGTCTTATAAAGTATGAGGTAGCAATGACATACTGTGCAAGGTTATCGGACCGCGAGAAAGCTTTGCTGCAGTAAGGACAGGGGTATGGACGCTCTTGTGTGTGTGTTCTCACGTGTCTAGAAACCAGGAATTAGTCGGCGCTTATCGAAACCATCACATTGGGGGATACAGTGCATCTCAGCCCCACCGAGGTAGGTATAAAAATAGAAGTAAGCTTACCTTTTGAGGTGTTCTAATCTCTTGAATGTTCTGCCACATGACGGGATTGGGCAAGAGTGGGCCTTGTTTGGATACGGTCCCAACTCCATCATGGTTGCACTCCTGGCTCTCCGAGTAGGACCTGGCGCCGAACGCTCCGACCGACCAGTAGGATTTTGAACTGCAGCATCAAAGGCACCACTGGTTGGGAGAGATGTCAAATCATCAGAGTGATTTGCCAATGAGCCTGTATGTTGTCCAGTGTGGTGGTCTAGGTTATGCAGCGGGGTGCCATGTCGGGACATTTCGCGAAGAAGATCCTTTTGTGGCAGCATCGCACTTGGGTAAGTGCGCGCGAGATCTTGAGTGGATTCATCCCCTTCTGGGACTGGAGCCACTGAGCTAGAAACCGAACGCCGCAGATCACTTGGTCGGTGAGCAGCGTACGATACTGACTGGACTCCTGGAGTCGTAGATTGGACATGGACTGGGCCACTGGGTGCAACGGTCCCGGTGTTGGGCGGGATGGAAGATCTACGTCTGCGCTGCTTGTAAGTCGGGGATCCCTCGATGACGGGATATGGGTTCGCCGAGAAAGAGCGAGGCGCAGGCTGATAGTGAGCACTAGCCAAGTTTGAAGGAGGCAGCTGCATCATGGAGTGATAGGCGGGTGCACTAGAGATATCCGGAATCGCGGTGTAAAGTCCTGTGTCTTCGTTGGCGATGTAGGCTGGTTCCGCTCCGAGGCCGACGGAATGCTGTGGCGGCGTAACGGGTTCAAAGGACAGACCACGGTTGCTGTAGTCCTCGTATTGCGAAGATACAAAGGATGGCGCGGGCGAGTACTCGTAGAAAGTCGGCATAGAGGAATGGCGCTGGTGCGGGCGGGGGATGGGCATTCCGTTGCGATCGTACTGAATTGGGCCGTAGTCCTGCTCACGTTTAATGATGCTCTGGACTAGATTGTTCGAAAGGGGCATCTGTGGGTTGCTGTACATCGGATTCCCAGATTCGTCCTGGAGCAGAGGGATCGCTGGGGGAGCCATCTGCGGAGGAGGCATTGCGTCAACGGTCCGAACCACGGGGGAGTTGGGCTGGCCATATGTCGTACTTGCGTGGGCAGCGAACGAGTTCAAATTCACTTGTTGTGACTTGGTCAATTGCTCGTACAGAGACTGGGATGAGTCGAATTCAAAGGACATGGCCGGCTCGCTGACTGCGACCGTGGTGGCCTCCTGGTTCATCTTCTCGCGCTTCAAATCCCGTTCCAATGCATCGAGGAATAGCCGGTCGTGTGGCACACCGTACCAATAAAACACCTTTTGCTTCTTTTGCGTCCGAATGCAGTTGTTTTTGTACAAAAAGTCCAGGAATGGACTCTTTGGGTCCTCCAGAACTGCGTCTACGCCGGCCTTGAGATTGCGCAAATCCGAGAAAATGCCCTCCTCGAACTTTTTGGAGTTCTTCACCGGACGTCCAAAGGCCTGGAATCGAAATGCGAGACATCGGACAATATCGGTACCGGAGATGTGGAAAAGGCCGCTCCTATTAGGATGGGATCAGTCAGGTTCCCAAGCCATCACCTTCTCGAGTGAGACTAACCAGTAGACACAAGAGACATAATCGCCCGTGGGAAGCAAAAAGCGTCGAATGAGTTGATCGGCTTGCCAATCAACGGGAGCTGACAAAAGGAAATATTTCACTGGCCCAAGTCAATACATTGTTGTGATGCAGGTAACCCATTCCGAGGACATACAATTATCCACTTGCTGAAGAGCGACTTGTGCGTCATGCGGTAGGCTGCGCTGGGCTTCGGTTGAGAGCATAAAGGTTTCAGGCTTTTGGGGAGGTGCCATAGGGATCGAAGCACCTGCGTGAGGGTACATTGTTGTTTTTTTCCTGCGTGAAGCGCACTGCATAGGTAGTTAGCTCCGGGAAAAGACCGGTTGATAACGCATGTGCAAACAAAGAGGCTATCGGGAGCCCCATCAAATAGCCACCCCTCCCTGCGACTCTCATAAGACATAGCTGCAAGACCTCGGATCAGACTCACCAGCTAAAGGGTACGACAACACAAAATGGGAAGTGCGAGGATCAACGTCGTCAACCAGTAAGGGATGGATATCCGTTCGGGGGTTATAGATCACGCAGGCAGACAACGAACGCGAAATGGGTGGAACAGAGGAGCCAGCCTCTGGGAAGACAAAGACAAGAAAGAAAGAGAGATTGTCAGAGATTGAACTGGACCAGCCGGTAAGCCTCTGTGGATATTCGCGCGCAGCGGAAGAAAGAAACGAAAGTGAGGAGGAGATCGAGTATGGTGAGGAGAGAAGAAGGGGGGAGAGAAGATACACAACGTCAGTCTAATAATAATCGAGGGAACCTTGGAAATGGGAAGCGCCCAGGAACCCTGACCGGTCATAAACTAGTATGTTATTTTGTGTTATTCGTTAGTCATGCCCGATGGAGCCTGGTTTCGCTCGTTTAATTGGTATCGCCCGTGACGGAGCCTGTATCCATTCGGTTATTTACCACGGCAAACCAAATACCGTATACATACCGTGTTGAGTCCGAATCAGATCTCCATATTCAGATACTTCATCTTTGTTAAGTGTATAGAGAACTGAGAAGCATGTCCGATCTTAAACGGACTCACTTTGATACGAGCACAATGGTTTGTCTGATATATCCGGTTATAAAGCATTCAACAAAACCAGGGGCTTCCCTTTTTTTTTCAACTCTTCACGAACAAAGGACCCCCCTGTCTGATGATTTTTGCTGAACATATTGTACGGAGTATATCGGATCTAATTGATGATTGGCCCATTCTACCTGGTGACCAGGCTGCATAACGTCCTCAGTGATAAACACATCACTTGCCACATTGAGAGGTCTGTCTGGCCAGGAAATCGACACTGGAGTCCAACGGGAAAACAAGGAGTGGAGCCAGCCAAGGCTCATCAAACTGGCGCTGGGACCTGAAGCACCCGCCTTGTCGTTTCAGAGTCGTAGTAGGCGCTTACATGCAGCCATTGAAACCGTCTCACTCCAGAGAAATTTCCTATGATTTTCTCCGAACTCCCGTGCTCCGGTGTATAAACGGTTGTGGCTTTGGGATCGTCTTCCCTCCGGAATTTCCGACTGATCTCGTCTGGCCCACATGACTGATCAAATGGGACTCGTCTACAGGGGGGTACAAATGTACGTAACTTGGTAGGTGGTATCCATCTCGCTTGTACGGAGTACCGAGTACCGTTCGACTTATGGGGTAATGCCAGCGGAGTAATCCGTCCTCCGTGGAGAGGTTCTACCTATAATATTCAACGGAACAGCAAGGCAACCTGATATTTTGCTCTATTTTTCTGGTCCTTTTCCTGATAGCCACATCATATGTAAGATTGAGCAAAGCACACGCCGCATGGGTGGTAGATACTGTGCATCTTTCATGGTTGGCGTGAGATACAGTCAATATCTACTATCAACCCTTATGTATGTACGGAGTACTCCGTGGGTATGTATCAGCGTTGACGGCGGACAGAGTACTGCGGATCAGAAATTTCAATGAGATCAGTAGCCTAAAAGAGCTTGGTACCACTCCGAGTTGGTTGTACATTCCATCCACTCCGAGACTGGGTATGCGATGTACTCCGTACTCCGTACGCCGGTACTTCACATCGTGTTGCTATTTCCATCCACGGAAATTCTCACTATCAGATCAACATACTCTGTACAAATGTACGAATATGTCTCATCCTCGAACAACCCCCTCCCAATGGAATCTCACTTATGGAGACATTCGCATAACCACCTGGGTAGGTAAAGCACCGGGGAGGAACACAAGAAAACCAAGTATTATTAGTGCCTTCACACACGGCAAAACAATCAAGCCTACCGGAGCCCTACCGTATCGAGAGCCTTGTCAGAAGTTCACTAACCTCATGCAATCATCAATATAGACTCTGGCTGGTCGTTTCAACTCCGACCAGGGCTGAGCCCCTGGAAACTACAACTACATAGCAGAGTCCCAATGGACACACTCCACTAGCACAGATGCAGTAACATGCCACACTGCCAGTCATCCCATCGCACAGGCCACATTCTGAACAAGCGCGTTTGATCGTCCATCCTGAAACGATCTAGAATTTCGATAATCGAGCCTTTTCGAGAAACGTGGAGACGATGCTCCTCTGATCTCGTGTTCTGGAGTCTTCTTTCCTGCAGCGAGCCTCATGCGGGAAAATAGAACGGCTGGTGACATATCGAGGGAGAGGGGAGAGGGGAGAGCATGGTTCAACCCGTCCCAAACCCCTGATTTTGATGGAGAGCCCGGACTACTTCGGCTATTATTCCTGGACTTGGTCCGTTGGTATATCGAGGGTTGCGAGGACATGAGCTTTTTGGTTTCCGATTTTGTTCTTTTTTTCCTCCACAAAATCTCCTCGTCGAGTCTGAACATGAAATGGTAGCCAACATTTGCTATATGACTTGCTTGCGGACGCTTGGGCGAAAACGTCTCTGGTATAAGGAGACGTGGTGTGGAGGTAAAGGGGGGAAGGGCTTCATTTCGGGCTAGCGGTGGTCTGCCCGTCCTAATCCGCAAATTGAAATATCTCCGACGCCAGGCTTTTTTTTTATTTATTTTGATTTTTCTCTCGGATTCTACACGAATTCCCCCTGATTCAAACTAAATTCCTGTTTTGCTTACCATTAGGATCCGCTTGGTGTTTGGGTCAGCTATTGTTCGGCTCGGGAGTGCCGAATGGGCTACCTAGGTATTTTCCGGGATTTTTCGAGGCCTCGTAAGGAATCAACACGGACCATGTTTTAGTAAACTTCAGGATTCACTAATGTTGTACGGAGTACAGAGTAGTTCGCACGTGTTGTTCATGCATGGGTTTCAAAACACTAGGTTAAGGCCCATGGATTTGGTTTGATCGTGAGGTCAAAGTGAAACGTAGGTAGCTTTGCCGAGCCTGATGACGGATTTTATGGTGGATAAGAGCCATATACTCCGTATAGCACAGGATAGTCTCAATTTATGTAGCCAGGTGAGATAAGAGAGAAAAAGCACTCAACCCATGTACGAGAAGAATGTAGCAATTAGTCTTTCAAATGGTTTATTATGTACAATATGATATCTTCCGGATTGTCGTTATGTGCAGAGCCAAGACCGTCAGACAGAGTCGATACTCTTCCTCCGCTTTTCCACCATTGCCTCTTTCATGAACGGACTCCGTGCTCGGATCTCTTCGCCCCAGAAAAGCATTAAGATCGGGGTAGACGATAGAGCCAATGCGATGAAGGCTAGAAGCGTACTAGCCCACTGGAAACCAAGATGGTTGTACATGCTCATTGTAGCTAGCGGAAGGAACGCCGCTAGGCTGTTCTCACCCGCGGCAAGCATGCCCATGCAACTGCCTGCGTATTTGCTGTACGAATCCACCACATAGTCGGAAATTCCTGTCACAACAACAACACTACCAGCCCCTACCATGCCGAGACCAATGGCCGGTGCGATCCACGGGAACTGGGGGTATGACGTCCAGGCATATGTGAACATTCCACCAGAGATACCAAACATACCCCCTGCGATAGCGAAATACAATCGGGCCTCTGGGATAGGGGTGCCGGGAAGTTCCTTGTTGCGGGATGCCGAAGCGAAGTAGACCTTGCCCGAGAACAAAGTGACCACCCATCCCAAAATTTCTCCTATCACGACGGCGGCCTGGATGTATCCAGCCTGTGATGCATCCCAGCCGTACAGTTCCGCAAATACCTGCTCGACGGATTGAGTAAACAGGTACAACGTACCGACGGTGAAGGCCGACCACAGTGTCGAGACGAACACCACGGACTCGGTGAAGAAAAGTACAATAGGCCTGCTCGCACTGCGACCCACTATACTCAAGATCGACTGATCCTGTGTGTCGATCTCATGCTGAGTATAGGCATTCTCGCCTTTACGGCGCAGAGCCTTCGCCCGTTGTCCGAGAATGGCGATTTCACGACATTCCTTGAAGAAGAAGAAATAAATAGGGAAGAAAGCACCATACCAGATGATCTGGATATACCCAATCCACCTCCATGATAGATGCTGGAAGATAGCAGCTCCAATGACAGGTCCAATACTGCTTCCTGCCAGATAGGCAATGATGAAAAGACTGACTGGAATGTTGCGACTTCGCTCACTGTCCCAGACATTCCCAATCACGGTGGCAGCGGTATTTGCAAGAATGGAGACACATCCGCCAGCAAAGAATCTTGTCACAACCAGCGTTTCAAAATTCTGTGCCACTGCCTGGGGCACGACAAAGCAAATGAAGCTCACGTACGTGCCTAAGAACACCCATCGCACACCAAAGTCCTCCATGAGCGGGAGAATGAACAGGCAGAAAAAGGTGCCGCCAATGGCCCACGAAGTGACAGGCCAGTACGAATGAGGGAAAACAGCATCTGAAACGTTGAAATACTCATTCATAGGTTCGTGTGCCACTGTGAGGATTGTGCCGTTGATCAAGGATATGAAGGTGGCGAACACAGAGAGGCCTGTGAGAAACCATTTTCGGCCTAGAGACCAGTTGTATGGGTTTCCAGGATCCAGTGGTCCATCCCATGAAACTATTTTGATCTTTTTGCTGGCTTCGTGATGATCTGTGTCGTTGTCAATATTGTGGGTTCTACACTTGTGGATTTGATCTGATTTACCTATTGGCAGATCATCATGGCCGGAGATATCACCACGCGTGAAGACCATTCCCAACCCCCAGAGTGTCGATTCCTTCGAGAGGATGTTGATTGACCTTGTTATTGTTGTGTTTCAGTGTACCGGACTTGAGAGAATGATGCCAATTTTTCACTGTCGATGCTCGATGATCCTGTATCCCTTGGGGCCACGCGCAACAACGATATTTGCTCGCTTAACATTCCAAAGAAACTGAGAATCCAGCTTCATATATAGAAAAACTTCCGCGAAAATTTTTCCACTCTCAACTGAGCCGACCAGAACGATCCTCCACCGAAGACCGGGCTCTCCATCTAATGACTGTTTTGGGACTAGTGTTCCGCTTGCCCCAGGGCCGATTTCAACTTCGCACAACCTGGTTGGTGCACACTTCACGACATTGCTACGAACCTGCCCTTTTCTTGATGTTCTTAGATGAAGCAATTAGCTAAATGATCTGCTTCCATACCCCACATTGACATGACCGGCGCTAGAAAATCCGTCGCTAACGAATCATGTTACGAGCATGCTATGCGCGCTGGCTAGCACCTGGGCTAGAGGATATCGGTCGATCAACCCCAGAAGCCGCTCGGTTTTTCGTTCTGCTTTGGGTTTATTGATCCGCGTTCTTGCGATCTCGCATTATCCTACCTAAATTGTGCCCACTAGCCAAGACGTTATAGAGTTTGATATCTTGACTTCCGAAGCCAAGAAAATACCTTCTTTTAGCTTGATCTCTTATTGCGTCAGTCACACGAGTTTCGATAGAATAATTAACTTCGAGTTCGTATGTTAGCTGCGTCTTCCGGATCCTCCTCGTCGCTTTCCTATCTAGCTACAATCTTCTTCGCCGACTGGGTCGCACTCATGTGCTCTTTCTGGGCATTGGCGAGAGAAGATTCGTATAGATGATCCTTGGCGCCCAGTGAATACCGTATAACCTAAATACAGGCACATAGTAAGCAAGGCATAAAAGTTATCCACCCCGTTCATCTACCCCGGAAACCCCGACACATCGTTTCAGCCGCACATGAGTCATCTTCTACGAGCCTCAACCTTCCAACTCAGGACATATTTTTTCCAATTATGAGACACTTGCCCTAGCTTATGTAGAAATCCCCCAGTAATATTGATAATCAATTTCACTGCAAGTCCAGTTCATCTCGGAGACTCATAGTATGTTTTCTCATCTACCCGCTTCAATGCCCTATCTCCCCACATCCATGTTGAAGAAATAGAAGTCCAAAATTTATCAGTCAGGCTTAACTAACTGAAAGATAATGCCAGTCCGACAAGCCCACGTGTCAAAGCGTCATGTCTTCCCTTGTTGACAACAACCCAACAACACTACAGCGCCCATCAATCGCTATTTCACTCTACTCCTACGGCCATTCAAATGGACCATTTGTGAGGTCGGAGGAACAGGAACAAGACTCGATCATGCTGTCATACAATATTCGCCATCTTCCAAATCCACCACGGAATCTACGGGCCATGACAACCGGTCTATCACCCCGACTTCGGAAGGAGTTTCTGAAGAATGATACTGTGGAGACCTTTCTTGAAAGGACCCAGAATGAGATTATTAGTTCGCTCGGGACATGTTGTGATGCTTTATCTCAAGAAGACCACACGTCTCACTGCAAGGAGCAGGATGCCAGCCCCCCTGAAAGCGTGGACCTTGGTACTCACCAGAACCCCGATATCTCACTACTTGTGACTGTGTGTTGCGAGGAAGGACGTCACCGAAGTGTTGCTTTTGTGGAAGAGTTGGCAAGAAGACTTGCTTTATTGAGAGGTGGTGATGACTTGTCTCGTCCTTGGAAATTGAGTATTACTACTTCCCATCGAGATCTCGAAGTCTTGGGATCTGGTTCGGACTTGACGGCGGGCAGCCAAGGAGGGAAATCCCGTACAAAGAATAGACAGAGAGGGGGTGGGAAAGATGCAAGAAGACTTAATCAGAAGAACAGGAATGGACACGATGAGGATGTGGTATAATGACGTATTTGGAGGGCTGAAAACAGTGTATGCTAGGGTAGAAAATGAGTATACTGGACGATGATGATATTCACGATCTAGCAAAGATCATTGCGTATGTCATTGTTATCTTCCTGTCATGATGCCTAAATACGACTGAGGCAAGGATCAGGGATATACAATTTAACAGGTCTCATCTTCATTGACAACCACCCGTACTCACATCCATGGATATCCCTGTCATAATTAACAACGTGTACACTGAATGTACACGCAAACCCCGTGTACCGCCAACTAGATTTCGTGTGAGTTCCACGCCTAGTTTCCCTTTCAGTTCATGATTCCCAATAATTGAGACGAGTGACGTTCGCCGGTTAAATGCCAGGATGAACATGGTTCCGATGGGCTCATTGGTTCGCCTCGAGTGTTTATATCATACGTTTGCCACGCCCAACATATGACCAAAGGGTGACTCCCCGCATTTCGAATTAAATAACTTGTCACATCTTTTGGGAGAAATCCATTTCTCAACACCCTGATACACGGAAAGAACCCTCACCAGCACTACATAATTATACCTTCACACATTCCATCATGGTGACCACTACCATCGACCACAACCCCCTGGATCCCAACTACGCAAACCGCCGCAGCTCTCTCGGAAGCATGGATCACCCGCAGAAGGCAACACCCGGCGTCAAGGATGTGGATGTTATCCTAGACAGAGATGTTGCTCCGTGAGTCCGCACCATACACCCTTGCCGTTGAAACATCCTGCAACTGACCTCTGGGGGTAAAATAGATCTCCCCACGCGATGTGCTCGGAGTTAGCCCACCAGCACGCTATAGAAGGTCTCCACCAGAATACAGAGCATTGGACGCAGAGGCAGGTAGATCACAGTATGTCTTCGTCGCGCCCGATACATATAAGGCCGCGGTCATATCTCCATTACTGACAAATACCAGACAGTTTCCTCTCCGACCTAAGTACCGACCGTGGCCTGCAAGCGCATCCCGAAGAAATCGGAGAGTGATCACCGGGAGCACAAGGTGAGGGATATATAGGGAACTCGGAGTGATGTCTTTATGAAGCGACGATAAGCTGTAAATTGTAAATCGAGAAACTACATACCAACCAACATTATTTTTGTTTACTTTTCTTGTGCTGGAGACAAAAGATGTACCCATGACATCACCGTGATGTCCACCCCGCATGCAAGACCCGACGTCATAAGCAAATAGGACCAGGATTTTGTTATCACTGCGAATCAAATACCTTCTTCCCACGATACCAAGTCTGGCAAACTCTCGCCTCAAGCAATTTCTCCGGCGTCCACTGCATATCAACAACCAAGAAATCTGCATATAACCCCTTTTGCAGAGACCCGGTCCAAGAGTCCGCAGACCGTGCATAAGCCGCACCCGTCGTAGCAGCAGTAGCCGCTTCCACCAAACTCAGCCTAAAATCGGGATTAACAGTATCCTCGGTCTCGGCCTGAATAGCCGAGCGCCTCGTGGTAGCATTATACAGGTTCGCGAGAGGAAAGTGCGGAGCAGTAGGAGCGTCGGTGCCAATAGCAATAGGAGCACCGCCGTCCAAAAATTCCTTGTAGGCGAAAGCTCGCTTACAGCGCTCCGGGCCAACAAGACTGGGCCACGCCTTGAAAAGAATAGGATCTGAATGCACAGGCTGGATCGAGGCAGTGATCCCTAGTTGGCCGAGACGCTGGGCGTCTTCTGAGGTTGTCAGCTCGAGGTGTTCGATTCTGTGTCTCCGGCCTGGCGTGCCGACTCTTGATAGTACGTTGATGGCTTGGTGGACTGCTTTATCGCCGATTGCGTGGATTGCGCACTGGAGGCCTGCGGAATCGGCACGTTGGACGACTTCCTGTAGCATATCTTCTGGCCAGATTGGCTCGACTGGATCGGATTTGCCAGTGTATGCTTGCAGGAGAGCGGCAGTGCAACCGTCGACAACGCCATCGCAAATGAGCTTGATTCCGAGGATACAGAAGTCTGGTTGGTCGTACTGGTGGTATAACTCGATTGCGCGATCCACGTATGTGAAATTGGCCTCTTGGTCTTCGGAGAAAGGGACGAGCCAGTGTGCGCCGATATGGAATGGGATGTGATGGTCGCGACGGTAGAGATTCAATATCTCCCAGGTGCCTTCATCCATGGCCATATCTACTAGTCCGGTATATCCGGCGGCAGTGTACGTGCGAACTGCAGTATCCAATGCATTCAGCTTGTCTTCCATGGAGGTAATGCTTTCCATGTAAGGCAATGCGAAGTTCATAACAGCAGATTCGTCAAGTAGGCCTGAAGCTCTCCCATTTTCGTCACGATGGATTTTTCCACCGGGCAGGTCGGGAGCGTTATGGACTTTCATCTCATCGAGGGCAGCTGAGCTGCACCACATTGAGTGGAGGTCGAAGGCGTCGACAAAAATGGGACGTGGGTCGATATCATCTAGCATGCTTGCTAGTGCGACTCCATTGGTAGACGATTGGATCCAGCCCCGGCATAAGATGCGAGGGATGGTGGGGTTGGCCTTAGCGTAGGACTTGATAGTTTCGCGGATTTCCTCGAGGGAGGTGCAGGCGATGAGGTTGGCCTTGCGTAAAGAATGCCCATAGTGTAGAATGTGTACATGGGCGTCGATGAAGCCTGGGATGACAATGCGGTCTTTCAGGTCAATGACAGTTGCATCGTCTGGCATTCTTATCTCATCGAGAGACCCGACGTGAGAGATTCTGTCATTCTGTATGATCATGCCTTGCGCAAACTCGTTGCCATCATTTGGGGAGGATTGCGAGGGCACAAAGATGCGTCCATTTTTGAATATTAACGTCATGGTTCCTTGCTTGACTTTCCAATGTGGGATGCGCGGATGGGAGGTGATTGCGGATGTATATATTGCTCCCCTGCGGAGTAGTTGAGATGTTCTTTCACTCTTAACCCTTCCAATCTTGACTTCTTCATATCTTTCTCTGTAAAGACATTGGAAAAGAATGTGGATTGAACCGGCCAGTTTTGCTCCACTCCTCTTCCAGCCTAATATAGCGAAGTAGCATGGTGCGGGGTTGAGACATGATGAATCCGGCGAATGAATGCTAACAGCAACATAGGTCACTTGTGTCCAACATCTTCCATCAACCAGCCAAGTGGCCGAGCAGTAACTCAGCCATCACATCTTCCTTGGTCTAGTGGTGATGATTTCCGCTTGTCATTAACACCGATAAGCGCGGGAGACCGGGGTTCGATTCCCCGAGGGAGAGATTTCTTTTTGCTTCCTTGCAATATTACAGTTGTTTTTTTTTTTTTTTTTGGCAAATACTATGTTGATCATTGTTTACTGATCAGGCATGCGTTCGATGTCCCCGTGCTGTCTGAAGTAAAATGGTGCGTCAACACCTGCAGAGAGAATGACTTGTGAATGCGCAGCGAAAAAGAAAACATGACAATGTGAAGATATCAAAGTGGGGCTGTTGTTACCCTGAAACGAGAGAATATCTTGACAGTATTGGTAATTTATGTATATGAGGGAGGGTTCTGCAACACTTGCAAGAGATTCAGTACAGGAATTTCTATCACTCGCACTGGGGTCTCTAGGGCTGAGTATCTGTTTGATTGCTCCGAGATTGTGCACTTTTTTATGCATGAATATGCCAACTCCACTCCGCTCGAAGTATCTCTGATGGCCGTCAAACTATGAACGTGGTTGGCCAGATCGTGTTAACCAAAGCAAACGTGTTTTCTCCAAACGGCACAAAGAACAAGGCCTCGATAATACAGAAGCGCCTCTCACAGCCCGATGGAGACTTCAAAGTGATATTTTAGCCGAGAGCCGTCACATTTTGCTACTACCGAGTAACCTGCATGTAAGTACAGAGTGCTTGCTTCCGATTTATGCTTGTTGGAACGATGAAAACACAGCCAACGAGAGTCTCCGTGATGCTATTTCAGGCATATGAGCTCTCATTCCAAAGAGTCAGCGGGTGGTAATTTGACCATATTTATGAACAGAAGATATCGTCAAATCTGGACAGTTCATGGCTATTACGAAAGCCGAGCACAAATACACGTACCCACAAGGACTGAATAAGCCAAAGCAATCAATGCCTGCTTTGTGTGTCTACTGCGGACCGCAATCGGGGCAACAGAAGTTTGCAATATAATGTTTGCCCGATTCGCTGTTAGTAACCTCCCACCGCATCTGTCGCCGATCCTTTACCTAATGTAAATGATGCCGCCCATCTATACTCCGTAGATGAAAGGAGTACGACACTCTTAAGACTTCGTGTTCATGCCTTCCTACATATGCTGATGAGCAGATTGCTTTGTGGGCACTGCATATAACCCTGTTTGTAGGTGTATACGACGTTGTATCCCAAAATCATGCCTCATTGCATCATCCCTCGGATCGCACCGACAGCCCCACGCACAAGACCAGGTGGATATAGGGACTACTTTCCAACCACCAGTCATAAACTGCCCAGAAGAAGGCAGCAGCGATTATTTTTTCGCAAATGAACGCTCTCGCCCCCAGAATATGATGTCATCTGAAAGATGAAGGGCCGCCGAGCCCAATGATCAAGATCTATGTAAAGAAGGCGTGCGTAATGCAGTCTTGGGACTTGGCAAACGGATAGAACTCCGAGTTTGTAATCGACAGCAACGTTCGACTGCAGAAAACATCCGAGATGTAATTATATCCGGAGGACAAAGGAGAAAAAAAAGACACGACTTTCGTTTCTGGGAGCCTTGCCCTAGGATCACCGTTAATTTGGCCGAAGCAGCGCGTGGGACCTGAACAGTCCCGATCGCTAGTGTATCGGGGCCAAGGTTCGCATGACGAAAGATCGTGGGGGCCCTTTCGCGATTCGATCGACAGCTTTGGGGGCGATACGACAGCTATTGGCCCTGGACAGTGGACCGGGGACAAAGTGAGTGGCATCGTTTGGGCCGCGCAGCCCGAGAGCCTCACGGCCTTGCGACATTTTACTTGGTTTTATTATCTTTTATTCTTTTTCTTTGACCAATGCACCTGGCGTATTTAAGAGTAGCGCCCCCAGATATTATTCGTTTCTCATCTTCTTCTTTGTCTGCAATACCCCGGATACATCCATACCCACCTCTCTACATCTAATCATCTCCATCTGATATCTCAGATCTATCCACCATCAAAATGCAGTACAAGTCTCTCGCCACTCTCCTCTTTGCCAGCATGGCACTGGCTGCACCAGCCGACAAGGATAATCTAGCCGAGGACCTGAACACCGAGTACGAATTCCCTCCCTCCATTATCGCGGTTATCGCAACAGGCGTCCCAACCTCATTCTGGGCCGAAGTCACGAACACCGCCGACTTCCTCTCTCAGGTTGAGCAAGGCATCGTTTCCGATAACTGGCCGACCTGGTACAGCAGTTTCCCCGACAGTGTGAAGGAGTATGTCACCACCGCCGTTGAGGACTACTATCCTTCCTGGGCATCGTCCATCTCAGACGAGATGACCAGCTCTGGTATGAGTGACAGCATTAGCCCCACTACTGCCGAGGCTACTCCCACTGGAAGCTCAAGCTGGGGCATGTCAAGTTCTGGAGCCTCATCTACCAGCGAATCTTCTTCTACTATGACGGATTCTTCTTCCTCTGCTTCTGCCTCTGATTCTGCCTCCACCTCTGCTACCGGGTCTGATGCTGCTTCGTCTTCAGCTTCCGCTTCAGAGTCTGGCGCTGCCAGCTCCTCTACTGTTGATGCTGGTGCTGCCCCTACTGGTGTTGCTATGAGTCTCGCTGGTGCTGTGGGTGTGCTGGGTCTTGCCCTCGCTCTGTGAGGATCTTGAGCCTTACTAGTTATGTAATTTGGGGCAATCGCGATGGATTTATGATTTGTATTTTTGTATTTAATCGCTCTATAATGACATGTCGTTCATGTGTTTAAGTAATTACTGAGCCCCGATCGTCAGATGCATTTAATCATGTCAATATGAACGAGTTAGATTGACTTTGTTAGTCTCAAAGTAGAGTTATATTCCACTATGTATGTATACCGACCTTCATGTTAAGAACTTGTCAGAGTCTACTGAGAGAGACGTCGAGATGCATCATGAAGATGGTTGATTGAAGTAGAAGACTAGCTGAGCTATGGAAGGAGGGAGAGATCTAACAGAACTGTACCTAAATCTCCCCAGCTTGAGCCTTCACGGTAAGCCTATCTCAGCGGCCAGAGCCGTCCCCGGCTTTCGTCTGGCATCAGCCGCCAAGCCTACAGCCTGTACGGAGTTCATATTCCGTGTGCCGTTTGATACTATAAAAACAGCGCTCCGTTGCCAAGCGATAGAGAGGTAGATTTTGATTCAGGCTGCAGTTACGGTGTGCTACCATCAGAACCTTGGCCCTTGGCCCTTGATGCAGTGGAAGGGGATATAATCGAGTTCTCATCTCGTAGGAAAGAAACGAGGCTGGTATTCAGGGACTTAAATCTGGGCTGCATCCCCAGATATTGTACAGATTAGATTATTATGCAATCTTCCAAATCTCAATACTAAAATCTTCATGTTATACCTGTCACGACTCATCATCAGATCAAAAAGTGGGACCGTCTCCCTTTCATGCTACAAAACCACCATGTTAAATCAACACACCATTGTGAGCGAGGCTAGAGGGAAGGGCGAGTCTTACTACGAAGGAAGCATATACATGAGACCAATCTCCACCACACGTCATAAGAAGTTAAGTAGTTCTGAGGCCTTAGACAAGAACGGCCAGAACGACAGAATTCAATATAGGTAGGAGCCTTTGATGCGGCACACTCATCTTAGAACTCTAAACTCCATAGCATTTGATACACTTGTAAGCGTGTTGAGGTAATGGCATATAAATTTGTTTCCCTTCACTTGAAATGCCACGAATCGCACAGGAAAAAATAGCATCTTCCGACAAAGACTTCAATCTTCCTTGTTCACAAACACCTCTGAGGTCTTAAATGGGCTTGGGTCTCTCTCTTCTCCCTTGGACAGGCCTTTGTCACTGTATCCGTCATTCGCCTTCAATGGTATAGCCGATACACTGTATTCTCGAAATTCGAGGAACCCGGTGGCCTAAACGCAAAGATCTTCAGCTAAGGACTGGCCGATGAGGAGAGAATGGAGTGAGTGAGGCTGAGAAATCTCGTACCCGAGATTTGACTTTTCGAGCAGGCTTCTTGAATGCAGCTGGCTCAAAGTCACCAGATTTCATATCGTTCAAGTTGAACCTTTGGAGGACACCAGTCTGGGTACGAGCAACGCCAAACTCCGCTGCGTACAGTTGCTCTTGTTTCTCCCAAGGCGTGCCTGCTTGAATTAGGGCCTTGATAAAAGATGGGCCTTCAGAGATCTCTCGCGCGGAGTATATCGGCTGTCGAACTTTGCGAGAGGAGGTTTTGGGCTCAGTACCAGCGATAGCGATACGGGAATTGGCGCCATGGTTCTTTGTTGGGGATTGGGTCCGAGAAATAAAGCTTTCCTCGCTGGTGATTGGACTTTTGCTGTTAGAACTGCCTGTCTCGGTTGGAGACCCAGCACGGACATCCACGCTTGCCTCACTGCTCTCACCAATGTGAGTTGATATATTAAAACCAGTCAAACTGTATTTCGGTTGGTAAGAACTGCTGGCGAACGGAAAATCTATTTCACAGGCAAAATCCTCCTCGTGGGAAGTCGGGCGACCAGGTTGGGTGCCCAGGTGGATAGGAAATAGTATCCCAGCTCGAATCTTCTGAGGAGCATACGAGGCTCCGTGATGAAAAGCTAGAGTCTGATCTGAAACATCGGACCCAGTTGAGGGATCAGTCAGGTCCGATACAAAGTCATCAGATAAGTCTGTGTCGGCTGCGTTGTATTAGTACTATAGTAGTCGCCGTGAAGAGATCGCAGACCCACAATGCAGGACAATATTTTGAGCCTCGATGTTTTGTTCTTTGATAGGTTCGGGAGTTTCATCTATCCTCTGTGGTTCGGATGAAGAAGACTGCATCATGCGCTGAGGATAGCCAAGTGAAATGAAGTGGTAATTTTCCGCAGAGATGGCGACCACCTTCCCCTGGATGTGGCACTTATAGAAGCCGTGATCCTGGTGCCAAGTCATGGGGTTGGAAAGTAAATCAGTCCAACTTATCGGGGCTGACGAGGGCGGAGGCAGGGGGAGGTGAGCCTGGAAAGCTCCACAACCAGGGATCCTCTCTCTTTGGGATTCAACTGGATATTTGGAGGTTCAAGGTCGATCAAACAGTGAGGGGGGGCCGCCGAAGAATTTGACAAGTGCCGTTTCAACATCGCTGCCAGAGCCTAGTGTCGGAGACTCATTTCCTTCGATAATAGCCTTGGGTGATTGGACTCGGTCATTGTCTTCATGTTGAGTTTCGTCGACATCAACATCGTCTTTTGCCATCGCGGATGCAGAAACGAGACCAAGAGCGCGCTGTGTGATCGGGGATCACTGCGTTCGTGTAAAAGTTGAAAACACAAAAGGTGATACTGATGTGATAGAAGAAGGTTTAGGGGAGACATGAGAGTTGAAGGGACACCGTTGGGAGCCGTGCCTTCCACTTTCAGAGAAACAAGAACTTCCCAATTGGGAAAGAACTCACACTACCTACATGTAGTGGACATATATGTGTCTGACTACAAAAATGATGCTGAAAGAGGAATGATCTGTAATTGCAATCATATCTAGCCCTTGGCTAAGTGAGAGATATCAAAGTACAAATCGAGAGCAAACCAAACAATGGAGACAAGATGTGACAAACGATCAGCTTGCCATAATGCCTCGTTCACACTCAAGACAGCTATTTTTCTACCTATTGTCTTCATTTATGAAACCAATGATCTAAAGCAAAATCCAGTCGGAGTGCATATGGTGGAGCGTGACGCACTTCGAGTGTCGGCTGTCCCAAAGAAGGCAATGGGCCGCATAAGGGCTGATGTTTGATCATATATGCCACTATCCCCACACCGTTAAAGGTCAAAGAGATGAAGCTTGATGGGCTTCATCTGACCGGTTGAGCCACTGTGGTTGATAGGTACCTATATTAGATGGAATAAGACACTTCCCGTTTAGAAAAGACGAGATCTTTGAAACCCGCGAAAATTCAAATGATAATGATAAGTTGTTAAATGGAAAGACGGTCCTTTTGACCGGTAAAGACACAGCCTGGCGCAACCCCTCAATAAATGCAAATGAAATCCCTATATCTTGATTCATCCATTCACCAGCCACGATGCTGTCCCTTTCTGCTCAAATTTCCTCCCAATGCTGATCCCCTCGCATAGATCCATATGCTCATCAACTCATCAGATCCCGGCTCTGTCGAGCAAAGCGTCCGTTTCGACACCAGCAAGATTAATTCGACTAAGAATAGTTATTAGTAACCGTTCTGTAGGCAGTATTGAGCAGGGATAAGAGTACAATCTACTTTTGCTGTCTGGACTCTCGCAGAATCTTCATTAGCGACCATGTGCCTTTGATCCCGAATCTCTTGAACAGAGCACCCGCAGACCTAGGAACTCCGAACCTATGGTGGTACTCTGTTTCGACTTCGGCAGCGGTGGATCCTTTACTGATCAGAGACTTCACAAATGCGGGCCCTTCGTTTTCCTCAACTTGAGAGTACTTTCCGACTGGCTGTCGCCTCTGCTCAGAGTCAGAGCGGTTTGTAGGCGAAACTTCTTGGCTGCTCCTTTGGTGCTGAGCTGACCCCGGGGATCCAGTGCTGTCGGCGTATTCTTCAGTAAAACCCGACAAGCTGGGTGTCTTGTTTTCTTCTATTCTCCAGGGAATGTCGGATCCAAATGACTCAGTGTCGATGTCACTATTTAAGCGTAGATCTTGGTTAGGGGCCGGGACACTGGGCAAGGGCATCGGAGGCCTTGATTCAGGTAGCCCTGCATTGTCATAGGACGCCCGATCGGCGATTGGAAGAGAAGTCTCGTATCTAGCCTTTTTGGCTTTGTCGCTTCCCGCGTCTGATGTCTCCCGGGGGAAGCAGAGTCATCGCGAAGGCGTTTTTGACCGCTAGCGGTAGAAAGCGCAGCATTGGTGTCAAAGCCCCGGCTCACGACCACAGGGTTGTTGATGGTGGCAGTGGGCTCGCTCCAAGCCCTCTCATTATTGCCATTTTGTGCGCACGCTGAGCTGTTGTCGGCTCGCAAGCGGCGGTTTTCAACCGAACCATCACCATCCTTCTTGCTGTTCTCCAAGCCATTCTCGAAAGCCTTGGAGATCTCCCATCGAGACAATTCCGTTGCATTTCGCTTTGCATCTCGCTTTGCATCCTCTGGCAGATCATCATCACCGCCACTTTGCGAATCGGAGATAGACTTGCTTGAATGATGTGAGATCCTTGATCGATCCGAACTTCTGTCCAGCGTTTGTGGAGACCGAAATTTTGGTCGTACCGCAATTGTGGGTACTAGTCCTATCTTCTGTCTAATAGGATTCGACCTGGGAGCACTTCCGGTGGACGATTTACTCAGATGCCGAATACTGTCACGTACTGTGGTGGCAACTGTTCCGACAACACATTAGCTTTAACGATATCAAAGAGCAGGAGTGGACGAGCCTACATTTCACAAGGGTATTGTGTGTTTCATGTAGATATTCCCCGAGCTTATAGCGAATCCGCTCCTCCTTCTGCTCGTCGGACAAGTTTTGCAGCGGCTGCACTCGAGGCTCCGTGACACCAGTGATAAGTTGAATGTAATTCGCCTTGGTGATCTCGATAAGCTTTCCCCGAACACGACACCGGTACATGCCATTTGCCCGGAGCTGGAAGTCACGGGGACTCAGCAACTCCCGAAGGACATCACTCCATTCGATGGGTGTTTGTATATTCTTTTCGACCATGCGTGGGCGCGGTTCGCCGAACATTAAAACCGCTGTTCGTTCCATCTCGGCTTGGAGGATAGAGTCCCAGAATGTGGGAACCAAAGGGCGTCCCCTGGCAATGATGTCGGCGTACGAGGTGAACTTCCGATAAGTTTCGTCAAGGTCTTTCTGTATTGCGGGATATGGACTGAGCTGTGTGTCGAATTGGAGAGAACGGGTGTTTGAGACAATCGCTGGGCGAGGTCTGGACCCCGGAGCCCGGGGTAAGAAACGACGATCGTTCATGGTGTAGGTAGTAAAGGCCTCTCTGGAAACACGAAAAACCGTTGGTTTCGAGTCTGATTTATTGAAACGTCTTTAGGCGCGACCTCGTCGGGAATTGAAGTGGGCGGGTGGATGCAGAGCTGGGAGGATCAAGACATTCCGTTTGCTTGAATCAAAGCCCTACGGCGTCATGAGGTTGTCGCGTTTGCTCTCACTTCCACGTAGACAGTCCCCAGCGGAAGGACCAAACGCGTTCAAGCAAATGAGAGCACTGTAACAGGTTACACGAAATACATACCTAGGCAGGTATCTACTCTGTTCCATTCAATTTGTTTTCAGTATATATGCTCCTATACGCTCCTCTACACGGCTGCTTTAGCTTTAAGTTGGCAGTTTCTATTGTAGATGAAACAAAACGCAACATCCCAACTACCCACTGGGATCATCATTTTTAACTTCCGCCTCGTCAGGCTCTTCATCCTCCTCAGTATCGTAATCTGGATCATCATGGAGTATTCGCTCCCAGGTGACATTCGAAGCTGTCTTCCACTCCACCTCCTGGAAGTTACATGGCCAGCCATGCTACTCCTGTAGAGTCTGTTTTATCTATCGCTGAGATGATAAGAAGGTAGTTCATAGTTATTTGATGCCGCTAAAAAATAGGTTGATAACTATCACGAATTAAGGACATATACATATGAGACAAGTATTATGAAGTGGATGACATGAAGAGAGTGTGTTGACCAGTGGCAAGAAGGAATCTGCAGTAAGAAAGATACTCATGTGACATTTCTGCTCAATCAGAAAGCTGTTCTGTTCTGATAACAGAGATTAGTAGAGAGTTTGCGGTCATGCTTTCAGATGATGAGAAATACCGTCAGCAAGCTTCTTCGACGTTGTCCAGGTTAGATTGGAGTTACGCAGTGGAAAGAGAAACCTCCATAATTGGAGAAACAGGTCCATTAGTCAATGTTTGGAAGGCCGCTCTTCCTGGGAGTTGTGGCAGATGTCTGAGAAGGCCAATTCAGAGTGGCTGGGACAGAAGGGCTTCGGTTATCCGTTCCATAAGGGGATACATAGGGCGGCGGGGTAGCAAGGGACGGGCTAGGAGGTGGTGGTGCTGCTGCTGATGGTGCCTGGGTGGTTGAGGGTTCCTGACTTGACTAAGAGGAATTGTCATTCACAGGAGCCATATGAAGATGTGACAGATTCCGTACTTTCAATACCACAATTTTGCTCATGTTTGGTTCCTGAGAGGCCTTTTCATCCATTCGATCGACCCAAAGCTTGATAGTGAGATAACGGTGGAAGACACCAAATGTTTCAACGTAGGCTTTCTCGACTTCAACCGAGGATTTCCCTGCGGCTACCTGGCTCTTGAACCAGCCTGGAGCGTGCTCCCTCTCGTATTCAGTGAAGTTTTTTCGTATTCTCTTTTTTCCTTTGCCTCCCTTTCCTGCATTCGAGGACGGCGGTGGTGGCTTGTTGGGCGTATCGAGCTTTTCCTTCCACATTGCTAGTTCTTCACCAAGTTCAATTGTTGCGATATCTGCTGATGAGCGAGCAGTGTCGGTCTTTTGCTTTTTCGGAGGCGGTTCCATCAGGCCCCGAGGGTCAAGCATCTGGTGTTTTCCTGATCCGTCCCCTTGCGTTCGCTGAGAGTTTGGTGTATTATCGCGGGTCTGGTTGGTTGAAATGATCGGGGTCGATTGACGGCTGTCATCACCATGGACGTGGATGAACTCGAAGGTTTTGTTGCCGACATGCGCAGGTACTGGCACCCCCTTCCCCTGATCATATACTGTCTGGTTGCTTTGCGTGGCCGAATTTGAAGGTTCTTGTTGACTTGACTGTTTGACTGCATCCCCACCACTGCCTAATGAAGTTGGATTCGAGTCGTCGCGGGGGCCGGCAAAGGGTATATCAGATCCGCTTGAGACACCCGAGCTTGCCGATGTGCTTCGTGGACGGATATCGTCAGTCTTAATTGAAAACTTCGGCTGAGGAATGCCTAATCCGGGTATTTGCAGTGTTTGCGATCTTTTGGCCGGATCTCGAATGGCTTCCAGCTTGATTCGACGTCTTCTCAGCGACAGCTGAAGTCGCTTCAGTCTCTCCACATCTGTTCAAGTCAGCATGTCTCACAACCAGGCTGGACCTTCTCAGAAAACCTGGGAAATACGGACATTTTATCTGCTTATTCAGTTCTTCGATAACATCTGCCTCTACTGCCAGGGTGACTTCTGACTCTCTTTCAACATCGGCATGGCTTGGCCACATGTACGAATTTGCAGGAAGAAAACATCGGTTGACAAGAATATTTTTGTGAAGTGCCTCGTCAATCTGGACCAATTTTCCCTGATCGTAACAGTGATAGGAGCCATTCTCTTGCTTTTCGAACTTGCCGTGCCGGAAGATGTTGACCCAGCTAACTGAGGGATGAGTCTGGCTTCTGGGTGATTCAGAGTCCGATGAAGACGAAGGACGGATGCCCAAAGTTTCCCTCAGACGTGCCTCGAGAGTATAACTTTCGAGGGGCTCATCCGAGCAATACTGGGTCAAAGTCTCGTTGTTGTCAAGGACAACCTGATAAGACCGTGTCAATGCAAAGCCATCGTGTGGCAGGGACTCAAAATTTGCCAGCTGGGATCGGACACCCTCTCGATAAGTTTCCCACTGAATCGAGTTATTGGGAGCACCCTCCATCTTCTGATCCTAAACACAATGTTAGTCTAAAGTGAGCATCGGCTAGTCATTTGTCACATACAACAGTGTAAAAATCCTCGTTTGTCAAGGTCTCTGGGTTTGCAACGTGAATTGGAAAGTTGAAAGTTGGAGAAGTGAAAGATTGGATCAACCGATGAGCAAACGTGGAAGAGTTTTCTCCTAGTCTCGTCCAAACCCCCTGTCGCAGAAGATCTAGGTGCTTTCGTAGATGGTTTGTCTCGCAGAAGCAGTTTCAAGATTGGTCACAATCGTAACAAAAACTCGTAACGAAATGGTACCGTAATAAAAGGTACAGCCTATTTATGTATTTTTGAACACTTAACGCTCCTTGTACCTAGAGGCTAGGTAGGTCCATAATCTCGGCAGATCACTTCATGTGCATTAACCAGGACCTAAGAGACTTTTTTAATAGCCTATATGTAGGTATTCAAAGAGGGTTAAAACGATAGCTTGGGTTAATCAGGGGCGAAGCAGGAAGGGAAAAAAATTGCGACGTGCTTGCGGGATTCCGACAGTATTAAAAACCTCGCAAGCGAGGCCCACCTTTTGTCATTCGGGGGACCAGGGGTTCTAAATCCGCTGCAACAAGTTATTATATCACTAACATGGTCGCTCGTGGAGATTGACGGCGTTAAACTCACACCAATAATCATCACTCTAGTAGTTATAGGCACCAATGGTCATCATTTGCAACTTGTACTTACGTATCCCTTAAGTCCAATTGGAAGCGCTTTCGCCATGATCTATCCACTCCTCGATTGATCTTATCAGTACTCCGTACTCCGTATTGCAATCCTGGTCTCGACTCCGTATGATTACCTAGGTAGTGTGCTCATGTATTACCTATCTTCATACTAAAGACTAAGAGAACGCCAGATTACAAGGTTTTCCGGTCTCATCGTGGATGTGTTTTTGGATGCAACGCAAACAGAGGGAAAGCAAAATTACAGACTGACACCACCCCAAGTCCCAAACGTAAGATAGTGAACACGAGTACCCTCGAGTATGGAGTACATATTTGACACATCCCAAAACGGGGCAACTTCCCGCCCATGTTATAATATATTAATGTTTGTGACTTTCCTTGCCTACATTTATCTTCTGCGGATCCTTCCAAGTTTTTGAAACTGCTCGATTTGCCCCTTTTCATCAATGTTTTTAGTCCACATAACCCCTATTAGGGTATATCTCGGTGATTGCCACATTATAACCTTGATGGGATTTTCCTGGCTACTTTTTTGTATAACATCGTACTATGGCATCTGAACATGACACTATGGGTCTTATTGCATATTTGCTTGCCCTTCACAAAATGTCCAAGTACAATGTATATACTTCGCAAAGCGTCCTAAATAATTTTTATGCAAAGATATAAATGGTAGGTATTGTGGTCTTATCTTATAGAAAAGTGAACCTGTCACTTTCTCATCATCTATATAAACTTTAACGCGGAGCAAAAGAAAGAAGCAGTGGCCCAAAAATCCAGAACCTAACTCTATTGTACAATCTAGGTCACAGAGACTGCATATGTACTCCGTATACGGAGTACGACAGCCCTTATAAGGACCCGACCTAAAAGTGGAGCCGAGATAAACAGCCACGTGATCACAAAAAAACCATCGAAGGCGAAAAGCCTCAAACAAAACCCCTCCAATTGCCCGCAACAGCCATACAAGCGCCGCTCGCCAAATCCAAACATGTGGATTAACTGCGGGAAACTATCCGACTTCACCCAGGCGCGATACGTCGTCCGGCTGACCACAGGCAAGAAAGTGGTGTTGTTCCGTCTCCCGACGATCGACAACTCTAGTTTGAAATCAAATGAGACCAATGACGGCTGGTCTTACTACGCCATGGAGGCGGAATGTCCCCACGCCGGTGGTCCGATGGCAGACTCCTCAGTTGACATTGAAGACTCCGCGTACGTTGTGTCGTGTCCCTGGCACGCGTATGATTTCAATGTAGAGACTGGCGAGTCCAGCGTTGGTATCAAGGCCTGCACGTTCCCAGTGGATGTGCGTGGCGAGTTCGTCGCTATGGATTTCCCCGAGGAGGGCGAGGTCGCAGTTGCTAGTGTCGACCCTGTCAGTGAGAAAGTCAAGCTGAAGCACCCGCGGCCTTCGGAGAAAGCTGTTGCTACGGCTCCTGTCAGTAAAGAGGACCCGGGCATGGCGACGTATCTCGGCGATGACGCGACGTTGTGTGATTGGGCGGCCCATATTCTGAATACTGCTAATCCAGAGCACAAGATCGAGCTGACGACACATCTTTTCTCTATTTTCGCTGATAGAGAGGCTTCTGACTCTCCCATGCCGCTCGGCAGAGGCACAGTCTTGCCGCCTGACCAGCCTCCACGTGAGAACATGGAAATTGTTGGACCGGGTCAGATGCCGAAAGCAGGACGCGGAGGGACTTTGAAGAGCCGGGTCGCTATGCTTCATGCGCTGGCAAATATTGAATTGTGGGCCATCGACTTGGCTATTGATATCTGTATCCGATTCGCGACGTTCCAAACAGAAGGTACGGCGCAGGAACTTCCTCGTGCATTCTTCCATGATTGGTTGAAGGTTGCTAGCGATGAGGCAAAGCACTTCTCTCTGCTGCGCACTAGACTCGAGGAGCTGGGATCTGCGTTTGGCTCGCTGCCCGTACATCACAGTCTGTGGCTATCGGCGACCGAAACGGCGTATGACCTGCGAGCAAGAATTAGTATTATCGCCCTGGTGCACGAAGCCCGAGGCCTGGATGTCAACCCCATGACGATTGAGAAGTTCCGCAAAGCTGGCGATGCCGAGAGCGTGGTGTCCTTGGAGGTCATTCACAACGACGAGATCACACATGTCACTACTGGACACCGGTGGTTAACGTGGATCTGTGCCCAAGAAGGGACTGATCCCGTTCAGGTCTTCCGGTCGAATGTGCAAAAGCATTTCAGGGGTCCGATCCGCGGACCATTCAACGAAGAAGCGCGTTTGCAAGCTGGAATGGACAAACGCTATTACGAAAGTACTCCTGACGCGATTGCGGCCTCATGAGGCGCAGCGATGAACAAGAAAGGACCAAAAAAGCTTTACGTTGAAACATGATGTCACGAGGTTAATCGGCGCTTCGATGTTTTGCCATGCTAGTGTGTTTGTTTTTGATATCCCCATTTTGAACTAGCAGAATGTACATAGCACGAAAGAAAGCATTTCATATTCATTATTCGCTGAAATCGCTATTATCAAGTAAATATTAGAGGATCCGAATCGACTCCTGGGCTTCGTTCATATACATAGAGGGATAAAAAAGGCACCGAATCATTCCAAGCGACCGTGGGGAAATCTATATGTACTCGGCCTTCAGCTGGACCTTGGAGCAGCTGGAGGGAATCTTAGGCTCATAGTAGCGGTATAAGTAGAACAACTGGGGCGCGTTGTGATACCAGTCGCAAACTAAGTTGAACATGTTAGCCCCATGCAAGGGAGATGCAAAAAGAATGCGGGGTTTCTTACTGAGCCAGCCCCCGAACCCGCTGTCTTCCGACCACTGGAATTCGTTGTCTTTGACGGAGAACCCGTCGCTGCCGGCACCGGCGTTGATAGTGATAGGTTGCCAAGCTACAAATGGAAATGTTCAATTAGTTTCTTCTGATATCGCGACTGTTCAAGGGATGCGGCGATACTCACAAGCATAGTTGGTATTACCTGTGGCTACCACTCCCCAAGACAAGTCGCTCTTCAAGTCGAATTTCGCCTTTGTGCCATTCAGATAGACGGAGCTGGCTTTGTTGGCGTCCGTGGTGAGGACGGCGTCATTGAGGCCCGCGCCCGTGTGGTAGGCGTAGACATATAGGCCGTTATGTTCGGCGTTGGTGGCACCGGTAGATTTGAGGTGGAAGTGCTTCGACTCTTGGGTATTGGCCACAGGAGCAGCGATGGCAGTTGTAGCCAGCAGGAGGAGGGATGTGAGGAACTTCATTTTGGGATGTGATGTGAAGGGTTGATGAGAGAAAATGAGAGCGAAGTGTTGGAATTTAAAGGTTGAAAGTTGGAGGCTGGGGCAGGAGAGGTTGAGAATTGAAAAAGGAAAATCAAGTCGATCGTCAGGAGGGGATTTATGTGCACGGCTTCTTTTCGACGGATTTCTACCGAGTGGAGATCCAGCACATCATGCTATTCTTTTAGAACTGAATATCTCTGATCGTATATTAATTGCAAGCTACCGTTCTTGATGGTTGCCTACTCCTCAAGCCGCCACAACGGGAGATGGACATTCACTGAGCCATGTAAAACATCGTGATGATGTCGACTGAACATGCTCAAACCGGGTCCCAGCGTGTGGAGGCGAAGATCATACCGAATCAAGGCCTAGTGGCCCCGGGTCGCGAGGAACTACGAACTAGAGAATTGGCGGGGTCCGAGACATTTTTCTTTTTGGGCATCGATGATCATCGGGGCATTCTTGATCATTCAGCGATCCAGAGGTGACCTTTTCTCTCCAAATCTCACAGAGATTGCGCCTCTGTCGAACACCGATGATGTCATATCTTATATCGTATATATGTTATCAGTGTCATCGGTGTGAAAAACACAGCAAATTACCAGGCCACAACAAAAACCGAGGTCCCTGTTTATAGCCTAGGGTGCTTATACGGAGTACTGCGCTGACAATCGAAGATAGTGCCCAACATAGGTATTTCATACATGCATACGGTGTACCCCGTACATCCTCCATCTTATGTTTTCTGTCCCAGCCTAAGGCCTTTTCGGACAATTAAAAAGGCTGCATTTCGTATGCTAGTGATTCTTGCAGACGGATCAGTCTTTCTTGATGTGTTACATGCCCAATATTATGCCCTCTCCACGCGAGATCATGATGTGCAGAACTAGAGCAATTGCAACCAAGGTCGAGTCGAACAGCCAAGAACCCTTCCGACACCTTTCGAACAACCTCAATGTCAATCAATTTGCTACATGATACAGTTCTTGATTGGTCCCCACGTGTACCGAGTTGGAAATCTTTGATTGATCGATGTGGCCTAAGTGGGTGGTGGTTGGTGCCCCTTGAAATATGCCTCCCAGCTAAGAGGCTTTGATGGATCAGAAACAAAGAGCTATACAGGCCAATATCCCAGCCATTCTATATGTTGTATTTGCCCCAACCTCCATTCTCGCCTTTCTCCAGTCCCTTCGATGCTCACCTAAGACCCTCGGCAAGGCAACTTTGGAAGGCATCACTTCGATACTCTCCCCCCTTCTTGACCCTTATTGTGTTTCGCATGGATCTTTCTGGCATATTTTTTACACTGGTGAAGTTGGGTTTTTAACAAGACATGTCGCAAGCACGTCCTTGGCATCCCATTTGCGTCATCGCTCCTCAGATCAGAGTTATCATAATACTGGGTCGCAGCAACTCCACCATGCACAGCCAACCCCACAAATATCTGAGCCCTGGGAGATCATCGTTGAGTGACATCAGATGGTGGAAGCAGACTCATGGCACCGCAAAAGTTATGACTGAAACAATTCGATGAGAAGCAACAGCTTCCAGGGGCAGACCAGAGCGCTTGAGATCGATATCCGGCCCCACAAAAGCAGACGCCTCGACGCAAGGTTCGTTCGCAGTTCACCCGCCCCCGTCTGCCTGGCACCACGGTGTATGTTGTAGGTTTGGATAAAACACACGATACCGGCTGATCGCCCGGATCTCAAAATGTTGCCATGTTCCGTTCTGACACCACACGGGGCAATGTGCAAACATGTTCCTAAATATTGTGACTTAGCTCCTGGTGACATGCAATTAGCTAGCCGATATCCTCCCGCTATACCGGTCGCGACGATATGATCTGGGAGCATTCGGTCGATGGCCTCACCAGTTGTACCACTCATCTAGGGCGGTCGGGCCCATCCTGAACATCCATGATGAAAGCGAAGAATGTTACAACGATCGGATCTATGCCACTGCGCCGTACTGGGGCGGGCAAGTGAACGTGCCTGGTGTGATGCTGCTCAATACAAAAGGTAATCTCGTCTGGCACAGCACTGGATATGGCACAGCAGGCATACAATCACATCTAGGAGAAGACTACATTGTCTCTCTTGCTAAGACTCGAGTTATTATGCATTAGTAAGTTCTGGAGTGACATCACACTGGGAACCGTCCTGATGTTGCCTCAGATAAACTCCTGCTACGAGGAAGTGTACCAAATCCTTCCTGGAAACGGGTGGCAGCTTGATGCACATGAGTTGACTCTGAGCCCCTTGGGGACAGCGCTGCTGGTTATCAATGGCGTCGTCCCTGTGAACCAAACGGCTTTCCAAGCACCACACGAGGTCGAATTCATCCTCGATGCAGGGTTCCAGGAGATAGACATTAAAACCGGAGATGTATTGTTTGAATGGCGGGCTTCAAATCATTATAGCTCTGAAGAGTACTATTATTTCCGGCCGGGCGATGGCAGAAGCGAGAAAACCGCGCCGGATCTGTTCCATATAAATCGTATTGAAAAAGACGATCTCGGCAACTATCTCATCTCGTGTCGAATGATGAGCTCTGTCGCATACGTGGATGGTCGGACAGGAGCTGTGATCTGGAAACTTGGAGGAAAAGCGAATATGCTCAAAGATCTATCAGGCGGCACAGCGACCAACTTCAATGGACAGCATCATCCCCGATTTCATGATAACGGCCGAATCGTTTCCTTCTTCGACAACGGGAATTGCCCTGGTCGCCCTGCGACGGGTCCGACTCGAGGTCTGGCGGCTATCTTAGACACAGAGAAGACGACAGTGAGATTGTAGCATGAATACATCAGTCCAAACAGTGTCTTAACAGATAGCAGCGGGTCAATGCAGATCTTGGAAACCGGCAATGTGGTTCTCGGGTTTGGTCCCAACGCGAACTGGGCCGAATATGCCTCAAACGGATCTCTCTGCAATTTTCATATGGGGCCCGAGACATTCTTCAACAGTGGGGAAATTCGATCCTACCGGATCTCGAAGAGTCCCTGGGTGGGTCGTCAGAAAATGCCCGACATTGCCGGGGATAAGGGTCGCGTTTACGTCAGTTGGAATGGGGCCACCGAAGTGTCTATGTGGGCTTTGAATGGCGTCGACACTGAGCAGGTCGGGGGAGAATCAGTCCTCCTAGGGAAATTCCCCAAAGACTGCTTTGGAATTGGAATTCCCCTTCCCGAACATCCTACAAGTCGATATTTATTTGTCGATGCCCTGGACCAGGTGTCCTCGGGACAACCTTTACAGTACAGTGGTCTCCCACGCCAAGACAGGTTCTATACCAGAGTCTTTAAAGCCTCGAAGATGGAAAAAAAAGAAAATCAAGCCCATGTATCAAACGGGGACGGTGTTTTATTGTCCGGTCAACTAGAACAAAGTTGTCTCATTGTCGAAAGCCGTCGCGTTAATTGTAGTTTGTTGGCCCGCGAAGATGGACCGATTTTGAGGCTGCGAAGTCTTCCTTCATAACGCATTTCCATTTCTAAACACTAGTCAACTGCAAATTACTCCGTTGATCGGGGGTTGCAAAGCGTTGGGGTTGTGGATGTTCAGGGGAAACCATTTCCGGTAATTCCCCTGAACGGAAATTTGACTGGAATGCGATCGCAGCAAGCCCTGAGAACACCTTCAACGACCTTCGGATGGCGATGGATAGATTGAGGTCTATTTGAACATGCTGGAGCATCGACAACGTAGAGCCCAAAATAGAAACCAGTTCGGATTGTTCACATAGCTTGTCGGACCCTGGACCCACAGCAGCTCTCGGGAAATCTCTTCCCCCTGACGCGATGTCTTTAATAGGGGACTGTCCAAGCTATCGCTTGGCATTTATTATCTTTATAAGCCTCCCGGAAATCCCGGAAATTATCTTAAAGCGTTACTGTATACGAGAGCGCCCTAGATCCCCCCGGGTTAGTGGTTTTGGATTGTATCTGATCGAACCGAATTGACCCAATCCAGGCTCAATTCTATTAAAGCATCATGGATCCCTCTACATACACAGATCCTCAGCTCACTTACCAGGATCGATTGGTGATCGATGCCATTGTTGACCAGCCAAGCTCCAGCCCAGATGGTAATTCCCCTGCATTGTCGATCAAACACCGAACTAACCAATTTGCAGACAAGTCAAATGCACCATCGGAGAAGCTGAGTACGGAAGAGACCATCCAAAAACTTCACAATCTCAACGATCCTTCTCATGTGGAATTTGATCCCACGGTGTCTCAATTCTGGGATACCCCGCTGTTGCGGGCCAAGTTACCGGCGTCTGTCCAGAAATACGTGCTCACGCCATACATCAACTGGGCCAAAGGCATCGTGCGCCACGAAACTGACGTGGTCATGGTAACACATCTGATTCTATACTTCACGACTATTGTGCCCAGTGCTGCATTCTTATATTACCGTTTCTCGTACCTCCATGGTGCCCTGCATTGGCTCATGCAGGGGTTCTATTGCGGCGCTTTCACCTTGATGAAACATCAACACATCCACATGAATGGAGTCCTGACGTCAAAATTATATCTTTTCGACACCTTGTTCCCATACCTGTTGGATCCCCTGCATGGACACACCTGGAACTCTTACTTCTACCACCACATCAAGCACCATCATGTCGAGGGGAACGGCGGAGATGATCTGAGCACGACGATGTTCTACGACCGTGATAGCATCCCCGACTTCCTCACTTATGTCGGTCGCTTCATCTTCTTCATTTGGATCGAGCTCCCATTGTACTTTTGGAGGAAGGGGCAGTTCAAGTACGCACTCCGATGTGCCTTTTGGGAGGTCGGCAACTATGTTGCCATCTATATGCTCTACAACTACGTTAACGCCCGCGCTACCACATTCGTGCTCATTCTTCCTCTCACTGTCATGCGCTTGGGCTTGATGGTCGGTAACTGGGGCCAGCATGCTTTGGTGGATCCGGCCGATCCTGATTCGGATTACTTGTCGAGTATCACATTGATCGATGTTCCGGTAAGTTTTGGAGTTCTGCCACTTTGATTTGCAAGACCTGGACTAATCGAACATAGAGTAACCGATTCTCTTACAATGATGGCTACCACACTTCTCACCACTTGAACCCTCGCCGCCACTGGAGAGACCACCCCGTGGCATTCCTCAAACAAAAGGACCGCTATGCCGAGGAAAACGCCCTGGTTTTCCGAAATGTCGATTATATCTTCATCACTGTGAACCTTCTTCGGAAAAACTACGATTACCTTGCCAAATGTCTGATTCCTATCGGCGATCAAGTCAAGCTGACGCACGAGGAACGAGTGGAAATGCTGCGTCGGCGGACGCGAAAATTCCCCAAGTCGTATTCGAAAAAGACCGAGTAGAGCCCACTGGATCTTGGGGATCCATTCCGCTCCGATAGACAACAGTGTATATCTTGTTCATGTTTTGCTCTATTTATCAAAGACTTTATAAGAATATTCCCAATACACATATCTGCTGGGGCACATCATCGGTGGCTATTTTGTTTCACTTCTGGCTTCGATCGGAGCATTATGCCCTGCTATACTACTCTGTATAGAGGGTGGGCTTTGATAGTGTCCTGATTGCAATACACTAGGACACTCTCGTCGAAGTTGTCTAAGTTATAACTCTTGGAGGCTCTCGTCTCTACATACGGAGTACTAATTTAGGTAGCCTGTTAGGTCAAACAATGGATGAATAAACGTATCTTATGGAGTAAAAAGACTAAACGCAGCTGAGACAAGGGGCGAGTGGGCCTCGCGAGAGGTATCACAGACTACAGTGCGGATATTGATCTCTCATTTCCACTATTCTTATGATTTGATATTTAAAATCAGTCCTTACTCCAGGTCTGCGCAATGAAAGTCATTTGCGACCGCCAATAGCGCGAAGGTTATCACGTGGAAATCAAACTTCGAAGCGTCGAGGGATGGTGGTTTCTCGCTATAGCGGAGGATGCCAGATCCCGGTGTTTGTTTCTTTGGATTTTTATGACAAGCATAACTCTGAGAGCCTAACTCGGTTCAAATAATTGATTGGGGCTGAAAGCTCCTCTCGAGGGGAGTTTCCTAACTGCCAAAGCAGACAGCACAGTACCTGCCAGTCGGCTCGGTACATCGCGGTGTGATGTTGCTGCCCTTCGTGGTATTAGCCACCACAGTAGCTGGCTACATGGTCACTCCTTCTTTCAATAACTAATCCAAATATTACCTTGACCCAGAGTCCCTACAATACGATGGACAAGCAATCGACGATACGCCATCTATCCACCAAGCCTTCGACACTTGCGGCTAGAATGGGTGTGGGATTTTTACAGACCATGTTTTCAACATAAAGTCGGCGATGAACATAACAAATCTGGCCAACTGCAACGTGAACCTGCAAGGAGAGCTCCGCTTCTCTGCTGACATCGCTCACTGGCTTTCTCATTCAGTCAATCGCCTGTGACCAATGGGGCACGGTGAACACAGACGACTACGACTCGTGAAACAGCGACATGCCCCTAGTCAACAACGCGGTTCCGCAGAAAGGTAATGACTGTATCGCAGCCGAAGGAGATACAACGAATCTTCACGTTATGAACGTCACTTGGTATGATAACTTCGGTATGACGATCGCCTCGGTCGACTAGTACCCGGACAAGTCCTACTACGCTGCGAACGTGACCGTTGAAGACGTAAAATGCGTTAACTGCATGGAAGGGCCGTTTATTAAGACCCGCGGAACGAGCGAAGATAATACCAACGGTGTTGCCGGGGTAGTAGGAGCAGATTGATCAAGAATGTTACTTATCGCAACGTCAATATGACCAATGTCGCCCTGCTAATCCAGATCTCGCAGTGTATCTACACCGTGGCGGATGGTAAATACTGCAACACGTCGAAGATGGCGATTGAAGATATCAATTGGTCGAATATCATGGGTACGGCAAGGTATAAGGTCGGTGCCTCGATTTATTGCTCTGATTTCCATCCACTCCCGGTATCAAGTTTGAGAATGTCCAGCTCGAGTCGGTCACTCGTACAATTGGATTGAGTATGAACAATTTCGCGAACCCTACTCCATGTGATAACGCCTTTGAAAGAAAGGTGGATGACATGCCCGAACAATCAGAGCAAGGGATATTAGGGTTTGTGTTTCAACATCTCAACAGACTCACCATATGACACGCTCTCTAGACATAACCTGCCAATTTAACCCAACAGAAAGGATAAGCTTACAATCTTTATATCCTTTCTTAAGGGTCATAACACCCAATAATGAGGATATATAATTTCCAATAGTTCTACCTGGTATACGAGGTATATAGCGCTCAGTGGCCGGTTTCAGTTGGATTCGAATTTGTTGCCTGAATATGCCTGCTCTTGACGCCGCTTATTACTGCGTTGTAAGCCCTAGTCCCTAATTAAAGCTATTCATACCATGTATATCTTAAGAGCAGAAGATAAGATATATTTGAAAATGAATTTGCTAGACTTCTCCCTCAGCCCATAGCTTATCGTTCTCAACTTCATTAACTATCTTCATCATGCATTCCGATGTCTCCTTCAGTGGTATACGACAAAATCCAAGAACGCAGTTGTAAGGACAAGCGAGCCTGACACCACTTCCACAAAACTAGAGTTCTGGCATTTACCAAAAGAGCCATGACACCCAATTGGTTATCATGCCAGGTTACCAACTCAAGTACCCACACGGTACGTGATACTCACGCCCGAGCCCTTAGGGATCGTGATGTTCCCAGAGTTGAACCTATCGACCAGGCATTTATGAAAGTCTATGTGATAGTGTTTCAGGTGTTCTAGTTTTTTTGCCTGCCACAATCTAGGCATATTCGGGCAACAAATTTGATTTCAAAACCGATCCCTGAGCACTATTGTTGAGACAGGGGTCTCCTGATGTCAGGCATCACCCCACCAGATAGATAGATAGTTGGGAGCCGAGTCTCCTTTCCTAATACAACTCCCTCCCTCCTCTCTCTCTGAGACCACTTCCGTAGGCCTTAACAGCTATACACCTTCGCACTGGTATTCATGATCCAGCCTCGCGCTTCCATTTGAGTCACAACGTATGCCCACACCTGGGGTCCCGTTGCGCAAAGCATGAGGCGTTGTTTGAGAATGCCGTATATCAGATCCAGTCATCTGAAGCTCAAAAGGAGGAAGTCGAGGGGGCGCGGCTGTTCCACGGGGGGCTCGTTGGAAGACGGCTCATGTCTTGATTCGACTAGAGACTGTTAGTGGTCCTTCAGATATTTAATAGAGGTGGTCATCGTACTGGAGTCTCATCTTGAAAGTACCTTTGCCTCTTGGCTGAATCATGACGCTGTGAACCACCAACTGATAACCGCCATTGTGGGATTTTGAGCCTCCTGCAGATGGATCGCAATGTGCGCGGATTTCCGGGCCTGAAAATCCGATCATACTCATCTCCGAGTTGCTCCCCAGTGTAGCCACAGGCGACCAGATGAATTAAAAGACCTTTTCCTTCTTCGAGTTCCCGGTGGGAATACATTGAGCCTTTTAAGGGTCTGCCGTACCGCCTTTCCAATTTCTTGCGGCGGGCGTCCGCTGAGTGTGGGACGAGTCCGGATCCCTTTCTCAGCGATTCGAATTGGGCCACAGCAGGATTTGACTGGATTAGATCGACGGTGTATGGAAGGTCAGAGCCGTCAGATTCATCATCGTCCTCTTCGGCTAGCAGACTCGCGTTCATGGGTAGATGTTCAGTATGGACCGATGTAGGGCTCGCTGCTCTCCTATGAATTTCACCAGAAGAGCTATGGCCTTCGTGATTCAGATCAGAACCCACACCGCGTAGCGCTGTCCACCTGTTATCAGCATTTGTTGCTATCCAATTACCAGGAGTGTCGGGTTCTCCCTTTATATTGGGGCTCGATGCCATCAATCCAGGCGTGGTGCTGAGATGAGGCGTAGTAGAAATGGTCAGATCATAAGGAATGGCTTGACTGCCGATCCCTCGTATAATGTCTGTAGCTCTGTCCATTTCTTGCTTCGTTCTCTTCATGTCTATGTACACTAAACCGTAATGAATTGAAATTAGATTTCCAGGCGCGGAATGATAGCACGGAAGGGCTTACCTACTTTTCTTAATAAACGCCATGGTTCCATCAAAATAATTCGCGAAGAGCTGCCGTTGCTCATCCTCCGACTTGCGACTGAGAGCATTCGGATCGAGCACATTGTACATGATCCGACAGCGACTCTCGTTCGAAATCTCAATCCATCTTCCCTGCACACGACAGCGATACATGCCGTTCTGAGCTGGATGGAAGCTGACAAGAGGTAAACGCTCTCGAAGAACATCCGACCACTCCAGGGGTGGTTTGATTGAGTCGATAAGCGTTTCCGGCCCCACGAGACGTGGTCGTGGGTCGTCGAAGCGTTCCGAAATCGTGTAGTCTACTTCAAATTGGAAAAGAGACTCGCTGAACTTCGGGGGAAGAGGGTCGCTCTTTCTAACGATTGGGGCGTATGAATCATAGCTTTTGCGGGCTGCTAGTAAAGCGCGGGTCAAGTCGAGATATGGCCTCAACTCAGGAGTTGCATCGGACGTCTGATTGCTGCTATTTCCGTCCATGGCTTACTGGGGGACGTTTCTAGGCTAGAGACGAGAAAGTTTAGTTGAGTCCATCAAAGAAACTATTGGGGTGTACAAACGCTTAGAAATTGCGGATGACAGCTCGGCGTTGGTGAAATAAAGCGGGATGGGGGGGGAACAATGACATGGAAAATCCTAGCTTATATCTGTTCCATGCTTCAAATGGAACTCGGCGCTAGTTTGGTATTGAGAAAGACCGTAGATGCTCGCGAAGATCCTTGCAAGTATGCTAGCACGGATCAAAAACCATTACCGAGTAAGAATTATCTAGATAGGGCATAGAGTGGAAGGCCAGAAGCCAAAATGTCTTACTGAAGAGTATATCCGGAGTCCTCGTACGTCAGAATCACGTTTGAAGCAAACAAAGCCCTGACGCTCGTGACAGCTTATTTCTTTTTTGCTTTTTCCTTTCCTTTTCTTTTCTTCTTTGGTTAGCTTCATTGGCTTTTTTGCTTTTTTTTGCTTTTTTTGCTTTTTAAGTTCCTTTTTTTATTTGCTTTTTTTATTTGCTTTTTTTATTTGCTTTTTTCTGTTTGCTTTTTTTGCTTTTTTTGGCTTGCTTTTCTCCGGACCCGCTAAAGACGTCAGCAATGACCATGTTATCCCGGTACATCGACCTTCGCGTTTCTTGACATTACGATACAGGGATAGTTTGATACGGTGTATGTATTTCGCAACACTCCTAGGCCAGGTATTTTGGTCTCTAGAATGACTGTGATTGTGGAAACTATTTAAGCCACCGGCACAACTTGGCAACTTGGCGGCATTGTCAGGGTTCCTACAATCAATACGGTGACGTTTAGCGACCACCCTGCCTATACGCCCTTTTTCAAAATTTCATGTTCCTGATGAGGTGATGATTGACCAAGAGCATGGATATCTTTTTGGTGTCATTAGACCTTGTCTGCAAATAGTCCAAGAAATCAAACTTTGATACAGATCCCTTCCTGTACCACATTCAACGATCTATACTCCGTATATCACACCCATTGCAGCGGCAAAATAAGACACTAGATGCGATGCAAAACGAAGAATAAATGTTAAAATGAAATGCCGAGGGACTTGGTTTTCTAATATTATATCAAAAAATGAAAATCTCGGCGTTAGGGCTTGTTTTCTTTGTCCACAGAAATCTAGGGAAAATTGCTCTGGCTCTCGACCCCCGAGAATAGCTTTGTCTAACTAAAGAAAAAGAAACCAAATATATCCCCTGCTACATTAGTCTAGCAAGTTTGGAAGTCCACTCGTGATCTGGTTGACTGAACGGGGGACCGAGGGTGGACCGTGAGCTGTCACCAAGTTGTATGACTGGTTCCAAGAGCCATTGGCAAGGCAATCTGGGATTGTGATCTGCGCATTTGGAGGGCACGGTGTTGGCCAGGAAGGAATGACATTCCATGATGTCTCACGGAAATGCGAAGCTGGGACATCTAATGCCTCAGTTTCATCCCGTCTTGGAGGTAGATGCCCATCTTGGTCCTCTATCCACCGCTTGAGGGAAGAGTATACTCGCTTGCGGCCAAAAACTTTGCCGTATTCCATTTCAAATCTTTTCTGGGTCCATCCTTTGTTCCAATTGGACTTCATCCAAGCTACAGCGATCAATTTCTCAGAATCGCTGCCAAGCCGAGGTCTATCCAATTTCTGTCGTTTGGATGCGCGGGCAGAGAGCACTGGCTGATCGAGGGCCACATTGTGCCCAACGCCTATGGAGACTTGAGAGGACATGGGTTGTTTTTGCTTTTCCACAACGGTTCGAGAAAATGAAGAATTCATCGGGACAGTCTGCTCTTCTTCTGTTGGTCCGGACATCGAAAATCGATTCTCCGAGAACGCTGTGTTCACGGGAGCAATGAGGCCTGCAAGCTTTGAAGAATTGCTACCATGTTTAAGGCTGACGATGTTGTTTTGACCTGAGCAATATTTGGGACTGTCGTCTCTCGCCTCTTTCTCCCTCGAGTTCTTGTCACTAGAAGTCTCTGCTCCTGGCGTGTCATCGCTAGAGACATCGCTGCCTGCGTTATCTCCGTCGGGAGCCTTAATGTCCAACTCGTCTTCGCTCGTATTTTCGGCGCAGCTGTCCAAAATTGTTGGGGCAGGACCTTCACAATCGGAACAGAAAGGTGTTCCCTTTTTGTTTGAGTTATTCGAGGAGTCCAGTATTGGTCCCTGGTGAGTTTTACCAGATGGACTCGAATTTGGCTCGTCTGGGATCGAATGTTCGCCCAAAAGACCCTTTGACGAAGGGGAACTCTTACCAGAGCCTAAATAGAGTTCTATCTTGCTCTGGCGGAACTTCATGGAGTGTATAAGCTCTTCTAATCTCTCCCGATCTGTTTCCCTCAGATTAGCTATTTTCAGAAATAAGGCGTGGATGGAAACACGCACAGCCCTCCAGGTCTTTGATTTCGTTCTCGAGATCAGTCAGTATTCCCAAATTTGTCCTGAATTCTCTTTGCACGTCTTCCTGATGCGGCTGCGATTTGGAAACATCGAGGGCAAGGCTGCGGCAGAACTCGACCAAGCTATGTAGTTGCCGGTCAAGCTTTATAGATCTTCCCTGAATGGTGCATTGGTAGCAACTATCGTCTTGTCGTTGAAACCTGCCGTGACGGACAATGTCTAACCAACCAACAGGCGTACCGCTCGTAGGAGCACCCAAGAAAATAGGCTTACAGCCCATCCTCTTTTCCAACTCCTTCTCCAGCTCGCAACTTCTCAAAGAACGAAGAGAAAAAAACTGCGTGAACGTTTGTCGTCTGTCAAGTACCTCTTGATAGGAATTGAGAAAGCTTGCGCGGAGTTTCTGGAGGACTTCAAATCGCTGTATTTCAACGGAATACTCCGTTCCCCAGCTGATGAAATAATCATGGCTGTCCATATTGTGAGGGCTCTTTATATACAGTCAGTTCTGTTCGGCACCCATCATCAGCGGGCTTTCACGTACCATAGGAAGGATGCAATCGTTTTCCACAAGATTCAAGGCTTTTGAGTGATATAATATGGGGATCTCTCTAACTAGGCCGACAAGTTGTAGAATGAGATATTGGGAATGAAGAAGTGACAGAAGATCAGATTATATTCTGGAATCTTCCCAGGTGCCGTCTGTGTAAGAGCCGACTATCAGTATGGCTATGTACACAGCACTATTAACTACCTAATGTATTTAGCCAGGATTGTTTGCCTTAGGTCTTGATTCTCGATATGCTTATTAACATGGAAAACACGTAATAAAAATAATTCATCACAATTTATCCCAAATAGGCACATAGCAATTTTATCTAACAAATCCATTGAACCCTAACAGCATAATTGTAACGCTGTGGCCCTCGAAATCGTCTTAACCACAAAATTGCGCGTCCAGATATATGCATGTCATTTTGCACACCCGCTTATCTGCCTATATCGAACACGACCGTGTAGGGTAGCGCGCAGGTGGCTGGGAGGCGCAATTTCGAGGATATTACCTTTTTGCCAAGAGCCCGAGGAATGCATCCTCGCTAAGTACTCCGCACTCTGTATACCTTGTCGTTCGTGGCGCCAACCCCTCCAGTAGCCGACCAACCAGGTGTCGCTTTGGAGGTTATACCCCGGTATGATACTAACGTTGGTACGCCGTTAATCAACTTTCTTTGTTCTTCGAGTCAAACACCGCTCTTGATCATCCGATAGGGATTTGTATACGGAGTACTGTTGCGAACACGTGATCTCCTAGTACATTAGTCTAGCTAGCTTTCCCTATTCTTCCTTTCTCTCTCAACGCACAATACAAGATTTTCCAGTCCACTCCTTCTTATAAGTAGTCGTACAGGATCATCTCTCTATCAGGTTATAAGTCCTTTGCTGTCGGAGCCTCTACATAACTGCAAGCTTCGCATCTTCTGATTCCTCCGACGAGAACCTAGTGCTACGTCGCACCGACCCACTATAGGGTGTTTTTGCAGACTTTTCACTAGTCACCCTAATAATACCCTACCCTACCTACCTACCTAATATACCCTATATAGTTATCCTAATTTCTCTCTAGTATCCGAATACCTAGGTAGAATATAGGATCCTATTATCTGATTAGCCGTTCGACTTCTCTATTAACCGCTAAATAGACCTTATTAGCCGTTCGACTCTTCTATTAACCGCTATATAACCTTATTAGCCGTTCGACTTCTATTAACCGCCGTATCTAATTAGCCGTTCGACTTCTCTATTAACCGCTAAATAGACCTTATTAGCCGTTCGACTCTTCTATTAACCGCTATATAACCTTATTAGCCGTTCGACTTCTATTAACCGCTATATCTTATTAGCTATTCGACCTTCTTATTAACTACTGAACCCTATATAGACTACTAATATATCGGAGTCCTTTAATATTAGGGACTTCGCTATTAGTCGATATAAGATTAACTATATAGATTTAGTACCGAAACTAAAAGGATAGTCTAACTATAGAGATTAGAAGATAGCTATATATCTAGCCCTTCTTATTAATAATAGATACTATACTAGGATAATCTCTTATAGTATTCCCTCCCTAAGTAAACCTAACTACTTCGAAGTCTCTTAATAGGCTATAGAATAGGCTTTACTCGCGGAAGCACGGGAGGTATAGGTATAACGTAACGATAATATTATAATCACTACTATAGATATCCGAGAAAGAATAAAGGAGATTAAGGAAATCAATAAGACACTTCGGAAAAAGTACGAAAATAAGCTTAATAACTAGCAATCTTATAATACCCGAACCCTTATTTATATCCGGAAAACTCTCGTACCCGAGCCTTTATTAGTTATTACTTAAATTACGGATACACGTAAAGCTTTTAGTAAGCTTTAGAAGATATATACGATAAAGTCTTATTAATAAGCCTATACCTACTATTTAAAGTAGGTTAACCTACGGTATAAGAATAGATCTCCCTCGGACTTTGTAAGGAGATTTTAAGAGGCCCTTTGTGACTTTATTACTATAGACGAAGAGCCCTCTTAAATGATTGAGCTATATTAGTTTAAAAAGGCTATTATAGAGAATCCTCGTTATCTTTCCTTTTTATAGAACCTACGAGTTAATAAAAAAGATAAGACTTTTATAGAAAGAGTATATATCGAGTTTATCGAGGTAAAAACTAATAATCGTTCCTTTAACGTTTCCTAATTAACCTTATCTACTAATACTATAACTACTAAGGACTCTTCTAATAAGGATAAGAAGTCTAGTGGGAATAATAAAAAGGGTAGAAATACTTCCTCCTCTAAAGATAAGTCTAAACCTAAGGGTAAGGATAAAAATAAGAAGAAAAAGAAGCCTTTTAAATAGGAGGAAAATGTTATCTTTTATAATGTTACGACCCTCTGCTAGGAGAGTGCCTCATAAGCTGGATCCCGCCTAGTCCTATAACCCAAAACCCGTGACCTAGTAGGGGTAGTATGACCCCCCGCTAGAGACTACACTAGGGAGACTAAGTCCTACCGGGTTAGATGACCTAGTCCCGTGACCCGCTAAAGGTTATCTATATAGAGACTACTAGGGGAACTTAGCTCTTTAGCGATTAGTTTATAAATATACTAGCACCCTACTATTCTTTTACTCTAGTTCTATATTATCTACTAGGACCCACTAGCACACCGGTTCTAATATTCTAATCGCTAAATCTTAATTAAACTAGACTATTAGAATACGTAATATCGACGACTCGACGTACGAGCGACCGCCTAAGGGGAACCTTAGCCCTAATCGCGGAAACGAATAACGTTCTAGGACCCCTATAACCCCTACTAGAAGAGGTAGAGATATAGGGAGTCGACGATAACCCTTAGGGAGGAAACCCGCTAGATCCGATAACCCCGACTAAGGTAGATAAGGAGGCGGAACTCCGAGAGTTAGAGACCCTTAAAAGACGTCTAGCTCTAGTAAAGGAGAAAAATAGAATCCGCGCGGAGCTATAGGACGAAGAAGAAAACGTAGTAATCCTATAGGCGAGAATATAAGGATCTAGGATCTATTAGGGTTCGCTAGATAGTACTACTAGCTAAACTATCTACTAACTATCTAATACTACCTATATAAACTCGATTATATTATAAGGAAATACTAGAGGCTATCTATCCTATTAGAAGAAAGTAAGGGAACTATATATACCTTATAATATAATAATATATAGAGCTAAGAGTTCGGGCGAATATAATCTCTTTAAGTTAAACTAGGAAGCCTTCTAGAATAGATACCCTAATTAGTTCGCTAGCGATATATATAAGATAGACTAAGTAACTAAGTTCCTAACGCTAAAGGTTAATATAATATAGATAGAATACTATAGGAATAACTTAGGTACGATATTTACTTAGTTAGTCTTTAAAATATAGACGTTTATTTAGATTACTAATCTTATTAAGATATAGCGAGAAGCTAAATATAATTAGTAGTAGATAATATAAGCTAAGTACTAAGATATATACTAATACGTCTTAAAGCTTATCGGACTTTATAACCGCCTAAAAGATACACTAACTAGATAGATAAGAATCGATCGTTTAGAGATAGGTATTATTAAGAAGATATAAGATAAAGTAAAAAGATTTATAGCTCTTACTATAGATTAATAGGATAACTAAGTAGCCTTCTATAATTAAATTAAGAAAGTAATATTAGATAGGATATTATATCTTAGGAAGGCTAGGAAGATAATACTAAAAAACGCTATAGACTTATAAAGATCTAGTAGAAGACCTTTTAAGAGAAATAGCGCCTTCTCTATATAATAAGTTACGACTATTATAGAGGGTAGAAAAACTACTATAGGGTCTAAATAAGACTAGAGCGGAGATAGTAAATTCTATAACTTCTATAGTAAGCTAGGCTATTATATAAAGGACTACTATAGAAAAGCTATAGTAAATACTATAGCCGCGGAAGAGTTAAAAAAATAGATAATCTTATATTATAGACTCCCGTAATATTAGGGATAGTTCTCTTCGGAGAATATAAAGGAGTATACTAAGTACTTATCTATAATATACTAATATTAGACGTTAAGACTAGAGCCCTAATAGAGATAGCTAAGACACTAATAGATAGTAGTATAACCTAGAGCTTCGTAAGCTAGAAATAGGTAAAAGAGAACCTAGAAAAGATATATATAATAAATACCTATCTAGTAGAAGCTATAGATAGACGTAAGATCTTTTTATATAGAAGCTAAGAAGTATAGCTTAGCCTAATAGACTAGAATAGAACTTATAGAGTTATTAAAATAACCTATAAAACTATAGATATAATAATTTATAATATAATTCTAAAAATAGATTAGCTTAGGCTAGTAAATCCGGATATTAACTAGGTAACTAGTAAGTAAGCGTATAGAAATATAGCCCCGCTAAAGGTTAAAACCCTCCCGTTAGAAGACTTTAAGGAAGAAATAAGACTATAAGATATACTTAGAGAGCTATACTTAGACGTCGATAAGGTTATTAGGGAGTTTATAGTAATACTAAGGGTAATATAAAGCTCGGATAGGACCTCCTATCTAATATAACCCCTAACTAAACTTCCGCTAGAATACTAAGATCTAGCTATTATAGTAAGTAAAGAAGGTACTATAGTCTTTCTAACTTATATAGAGTATAATTATATAATCGAGCTAATACTAGGTAAGATACCCTTTTAGAGGCTAGTATATATACTATCCGCTAAGGAGTTAGAAGTCCTCCGCTAGTATATTAAAGAGAACCTCGAAAAAGGCTAGATCCGATACTTAAAGAGTTAATCGGATATATCTATCCTCTTTATACTAAAGAAAGACGGTAAGCTTAGACTCTACGTAGACTATAGAGGGTTAAACGCGATTACTATTAAGAACTATTACTCTCTACTACTAATTAATA